TCTCTACAGAAGATTATCATAGGTTTTGTTCCCCACCTTCTGTTTGTCTGAAGAAAAAGATTCTCAGCTCATTGTGTCTAAGCCAGAAGAAAAAAAGTTTAGTAGTGTATAAAGCAGAATCTAGTCCTAATATCACACAGGAAATTCACCTAATACACATTCCAACATGAACAGTGAAGCCTATGCATAATAAGCTACTTGGAATTGCCCTTTTATCTTTTAAGATCAAAATATATCCTGTCCTCTGACTCAGAATGGCTCTAAGATATTCTTGCTGAATTAATGTAAYATCATTTTGAAAACTATCCTCTCTGCTAGCATTTGAAATTAATTTGCTCTGCAATTCAGTGCAAGACTTCTTTGCACACATTTTGGTCTAAAAGCTTTGAAGTAATTTTAATGATGTGTCTTGGGCAAATACAAAAATAATGTTGACTTTTAACTTAAACAAAAGGTAAAAAATATGGGAGAAACTGGTTTTTCCTTTTCTTTGATCTCCTAAAAGCTAGGTTTCTAACACATCTCAAGGCACAGAAGGAACAAGGAAGAACAAGATGAAAAAATGAGAAGAGGAGGGGACATAAATCTGAATCACCCGAGTACGGAGCTATAGAACYCTGCAATCTGGGGAAGGTACACTGGTGAAGAATGCTTAAGAGAAATAACAGATGTTTAATAAATATTTTAGAAATAACAGTTCTACATAACACAGTTAAGAGGAATCTTAGGGGACAGCCTTCTCAGAAGGCTTTCAGATAAGCAAAAGTGGAAAAACCTGAAACCTCTCTAGAAAAGGGACTTGCTGTGTTCCCAGAGTCGCATTCACAAGAAGAGACCAGATGATTCTCAGGTGTCTTTAGACTCTCTCATTAGAGCCGTCTCTTTCATTTTTAAAGTTTTTGTTTATTATTATTTTATTATTATTATTTTATTATTATTATTATTATATTGTTATTATTATTATTATTATTATTATTATTATTATTATACCATGTAGAACGCTGCCATCTGCCCACTGCAACCTGGAGAGCCCCTTCCATCCATATCACAGAGCAAGTCACTCCCGTGTGTTGGCCATTGCTGAGTGTTTGCTTCCCAGGCCATAGCTGCCCCCTTCCTTGACTCCTTTGGGATTATTTCTGTTCCTCCTAATTGCCCTCTTTGCTTCCAATTACCTTGATTCCTTCTTACCCAGCTGCTGGTCATCCTCCGCATCTGCTGCCATCTCCATCCTCTGTGAGGCATTCTCTGTGTGGCAACCTTGACTGCAATCTGCCCGAAGGCCCAACTAGTAGAAATCGACCTTCATCCTACCTGCCCACTGCTACCGAGCCACAAGCACAAGACCGTGTGGCTTTGAATCAGACACAAGCGGGCACTGTATGCAGGATTTTCAAATGTGACCCATGTAGGAGAAAGTCCAAGAGCATCTCCTATATTCAAGACAAGTGGCGGGAGCCACTGGACAGGTGGGGGTAGCAGTGGTTTGGTTTATGCAGCAGTCATTGTTGGGGCTCTGAGCAACACTGGGTGGCCAGCTCACCACTAATGTTTTTGTTTAACTATAATTATAAATGTTTCTTGGTAAAAAGAAATTGAACCGCCATGCTTGCAAACCTGCCAGTTGTTCATTTCAGTGGGAAATCTGGTTGTGCAGACCACACAGCTACGAAGCCATGGAGGTGTCACCATCCATGTGGCAGTGGATCCTAAATCCAATCAATTCCAAAGAAAACCAGCAGTTGCCCCTTTCCCCCCATCTGCGTGTTCTTTGTGTGCCTTCCCACCAGAAGGGTTCACCTTGGAGCTGCCAGGCGAGCTGAGACGCATGGCCAATGTTGAAGAGTCGAGTTAATGAATGGATGCCATTAAATTGGGCACGTTTTTATGACAGGTAAACTTGGCCTTCCTGGTGCAGCCATGCTCCCATGGTCTTCCTCTTCCAGCCCTCACCTCCCTCCAGCCTTCCTCCCCAGCCTCCCCTATCACACTTCTCACACTCACTACCACTCTAGCCACTGGGATGTCCAGGACTGAGGATCCTCCAGCCCATGAACAAGCATGTCTAGGATACTGGCAGAACGCCAGGAGAACTTCTAGGAACAGGGGCATTTTAGAGAACGTTGCAGAGTCGGACATGTCTCGTTTGTTGTCATCAGATCCCGTAGTGACCCCAGGCTGGCCAGGGCATACTCTCGTCTCAGGACCACCCTAATGCAGCAAGGCTCTGGGTGTGGCAGCCCCCAGGACCAAGGCACCTCCACATGGCTCTAGCAGGAACTGTAGACTGCCAGTGTTTCCTCTCTGCCATGAGGAGGGAAAGAGAACATGGAGAAAACAAAGGAATGACGTAGTTCTCTAACCAGGAAAAGGCAGCGGACTCTCAGCAGAAAGAGCGTGAATTCTGACATGAATCCAGAGATCGCAAAGAACTGTCCCCTCATCCCCAACTCTCTTCATAGGGAAGCTTCTTCCTAGGTCAGGTTATGCCCGAACAAATGAAGTCTGAGATGCAAAATTGAAGAATTACAGAATTAAGGTGTGTCCAAGTCTTTTTTGGTTGTTTCCCTTGTTGTAAAGCAGTCGTTACAATTAATTTCTTTTTCTGAGTCTTCGTGGTACTTTTTCGAGGGATTAAAGGGGTGTATACCTAATTSTAATCTGAAAGTGTTCGTACTAATGTTCAGGGAAGAGAAGGAGTGTATCACGTACAGGCTTTACCTTTGTGTTTTCTCCTTTAATATTCAAAACAACCCACTGAAGGATGTCCCATGAGTCTCATTTCACAGATGAAGTATCTGAGACCTAAAGACACAAAGCACTTCCCTGGCTAAGGAAATAAAGGTGTTTGCCTTTATTTTGCTTAGATTTTGAACTTAGATTAGTCTAATACAGCTGCAGAGAGCATTTGATTCTGTTTTTTCTATCATAGAGTTTTCTAAATTTTAAACTTTATATCATTAGATGGGGCCACAGTTGCCTTGGTGGCATGTGGTCTTTTGTGCTACCATTTGGAACCTCTAAAATGTTTTCTCTTTGGACGTCTCTAGTCCTATCTTTGATAATAAGAAATTTCCTACCACGTGTAATAGTTTTTGTTTTGTTTTGTTCTGTTTTGGTACTGTGGATTGAACTCAGGGGCACTCAGCCACTGAGTCACATCCCCAGCCTTATTTTATATTTTATTAAAGACAGGGTCTTACTGAGTTGCTTAGCGACTGGCTTTGAATTTGCAATCCTCCTGTCTCAGCCTCCCAAACTGCTGGGATTACAGGCATGCACCACAGTGCCCGGCTTGTAATAGTTTAAATAAATACATGTATGTGTGTGTGTGTGTGTGTGTGTATATATATATATATATATATATGAATAAGAAATGTTTGCATAATGGTTGCATATGGGCAGTGCATTGTTGAAGGGGAAAAATTAATACAAATCATTCTGTGTGAGGAGGAAGACAGAATCTCATCTTTTTAAAGGCAAAATGACTCAATGTGGAAGTACAATACAACCGACATATTTTATAATTACTAAAATGTTATTTTCTCTTTGAGGACCAATAGACATACTCCTTTTCGTAAAAATGTACAATATGGATTTCCCAAAGGAAAACCTGAGTTGAGATCTATTTTGAGCTTACAACTGTTGCTAACTATCCTTTCCCAATCTTGTTTGCCACCTAATTTCTCCAAACCAATAATTAACAGGCAAAAAGAGGCAAGTTTTTTACTGCCACCTACTGTCAGAAAAAAATGGCCYGCTAAATGCAATTAGGAATGACTTCATGGAGGTGCGACGGGGTGATGGGGTGATTGACCACACGCCTGCAGGAAACCCCTGTTGTCTTGAGTCTGTCTAGGCTCACATTTGTCCGGCTCCCCTCTCTCCTCACTCCTCACAGCCCTGATTCAGATGACGATGGAATAGTTGCTACTGGCTCTTCCTCGTCCTTACACAGGCCCCYGTCTGGCTTGGCTTCCATCTGCAGTCTTCCAGCTCCCATTCTCCCCCTTCCCTGACTCAAAATAGCAAGGCACACACTATTTCCACATCACTACTTCCTTTTGCTCCTCACCTCCAAGTCCTATCCCTCAGCCCTCCCTGCTCCTCCATGGAATCTCCCTGCCTCTGAAGGTGACAGCCCTGCACACACCCTGTCTTTCCTCCTGGGTTCTGGGTTATTCTCGCTGTCCCTTTTCATTTTCTCTCCTCATGCCTAAATGTTGGGGTCTCAGTTCATCTTGACTCTGCGCTCCATCCCCAGCGCTGTGAAAGAAAAAGATGTTTAGTTTTAAAAACTTCCTACGGAATTACATACACAAAACAATATACGCTACATGTATTAAGCTATTTAAGGAATTTTGGGAGAGCAATTTTGATTTCGTAGATTGATGATAGAATTGAGATCTGTTGAAGAGAAGATCATCAGCAAGAATGACCTTCTTGTGGAGGAAATGGACAGGCTTTTGCAAGTGGCAGTATAGGAACAGGGACCTGTGGTAAGAGATGGGCCGCAGGAAACAACCCCTGGATCCCAGTTTCATCTCACACCTAATTTTATTTTATTTTATTTTATGCATCTTTTAATTCATATATGTTTATCCATTTATATCAGTGGATATAAATGGATAAACATATATGTTGACATATATGTCAACATATATTGTTTGACACAAACCAATTTACATGAACTATGGTTTTTGAATACAAGAGCACATTCAAAGAAATCAAGTAAAACCCAAGTTCTTTTAAGTTTCCTGCTATAGAGATAAGAGTAACAGATACACTTACACAAAAAAAAAAMCATATAAGTAAGAGCATTTCAAAAAGGAATCTAAAATAAAATGCAATGCAGCCTTTATTTTATAATATGTATAATTATATAATTTATTAAAATTAATTTAACAATATACAAAATATTAGCAGTAATTTTTAGGTTCAAAACCAGAAATGTTGAGATGGCAAAACTCTACAGAGATCTTTTCCATCAACAATCTGATCTAGCTCACTAGTTCAGGCTGAACATTGACTCTTGGAAGCACTTCTTCAGTCATGCAAAAAACAGGACTAACAGGTTTAATCTATTCTTCCCCCAAAAGTGACAATCCAGCAATGCCAAATAATATATGAAAAGGACCCACCATGTCTCCTGGCCTATCTGCAAACCCTCCAGCTTCTTCATCTTGACATGCCAAAATGAAATCTTTCAGTTTGTTTCTGTCAATCCACTGAAGCCTTCTAATTATCTTTAGGGAAGCCAATACCCACCACAAATAGCACACATCTGGTAACTTCTCCAGCCTTCCATTGAGTCCTCCTGAAGGTAACTGTGAGTTCACAAAGCCACCAACCAAGTAAATCAGAACTTACTTGATGCAAATGACTAGTAATAGCCAGGAATCTTGTGCAACAATAGATCTGTTCAGCATGGGATTCAGAACCAGGTTTACAACCCAATCCACCATCAAAGTTCATACAGGATAAAACAAATTCGATTGCCTTTTCCACATTAATAGCATCAAGTTTCCCCAACAGAGCCAAAGTTGCCACCGCACAAAAGGAGAATCTTGTATCATTTCTCCCTACTTTACAAAAGTAGATTTTCATATCCCATGAAGCAGCTGGTCTCTCTGGTCTGCACTTGTGTTCAGCCCTTATCTTTTTAGATTGGGCCCCTCTGTTCCAGTGCTCCTATGTGCTGATATAACTACCACAGGGCATGCTGGAACTCCAGTTAGACCAGTTGCTTACTGGGATCCCAAATGTTTCCAGCAAAAGAATCTTCTTTCTGTAGACTTTGAACATATTCCACAACCTTACTTACATCAATAACATTAATACTATCATAAAGAGTAAGAATCTGGACAGCACAAAGGGTATACAAAAGATGAAGATCATGTCCAATGCTTGCACTGATTCCACCACACTCATATTGGTATGACTTAATAAACGTCAGAATTTCTTMTCTATTCATCTGATCAAGTTGTCCCATGAGATCCATTACTCTCAGACCCCAGGAGATGCCACTCATTCTCAAATACTCAGACATACAGTATCCATAATCATCTTTCTTTGAGCCATAGGATGCAATATAATCTGCATGTTTCACCAGTAAAAGGGTGATAGGTGCATCAGACTTGAAGATAACATCCTTCTGTGGTGTGCCCATGTCTGGGAGTGAAAAGCTCACACCTAATTTTAAATGTTCCTGTCGGTCACTTGTTAGGCTAATTCCTTCCTAAAGTGTTCAACATGCCAGTTGTGCCTTAGCTATGATTTGGGGGACATAGGGAGGCACTGTGTCCATTTGTGTGGCCCAGAGAAGTGGCATGAGTTGAGGAGGTTGGTGGGGAAGGCTGGGGCAGTTGTTGGGACCAGACGGGGTGAGCGAGGATCAGGATGAAATGGGGGAAGCCAGTGCTCCTGGGGCACCCAACAGTGAGCTAGGAGGGAAAAGCATTTGTGGAGTCCCCAGCAAGGGACAGGCTGCATTCATCACTGGAAAAGTAAAGTATATACATCAAGAAGAAATAACTAGGGCTGGGGTTGTGGCTCAGTGGTAGACTGCTTGCCTAGCATGCATGAGGCACTGGGTTCGATCCTCAGCACCACATAAAAATAAAAGAAAGATATTATGTCCACCCAAAACTAAAAAATAAATATTAAAAAAGTGGAGATGATGATATCTGTTCAATGCTAATCACCAGAAGCCCCCAGATTTATGATTATCTTTAACTCCAGGGCAGTTKGTGTGGACAAGTTATTTCCCAATAAATGAGCTGACTTCTTTTGAGCTCAGGTACAAACTGATGCTAAAGGAACTGTTTTCAATAAACATTTATTGAGCACCCATTAGGTGGCTGTGGGGGTATCCCTAGGACTTTCAGGACTGTCCTCTGAATCTTCAAAGCATGGTGTCATGCAAGCAAGGAGCACAGGAGACAGGAGCACCAGCTCTGGGGAGTATGATGTATTCTCTTTGGGACAGGTGATCTAGGGACTGGTCATCTAGGTGGAGGTGCCAGAGGATACCTGAGAATAAAAAGAAGAAGGAGGAGAAATAACTAGGCCATAGTAGTTAAATCTGGACAGAAAATTGGAGTGGGCTAAAGGAGGATCCCAACATTACATTTTAACTTACATTTTATTACATGTATCTATTCTGATAAGTGTGCATTCACTTCACACTACACATGAGGTTTAGGGGAAGCAGAATAATCACGAGCAACAGTGATGACAGCATCAGAACGAAGAGCACTGAGACAGWGTCACCCTCTTGGTTACAAATGTTAAACAGCCACAATCACTAGAGCGCTGCAGTGCTGAGGGAAGGATAGACTAATGCAAAGATGGAGTTCATAAAAGGTGTCATTATGTTTAGAACTCTAATTAAGTTAGTGACTTCATAAAGCAAGAGGTGGGGTGCAGTGGCCAATGCTTGTCAACCCAGGTACTCAGGAGGCTGAGGCAGGAGGGTCACAGGTTGAAAGCTGCTGGGGCAATTTAGGGAGACCCTGTCTCAAAATAAAAAATAAAAAGGGCTGGAGGTGTAGTTCAGTGGCAGAGTGCCCCTAGCTTTTATCTGTAGTAGAGCAAAATCAAAGAAAATACTTAAGTAAAGATATAATGTGCCCAGGGCAATAGTTAGCTTATGAAAAAAAAATTTAACTAACTGAAAAAAAAATTTTTAAAAACCTATTTAGAAGATTTTTGCATCACACCATATTCCAAAATAATTCCCAAATGGATTAAAAAGTTTAAAAAATAAGAATATGGATCAGATGGGCTGGGGCTCAGTGGCAGAGCACTTGCCTAGTGTGTGTGAGGCACTGCATTTGATACTTAGCACCACATACAAAAATAAATAAAATAAAGGCATGCTGTCCATCTACAATAAAAAAAGTGTATTAATCAGATGCCCTGGTCAATAACTTCCAAAATTATGGAAAAATAAAATATGGATAATTTGAATTTATAAAAATGTTAAATGTTTTTGTGTTCTAAAAGTCATAATTCAAAAGAAAAATATTTTCAATAAAAGTAAAATATAAAAAGTTAATATGTTAAAAAGCTCATCCAAGTGGTTAAAAAGCAAATACATGGATAATTCACAAAAGAATAGAAACAACTGAAAAACCACAAAAATATTCCATATAAAAAATGTTCTGCCTTTTGAATCAGGAATTCTTTTTAGTTCTGGGGATGAAACCTGGGGCTTCAGATATACTAGACAAGCTGTATACTATACTACCATACTACTGAACTATACTACTGAACCACAWYCCAGCCCCGCAAGGCAACATTTTTAATGCCAGGGGAAGTGGAATAAGAGATTCATGTTCAAGACAGTCACCTGCACTGATGATAGGGCAGTGTGAATAGAGACCCCTAAAATAGTATTTAAAAAGAATATCCTATGGAATGTGGGTAGTTTTGTGAGCAGATGTGCCCATATTACTTGTTTTAGCAGAATTAAGGCAACAACCTCTACATCCAATGATAGGTATACCAAATGAGAAATCACAATGGGATAAATGATTAGGTGATTAAAAATGATAGTTTCTACACTTACAGGGTAGGAGAAAATAAATGAATATAAGTTCTTATTTATAGTATTCACAAAAATATTTTAAGTGGGAAAAAACTAAATAAAACATATGACTTGTATTTAGTGTAATTTAGTTCTTCACGTATTATTCTACATTTTCCAAATTTCTTCTCATGGTCACATTTTGATTTTGTAACAGGGAAACAAAAACAAAAACAGAAGTCCTCCCCTGGATCCCTCAARCTGGACTGTAAGCTCCTGGTCGCAGCTTTCCATCTGGTGCTTCCTTCTGTCCTCCTTCTCCATCCTGTTCCCTGGCATTGAGGTCATACCAGACTGTTGAGATTCCCTCACAGCAGGTCACCTCTCCTGCCTAGGGTGCCTGTGAATGTCCTTCCCCACCCCTTTGCCTGCAGGCTCCAGCCCTGTGTTTACACAGGACAGCCCCTTCTGCTTTGTGCTGTCATAGCACCCATGCATTCCCAGCGCTAGTGGCATTGGATGGTAGTGCAGTTGACCAGCCATCTGAGCTTGCCCTTCCTTAACCCCTAATCCTTGCACCCACAGGTCCAAGGATTTGAAAGATGGTAACAAGTTATAAAAAACTATTTCAGCTACAGGGCTGTCAGAGAGCCAGTGACGACCCGCCCCTCTAGGTTGCCAACTGGAGGGATACCACCTTGATTAGTGAGTACTGTATGGTGGTTTTACTTATTTCTACCTTTAGTACTCACTGGAAAGTTGTTTCAATACTGATATTTAATACTGCATTCTAACTGGGCATGGTGGTGCAAACTGTCATCCCAGCAACTCAGGAGGCTGAGGCAGGATCACAAGTGCAAGGTCAGCCTCAGCAACTTAGTTGAAACCTTTTATCCAAATAAAAAAATAAAAAGGGCTCAGTGATAAAACACCTCTGGGTTCAATCCCCAGTGTATGCGTGTATGCTTGTGTGTACACACACGTACACACACACACACACACACACACACACACACACACACTGCTGCATCTGTCCACCTCAGGCTCACACTCAAATCCTCCTGCCCTGCTGTTGTGGTTTACATCTGGAGTGGCCCCCAAAGGCACTAGCCTCCTGTCTGAAAGGAATGAGGGGAGGCAGTGGAACCATAAGAGGGACATAGTTGAAGGGTCCTTGGGGGTATGTCCTTTGGGACTGTATCTTTTTCCCAGCCCCTTCCTCTCTGTCTTGGAAACTCCTTGCCAGCCTCCTCCATAGGCTGAGTGGCTTTTCTCTGCCACACCCTTCTGCCATGATATTGTACCTCACCTTAGACCCAAGACAATGGAACTGGCTGAACATGAAGTGAAACCTCTGAAACTGTCAGCAGAAGTAAATCTTTGTTTTTCTCAGGTATTTTGTTACAGCTAAAACATCTGCTCTTTTAATATTTTACATAGAACTTTCAAGAGCTTTGTAATGTTTTGAACAACCAATAAAAAAATTTTACATAGAACTTATCACCTTCCAGTATTTATGTATCTATATATGAAGTCTGAGGTCTGCACTTGCCTCTCTATTACCACAGGGCAGGTTTTACTTAAAGTGCCCTGCACATACATAATATACCTGTAAAAGTGCCTGGCATATAGATAATAGATGCTCAGTGAGTATTTACTAAATGAATGGATCTGACAAAATTACAGGCAATTTCTYTTTTGGGGCTATCTCATAATTCTTTATTCACAAAATGAAATGATAGGTTATTAAGAGGGCATTACTACCTTTTTTAAGGATTAAAATATATCCTTTGTGATAACCAATTATTACTCTCTTGACAATGGGTTTCCCTCCCACACACACACACACACCCAGTACTGGCACTTGAACTCAGATGGATTTTACCACCAAGCTACATCCCCAGCCCTTTTTAATTTTGAGAAAGGCTCTTGCTAAATTGTGTAGGGCCTCACTAATTTGCTAAGGCTGATCTCAAACTTGCTATCTTTCTCCCTCCTTGCCTCAGCTGGGAGTTGTAACAACTTGACAACTTCTTTTTTTTAATATTTTTATTTTGTAGTTGTAGTTGGACACAATACCTTTATTTTATTTTTATGTGGCTGAGGATCGAACCCAGGGCCGCACAGATGCTAAGTGAGCCACTACCCCAGCCCCGCCATGCTCTTGACAACTTCTAACTGAAATGTAGAAAGTATATCAACATAGCTTCTAAAACAGAAAATTCTCTTTGTGCAGTACTGGAAACTGAACTCAGGGCCTTGGACTTGTTAGGCAAGCACTTTACTACTGAGCCACATCCTAGCCCTGAGAGTTCTATCAGGATATGTGAAGACAATACACATTCTCCTTCCTTACTGCAATATGCACATGATGCCTGGGAAAGGGAAGGCTGATCTTGGTGACATTTTCCCATGTCACAATGATCAGTCTTTGAATTCCATATGTTTCCTACAGGAAGGAAAGTGTTCCTTTCTGTCTTCAGGGAAACTGCCCAGAAACAGTTTCGGCTCAAATTTGCATCCAATACTGYGGTAGTCAGCCTGAGAAGGTGCCCAACAATCCTCTTCTCTTGGAATTCACTCTGCATTGACTGGGGGCTGCTCTGTGCAATCAACAGGCAGGAGCGGCAGTCATCCAAGGGTTCACAGTGCAGGCGCCCACCGCGTGAGTCAGTCACCCAGGACGGGGCTCTCCAACCAGTGCCCGTCCTTCAGGTGACTACAGGGCCAGCTGACATCTGCCTACAACTTTTTAAGATCCTGAACCAGGACTTAGCTCTCAAATTCCCGACCTACAGAAATTGAGATAGCAAAGGATTACAGCTGTTYTTAGAATTTTGCATTTGTAACAGATAATTTAAAAAAAATACACAAATCTCTTTTTAAAAAAATATTTTTGGCCTCACGAGTTTATTTAAAGTATAGACAGTGTATAAACCYCGTAGACCCGTAGTTTTTACACGAACATTAAACCAAGAACACAGTGCAACAATGTTTAAGAACAACCAAATACAAAGTAACTGCAAGAGAGGGCTGCTCTGCAGAAACTAACAGGCCCCGCAGCGACGCTCGGGCTCAGGCCGCGCGGGGAGGCCGCGCGGGGAGGCCGCGCGGAGAGGCCGCCGGAGCTTACGCGCCCGTGGGGGCCCCACCACCCGCAGCCCGCACACGCCCGGCCCCCGCACTTCCGTCCCGCCCGCCGGGTGCCGGCCTGGGCGGCGCCCTGGGCTCCACCGCGGGGGCCCGCGCGGCCCGACGTTCCCTCCCTGCGGKCCTGGAGGGCGGACCCCGCCGCCCCGCGCGGGGCCGGCCCCCACACTCTTCCTCGCCACGGCGGGCAGGCGGGCGCGGGACTTCGGCCCGGCGCGAAAGGCATGCGCATGCTCCGGTCGCGCGGGACCCTGGGAGCTGTGGTTTCCGGGGCGCGGAGCTCTGGGCGCGCCCCCTGCCTGCGGCCCGCGCGGGACTCCAGCTCCCGGCCGGCGCGCGCGGGGCGGGGCCTGCGCGCCKGTGGGCGGGGCCTGCGCGCCGATGGGCGGGGTTGCGCGGGGCGGGGCCTCGGCGCCGTGCGCCGCTGCCCGCTGTCGAAGGCAGGCGAGACGCAGGCCGGAGTCGCCCGCGGGGCCGGGCGCGCGCGGGGCCCTCGCTGTCGGCCGGGACGCGGGGGAGCCCTGCGCACTGCGGGGCGCGAGGGGGAGCGGCTGGGCGGCCAATGCGAAACTGGCTGGTGCTGCTGTGCCCGTGCGTGCTCGGGGCCGCGCTGCACCTCTGGCTGCGGCTGCGCTCCGCGCCGCCCGCCCGCGCCCCCKGGGCCGGCGCGGCAGGTGAGGCGCGGGGCCGGGGCCGGGGGTCTTGCGCGGAGCGTGGCCGTCGGGCGCCGGGGCGACAGGCCGGACGGAAGCCCATGCGGGGTGGGCGCGCTGTGCGCTCTGGGCCACGGCGGGGTCGAGTGGGACGGGCGCGGCTCGCGTGCCGCGGGTCCCGGAGCGCGGGGCCGGTTGGCGCGGTGCACTTGCGGGCACCCGTCCTGGCCGAGCGCGGCCACCGCGGGAGCGCACCCAGGTGCAGAGGGGTCCAGCTTCCCCTGCCGTTSCTCCTTAAGGGCTTGCCAAGGACTGTACCCAGAGCTGGAAAGCAAGCTATTTTTAAAGATGAGGTAATACCTATTTTGTTTTTTTAACTATGTTGGGATTATTTTCTTACCTCCTTTTCTCAAAACAGCTGTTTTTTTTTTAATCGGAAAGTTTTAAAAACTGGAATATTTGCTGTTAGGCATATGTCTCTTGAGCCTTAACTTAACAAAATATTTAGTAATCTTCAAAACTGGCTCACTGTCATATGAGATTATGTTGGAGTTATTTTAGTTTCTTATTTGACAAACCACCAGCTTTTTGAAAAAGCTATTATGTGACCTGAATATTATTTAAGTGATATGACGGAAGTACATATCACTTAAATACATATCACTTAGTGCTGTTAGCCTATTAACAAGTTGGGGGTTTGTTTTTTTTCTAGACTGAGTTAATAAGAAATTGCCATACATTTGAAGTGCTTGGTAACATCTGTTAGGTTGGTGTTTTATCAATTTCCTTTTCAATCAGTGAGTCCTACTGAAATGAACTTGCAGAGCACCCTTAGAATATTTTTTAACTTAACAGTCTTTTGGGGTTCAGTAAAACAAACAAAAACCTTGCCTTCATGCTTCCATCTTTGTGAGCCTGCAATCAGTTTCCTAGTTGGAGACAGGCTTTTCCTATTTGCTTGGTGTGTGACTGGTGCCTGTCACCCTGTTAGACCAGGCTAGATTAAGTAAACAGGTGAACTGTGGGAAGGGACAGTGAGGAGATCAATACTGGTTGTAGAAATTAACTCTAACTTTGAGTGGGTATTGGGCATCTGGTCAGATAATAAATAGGATATTGTAATCTAAAACCTGACAGACTCTTAACTTTTTCCCCTTAAGCACTTTCAAAACAAAACAGGACAAGGTTTGTGATTGCCAAGATTTCCCACAGCTGCTTTCTCTGTTATGCTTCTCCATGTTTAAACTAAAACATTTGGGAATTTTTGCATTTTGATCCTACTCTTTAAACCTAGACAGAAAACCCCAGGATTTTGCTAAATATTCTTCCCACAAGTTAGCATATTAAGATTTACTTCTGTTCTCTCTTCTGCCTCTTTGTCTACCTTTGATCCAATCAAATCGAGACAGTATTTTCTGGGAGATTTACCTCCCCAGAATATTAAGAAAGGCCTTCTGGCTAGCAGTTGGCTCAGCAAACATTGCAGCTTTCTCTGGGCCAGCTCCTGTATTAGGTGCAGAATTAAGCAGTAATCAAGATAAAGGGCTTGCCCTTGTGCATTTATTAATTGGAAGACAGAGGATAAGAAAATAATTATAAATCTCATGGAACGGTGACAAATATGTTTCAATAGGGAGTCACCGAAGGCCACTGAAGAGGTGACAGTTGAGCAGGGACCTGAGTGAAGTGAGTTGTGTTCCTGCCAGGATCTGTTCTAGTGGGGATTGCCTTCAACAGCTGAGACTCGCAGGAAGCAGCTGTTAAGGGGAAGCAGGCCTCCTTGTGAGCTCCATGCATCTGGAGGATCCTGCAGGATGAGGGAGATAGCCATGAGGCCAGGCATGCAGCTTACTGGTTTTGGGCAATGCCTTAGTAAGGATGGTTTAACAGTTAATTTAGAAGAATGATGTGATTTAAAAGAAAAAAGGGGGTGTGGGGGGGCCTTCCCTGTGTAGGCTATTTGGAAAGAAGAAAACCAAAGAAAGGAAAGGAACACATTCACTGAGTGAATACCTGCAGTACAAGGTGTGCTGGATGTCTGGTATGCTCAGAAGCCTGTGGGGACCTAGGGCAAGTAGGTCAGAAACCAATTGCTGCTTGCTTTGCAAGTTTGCCTAGGCCTASTTCTTCTAAAATTACCCCTGTATGCTGTGTGCTAATTGTGTCTCTGTACTTAAGTTTCTTTGTTTCGAAAATGATGATATAGGGTTGTTTTGAAGACTCAATGAGGCCCAGGACAGGGCCTGAGTCACAGCACTCCATGGCTTTGGGAGAGGAGGAGTAGTGTGCAATGGTGGTAGCTGAAGTCTGTGTTAGCAGGCTGTTTGGGAAGGTACCTTTGAGGCTGGCAAGAGCACACTGGAGTAGAGTACATGGTGATTCCTTCTCAGTAGGTCTGGAAGGAGCTTGTGTGGTTTCCTTTATTTTCACCTTTGGTGATTGATATTATCCAAGAGCATGCAATGTGAGAGTGGAATTTTGTTTGATTTTGTTTTTGTTTTTGAGCTTATTTTGAACAGTCAGTTTGAGGTCAGCCTCCCTAGGTTTTTGGATGTGCACTCCCTAGGTTTTTGGATGTATAGTCAGTGCAGAGCCTAGCAGGTAGCTAGACTTTCAGAATGTATTATAGTGTTTAAGAAAAGAAATGGTCACTATCCTGGGGAGCTTCCCTGGAGATATGAATTATTCCTGACATTGTGAAGAACTTGCTTGCTGCTGTCCGCACCTTTAAGCACAGAGAACACAGGAGGTGCTCAGTAATTTGAATGAACGAATCAAGAGAATAAAACTGGGGGGGATGAATGAATAAGTCATCCATCTGCTTTCATGCCACAGTGACTTTATGATTTAGAACTTGTTTCAAAGAAACTACTTTAAGTGTACTTGTTACAGAATCATATTGGTCATATATACATACAGTAATAATGTCTGTTTCATTCTACTATCTTTCGTATCACCACATCCCCTCCCCTTCCCTCGAATCACTTCCCTCTAACTCCAATCATTTACTGGCAAATGCCATAATTTTACTCTTCTTTAAAGTTGAATAATGGGCTGGGGATGTGGCTCAAGCGGTAGCGCGCTCGCCTGGCATGTGTGCAGCCCGGGTTCATCCTCAGCACCACATACAAACAAAGATGTTGTGTGCCGCAGTCTGGCTGGGTACAAAATAACCGTGAGGTCACGAGCCACTTGTAGRTTCAAACAGGAACTACTTTACTGCCTGAACCCCACGGGAACTCTCTAGAACTCCACGGAAACTCTGCAAGAACCAACGGGAAGTCCGAGAGAACTCAACGGGAACCCTGAGAGAACTCAAAAGTAGCGGCATCTACAGCAGCAGGAGCCACCCCACTGCCGGACAGCAGAGGTCCACATACACAACTGAATACACAGCTTGCCCCAATCCGGCATCATCCAGTTACAGCAATCAGTCATCATCCCAATAATTATACACAGCTGAACCTAATTATCACCATCCCAATGGCTCGCCAGTGTTACCTCCCAACCACTCCTGGCAAAATGTCAGGTACCATCCTGACTTGGTTGTGGCTCTCAACAGTTGTGTCCACTGAAAACTAAAAAATAAATATTAAAGCTGAATAATATTCCATTGAAATATATATATATACATTTTCTTTATCCATTCATATATTGAGGGACACCTAGGTTTCTGGTACACGTTTGGGGGAAATTATTTAATATGCTTTAAAATGTCATTGATGTAATACACATTCTTTTCATGTATCTGTGCAGCTTAATTTATTTGCACAAGTTCAAAATCCCCAGCTAATGAGCACTTAAATTTTTAAAAAAATCAMCACTGAAGTGCCCTTCCTGCTCTCCTCCATCCCTGCCTAGTAGAAAACATCACCCTGACATAATGGCAGAGCTTTGCCTGCTTTTGTGCTGTATATTAATGGAACTGAACAGTATGAACATAGTTTTTACAGCCTATTTCTCTTGATATGATGTAGGATAGTATCTGTCTCTGTGGTATTCTGTCATAGATACACCATGATTTATTTGATGGGTTCCTTGCTTGTTCACTGTGGGCTTGCAGTTTTCACTGTTGGCAAGTGGTGCTGTGGTGAGCAGATATTTGTGTCAGTGACTGTGTCTTAAGAGTTCTCAAAAAAAAAAAAAAGAATTCTGGCATATTGCCAGAGTGCCCTGCAGAAGGCAGCACCAGGTTATATGTCCATAGCAGTGAAGGAGAGGGTCCGTTTCCTTGAAGTCCCTGCCATCATTTAGTTCATATTACTTAAAACACTTGTCAGTTTGTACGTAAAGGAAAAGTGGTGTTTTACTGCTCTAATTCAAGTTGAAGTTTTTTTTTCTATGGGTTGTTGACTATTTGCCTTCTTTCGTGAATGATCTTTATGTCCTTTTGTCTCATGTTTTTCTTAGTTTTCATTTTTGTCCCTGTTTTCAGGCACCAGAGTCAAACTTGGTGCTGTGTGGTTGTAGCACATAGCAGGGTGAGAAAGGAGCCCTGGAGAAAGGTGACGTGGGTCACATCAGAGCTGTATATAAGCTGGTAGCTCTCAAACTGTAGCGATGAGAAACAAGGACGGAGCCTGTATCCTCTTTCTAAAGACAAGTTTTAGAGTTTGCATGTAGTCCTGCCCAGTAGAACTATGACAGTGAAAGATGAACCATTTATGACTTGTTACATGATTTTTTAACTAAAAATGTTGTTTCCCCTCTTTTTTTATTTTTATTATTTTTTTTTGCAGGGCTGAGGATTGAACCCCGGGCCTTGCCCATGCTAGGCATGTGCTCTCCACTGAGCCCCATCCCAAGCTCCTTTATTCTTTAGAATAATTTGTATATAATGAAAGTTTTGCTAGGTAGACTTCATTGACATAAGTAAGGGTTCTGATACTTTGCAGTGTGAAAGTCCTTTGACTTCACCCCACAAACTTAATAACTAATATCAATGCAGGACTTTACCTGTCGAAGCACTTTTCTTCTGGCATTTGCTGTTGAGGGTCTCTTCTGTGTCTGGAGCCAACCCAGGACCTTGGTACACATTAAGTTTTACTAGAGCTTTATGGGAAGTGTTGTTATATCCATTTTTAGTCAAGGAAACGGAGACTCAAGAAGTTAAATGGGGCTGGGGATGTGGCTCAAGTGGTGGCACGCTCACCTGGCATACATGAGGCACTGGGTTCAATCCTCAGCACCACATAAAAATAAATGGATGAAATAGAGGTATTGTATTCAACCACAACTAAAAAATAAATATTAAAAAAAAATAAGTTAAAGAACTTTCAGCTGATTGTGGCAGAGCCAAGATTCTGTGGCCTGATTGACTTGTTGTCTGTTATTGTTTGACATATTGCCTTTTCCCTTACCACAAGCATCTTACCTGTTTTGAAAAACTTCCATGCTTGCATGAGTGCAGAAAGATGGAAAAGACTGAGGTAGTGTTTACCTTTGAATGGGGGCTTATGGGTAATTAAAGACGTGTTTTTCTTTGTAATTACTGCACACCTAAAGACATTTTATTTGTAATAAACTGCTCCTGTTATACACTGAACTTACAGCAACTGAGACATAACTTATTTCTGGTTTCTCATTGTTTGTTTATAGATTCCCCGGCCTTCTTTCCTCAGTGGAAGTCCAGTCACTATGATGTGGTGGTGGGTGTGTTGTCAGCTCGCAGTAACCGTGAGCTCCGGGATGCTATAAGAAACACCTGGCTGAAGCACTCGCTGCGTCACCCAGCCCTGAGTCAGCGGTAGGTGCTCTGCAGGCTCCTTGCCTGCTTTGAGGGTGTTAAGACCCTGTCTTCTGGAGCTGGAGATGCTGATTGAAATACTAGGCCACCTTGCTTCTCTTACACGTTGTTGGGCCCCAGAAATGGATTTGACCAGTTTGAAGCTAATGGGCTCTTGGAGGAGAGTGTGTCTGTTGGTTATGCACCGTGGTTTCTTTTTGGCTCTGACCTCGTCTAGCAATCCCAAACATTTCCACTCCAGAGTGCTTTTCCCTGACTGCCCAGAGGTGGATGCCTGGGGTGTGGCRAGCGCCATGCACATGCCCTTTCCTGACTGCCCTGGCCACACTGTGCTTCTCAGCACCCCTCCTRTGGCCAGAAGGTGGCTCAGCCATTGGTTAGGAGCATGGGGCCCTGTCTGTTCTCCTTATAATGAGGGAGCTGCAGAAAGGAAGCTTAGAAGCCAGGCCCCGTGATGCGCAGACACTTGAGCCATGAGCAGAAGGGGCCTCTTGGGAGTTGAGCTAGCACTTTTGAGTAGCACTGCAAGTGAATTGCAGGTGTGAGTTTTCTTGTCACTGGCCATGAGCATTTGGGGATCTCCTGTCCTCCTCACGCAGCTTTCATTCCTTTCCAAGACAGGTTTCCTTAGTCATGATCCCAACGATGGTAGAAATCATTGCCCAGCAAGCAAAGGCCTAGGATTGTCACCACTGTCAGACCACCTCCAGAACACATACTTCCTACAGCCTTTCCCACCTTGGTGCCAGTTTCACCATGGCTTCCTTGCTTTCACKGGCCACATCCTGGCCCTTGGTGCTGCTTTAGGTCAGATCTGGAATGGACTTCTTCCACCTTCTCTGTTCCATTCTTACCTGATTGTGCAGGAGCCCCTTCTGTGGATTTCCTGCTTCTACCTTTGGCTCTATACATTCTGTTTTCCATATAGCAACCAGTATGGTCCTTTTAAAATTAGTAAAATAATGGTAGTTTATACCCCTGCCTGACTTCCTTTTCTTGCTTAGAATGAAATCCCCAGTGTCCAGTGGCCTCTGTTCCTCTGTGCCACCATCTACTCTGCACTGTATGCCCCTGCTGTCCCCTACTGAGACCTCACTTCCACTAGAAGTTCTCCTTGCCATAGGCCCATGCATGGGTGAAGGGCCCCCTGTTACATAGCAGCCCCTTCTTGCCCGCCTCTTATTCCCTTCTGGTGGTATTGCCACACTCACCACCCGCCAGTGCATCAGCACTTCACTGGAGCAGCTGTATTTAGATGTACATTACACATCATTTGTCTCCTTGACTTGGTGAGAATCCGACCTCTGTGTCTTACTGGCTCCTGGCGTGGCCTGAAGCAAGGCACTCAACACTTGAAGGAACAACTCAGAACTAAATGTAATGAGCAGAATTTACATTCAGATGCTCGCCAGTARTTCATTCACCTTCGTAGCAGTTCTTGCTTTAAATTTAGTAAGCTGGGTAGCTTGTTTTATGAAAATGATGGCTGTCTATATACAAATAGGTACTAGCTAAAAGCACCTTTCTGGGGAATGAATTCAGTAAGAGCATTTAAGACAGCTGAAAGGCCACTTTTGGTGAATGCATGCAGTAATTGAGTGCATTTGTCCATGCCTGTTTTGTTCCTATACTGGCCGGCCATGTGTGGGTTTCTGCCTTCAGTGGCCTTTGGAGTGTTTGCATGTCTGGGGCCTGGAGCACTTTCCTTTCCTTTCTCTGGGATCCAAACTCAGCACTAGACACCTTGAGGCCCTTCCTCAATTCTAGGCCTTTGTAGTGAAAACGTCATTTGTCGATTTGACATGTTTGTCAAGTGTCCTTTGTAAGCAGGCGGTGCTCTCTGTGGTGGAGGTGTTTGGAGGGCTCGCTATTAGGAAGGACCTGGATGTGATGGTGTTGCAAGGTGTTTCATGGGCAGTACTGTAAATAGGTATGAGATGGCCTGGGGTGTTTGGGGCTGAGGGGGTTGACGAGGGCAAGTGTTAGAAAGCCAGGGAAGGAAGGAGGGACCCTGAGAGGTTGTGCAGAGGGGTAGGGTGGGGTTCCTGTGCCTGCAGGAGTAGGCAGCGGCCCGAGCAAGCAGAGCAGGTGTGTGGAGGCTGAGGGAGCTGGGCCTGTTCAGCCAGGGCTGCTGAGGGATGAATTTACCTGGTCAGAGAAAAAGGGACTGGGGTGACTGTTAGCTTTTGTCAAAGTACTGAGTGAGAAGAGCGGTTTGCATGGGAAAGAAGCTCAGTGCAGTATGCTGAGTTGGGAGCAGGGTGTCCTGAGAAGTGTTTGTTGCCTGGCTGTCTGGAAGAAAGTGCTTCTATATACATGTTGTTCATTGTAAATTTCCCAGTTACAAAGGATGTGCACCACTTAATCGACAGATAATAGAATATATAGCACTCTCAGTGAATTCCACGTGGTCAGTCGGTTCTCACAGAATGTTTTTATTGTTTGCTTGACTCTCTCTTTTTTTAAAAAAATATTTATTTTTTAGTTGTAGTTGGACACAATGCCTTTATTTCACTTATTTATTTTTATGGGGTGCTGAGGATCAAACCCAGGGTCCTGCACGTGCTAGGCGAGTGCTCTACCACTGAGCCACAACCCCAGCCCCGTTTGCTTGATTCTTGTGTCTTAGCCAACTTGTGGTTGCAACTGGCAACTCTTTAAGTTAAAGAGTAAGACTGAGGGGCTGGGGCTGTTGCTCAATGGTAGAGCACTTGCCTTGCACATGTGAGGTGCTGGGTTCAATCCTCAGCACCACATAAAAATAAATAAATAAAAGGTATTGTGTCCATCTACAACATATATATATATATATATATATATATATAAATATAACTATATATAAATATATAAATATAACTATATATAAATATATAAATATAACTATATATATATATATAACTATATATATATATATAAATAAGACTGAAGTGCCAGTTAAGATATGTCAGAGTTTGCTGGGTGCTGTAGTGCATAGCTATAATCCCCGCAGTTTGGGAGGTTGAGGCAAGAGGATCGCAAGTTCAAGGCCAGCCTCAGCAGCTTAGTGAAGCCCTGTCTCAGAATGGAAAAATAAAAAGGGCTGGGGGATGTGGCTTAGTGGTTAAATCCCTGGGTTCAATCCCTAGTGTCCAAAAAAAAAAAAAAAAGATATATCAGAACTTGACTGTCAGACAATGAAATCAATGATGGCTTGGCTGAATCAGACCATAGTCTTGAACACTGGGAGGGAGTTTCCTTAATTTTGGGGTCCCATCCACAGTGTAACAGCTATGGGTACTTCACATTAAGTTTAATTTGCATTATTAACATTTTTCCCACACTCTCTTGAATGGAGACAATCAAGAAAACAATGTGTTGAGCGCTTCTTTGTGTTTTTGCTAGTTTCTATGGTGGAAGTATTTCCGCCAYAGCAAATTGCACACCACTAAAGTGACATTCCTGAATGCAGAATTGGAGAATGGTGTGCATAACATGCCTTTTGTCACATCCCCATCATACAGCTATAGATACAAATAACTTCAAGTGCACAATAGTAAAATATAGTAAAATCAGAGAATGGTGAATCTGAACATTTCCTTGTTTTTGATATATTTAATGGTAAGATGTGCAATTCTAATTTTTAATAAAGGCTGTGCTTAATCATCATTTCACAGCATTCCTGTGAGAGACGGCACTAGCTGGTTCAGGACGTACCTGCCAGTGGGTTGTGCAGGTAAAGGTGGCTGACTTAGGGATCTTTTACTTAGAGGATGAGTCCAAACTAAAGATACTAGTTTGAGTCATTCCCAGGCTAGTTTACCCTTGGGGGTAAGTAACACTGTCCAGGGGAAGGGAGTGGAAAGAGTTAGCAGACTGAGAAGAGCTCCAGAGGTGCAGCTCAGGAGGAGAAGAGCCGGTTACAGGCGTCCTGGTGGATAAGGTCTAGGAGTGGCGGGAGCCTCCCCTTGGGGAGGCTGAGCTCGAGCAGCAGGAGTACCTGCCGGAGCAGAAAAAAGCAAAAAAGGAAAATTGTGGCCTCAGAGGTTTTTGAGATGCTGCTTCAGGGTAGTTTGCTTCTGCGTGGCTTGCCTGTTTGCTCCTGCTTGCTGTTAGTGCTGTCAGTGCGGCTCACAGCAGAGGGCTCTCAGAATGCACGTGCTGTGGTCAGCACTGTGCCATTTGCGTGTTCCCCCATTTTGCTTGACTAGAAGACTGTAGAGTATTCTTCAGTGATATTCAGATGCATCTGGAAATTCCTTATGCTTAGAATCTTGAATTACTGAATTTTGAACTTTGGAAACTGCTGATTTCACCAGTTAATTTATAACAGTGTTGATGCAAATACCGTAGTCTTGTAGAGATTAATCCTCATGAACACTTGCATCTCAAAATAGAAGTTCTGGAATGGGTGAGGAAGCAGGCACGGGTGTGGTCAAGGTCACTGACTTGTGGATACCCACGTGTCTTTCAGGGTGCTTGTGAAGTTCATCATAGGTGCTCGGGGCTGTGACGTGCCTGTGGAGGACCGAGAAGACCCCTATTCCTGCAGACTGCTCAACATCTCCAACCCAGGTAGGTCATCTTCCTCCAAGCTGCATCCACAGCTCAAGTGTTGAGTAAAAGTTGCTAAGTTAAGTGGCATGGAGTCTGTTTTTTGCGGGGGTTTACTGGGTATTGAACTTGGGGGCACTCGACCACTGAGCCACATCCCTATCCTTATTTTGTATTTTATTTAGAGATAGGGTGTCGATAAGTTGCTGAGGCTGGCTTTGAACTCGAAATCCTCCTGTCTTAGCCTCCTGAGCTACTGGGATTATAGGTGTGCTTCACTGAACATGGCTGGAGTCTGTTTTTAACAGACTAAATATTTGTCATGAGAATTTGTGTGTCTTTCTTCTCCAACAGAGTGACTAATCACTCAGGGTATCTGTAGAGCTTCTTGACAGATACAGAATTTTAGGATCCAGAAGAGTATTTTTCAGTGATATTCAGATACATCTGGAAATTCCTTATGCTTAGAATCATGAATTACTGAAATTTGAACTTTGGAAACTGCTGATTTCACCAGTTAATTTATAACGGTGTTGATACAAATACTGTAAGTCAGCTTTCTCTTAGAATCATTGCCTAAGCTTCTACAAAAGGAATCATAAAAACTTTAAATGCATGTAGTATTTTTTAATTCTTGAGAGTTAAAGATGTGTGGGAGTCCAGTATGGTGGCACATGGTGCTTGGGAAGCTGAGACTGAAGGATCACAGTTTGAGGCCAACCTCAGCAACTTAGTAAGAACTTGTCTCAAGGTAAAATAAAAAGGGTTGGGGTTTGGTAGCTCAGTGGTAGAGCACTTCCTAGGATGTCAGAGACCTTGGGTTCAACAGCCCAGTTTGAGGAAGTGCCAATTCTCTTTCAGCATTTCCTGTGTTTGTCTATTAGTACTTTCTGTTGTGTTCAGCTGTGACTCTAAAGAGAGGTTCAACTTTTCCCAGTATTCAGTGGGCTGAGTTGATTTCTGGCATTTTGAGGTTTGTCCAACCTTTGCAGTGACCCATAGGTTGCTTTTAGAGACAGTGCTAGTGTACTGGTCAGAGCGTGGCTCTGTGGTTGGCTCTGCCCTACTTAGGCTGTGGGGCCTTCTGTGCCTTCCCTTCAGCGCTGGCTGCTGAAGTGTCTGAGAGGGCTCCTAGGACTGGAAGCAGGACACGCTGCCCCCACTGGGAGTCTGAAGATGTGCGTGTGCTGGGGAGTGGCACAGCATAGGCAGTGCTCCGTATTAGTTCATTTTAAAGAGCCTACCTTTTTATGAGGTTAGGTTTTAGTCGGCTTTTAAGTAAATTGGGCCGTGTTATTTGGGTCTRTGTTATAAAGCGGGGTTTCTTACTTAGATTGTCTAATGAATTAATGTTAATTAATGTTTATGTTGTAAGCAGAACATTGTATGTAAGTGTGTTGTTCTGGGGAGAGGATCCTTTAGCTTTCACTGGAAGCCCAAAGGGTTTTGAACTCCTTAAAATGCTGTATTGGTGATGATGTGGTAGCCTACAGCAAGTTACCCTTGAAAACCAAAACCAGACCGCAACCAGGAAAACCCTTACATTTAAACTAACTGGAACTTCATTCTGAAGAGCGGTTATTCACTAATAGTGAAGGAATGGACCTTTGCATTAGTAGAAAATTTCGATATATGTATTCAATGGGTTATACACTTTTTAAATATATAAAATCTAAGTTAATGTTGAATCTAACTTTATCTTTTTGACTACCTTGAAAGCATTTTTAGTTATTTCARTACCTTAGAAGGTCATCCTGGGCATTAATTATGACACTGTGGTGTGTAGAAGGTTTGATTAGTAGCATTATTAAAGCAAGGGGGTTTCCTGTGTCTAGGGAGCTTGAGTGAAAGGCATGTTTCAGACAGAAAATATGACTGTTGTGATGTGTTTGACCAGTTGCTTTTAACAGATATACTTCTACTTTTTTTTTAATATTTATTTTTTGGTTAGACACAATACCTTTATTTTGCTTATTTTTTATGTGGTGTTGAGGGTCCAACCTAGGGCCTCATGCATGCTAGGCGAGCGCTCTTACCACTGAGCCACAACCCCAGCCCATGCTTCTACTTTTGATGTTCTTTATTTCTTGCATATACAAAAGAGTTTTTGTTGTCCAGTGTATTTGGAGTCTGGACTCCTGACGGTTCTTGCCCAGCTCCTGACCGAAGTCTGTCCGCTTTTCCTTCCTGCTCATGTCTGTGATTGACTAGGAGCCATCACTTCCCTTTAGTCACATTTTATTGAAGATCCAAGTGTAAAATAGCTCCTAGGAACTCTGAGGTTGGAATCTAAATGATCTGCCGGTGTGTGGAAAGAAATTATAAGGTTTTAAAACTTATAAATTTAACTTTTTTTGTGTGTGTGTGGTGCTTAGGGTCAAATCTAGGGTCTTGTGCATGCTGAGCAAGAGCTCTCCAGTGACCTACAGCCCCAGCCCTAATACCATTTTTATTTATCTGAAAATAAGTAAATAATCTTTATTTAAAAAACCAAGTAGTTAATCTTTATTAATACTGAACATACAGAGTGACCAAAACGTATATTCCTGTGCATACAAATTCAGTAATTATGTGGGTTTGCATGTAGACTTAAAACTGATGGAGTGGTATAATCAAAATTTGAACACTGGGCTGAGGCTCAGTGGCAAAGCCTAGCATGCGTGAGGCATGGGTTCGATCCTCAGCACCACATATAAATAAATAAAGGCACGCTGCCCACCTACAGCTACAAAAAAAATATGCACACTGTAAGAACTTTGTTATGATAACTTCAAATAAACATAGGCTTTATATCATTTCTCAAAGTAGCTCTGATGTTCTTGGCCATATTGGTGGTTTCACATGGTCTCTGGTGATTCTCTCCTGGTACCTGGGGAGGTAAACTGGGAAGGACTGGGTGCCCATCAGCCATCTGGGAGAGGGGAAGGAGCACGGGCTTTGGAGTCCTTGCAGCTGGGTTTGATGCCTCCTCTGCCACTCTCTGCGGCTTTGGTAGATAGATTAAGGTCTCTGCACTTCAGTTTGTGGACCTGCAAGCTGGAAAAGGCCCCCACCCAGAGCCTGTGAAGGTGCCTGGGGCGGGGGGCGGGGATCAGACACCAGCCTTGGTGCTGTGGAGATTCCTCTCATCTGTGGTAGTAAGCAGGCATTCTTAAATTGGCCGACAGGAAGCAGCATTTGGGGGATTTGCCTATCAAGAACAGACTTCATGACTGCAGTCAGTGCGTTTTTGTTACTTCTGTTCATCCAGTTCTTCTGGTTGACCTGAATTTAATATTCTCCTGTGGTTTTCAGGTGTGTCTGACCGTGTGTGCAAAACCCTGTTAAGGCTGTGCTGATAATTGAATGACTTACCTAAATTTGGCTGAAAACTTCTTTTTTTTTTTTTTTTTGGACACAATACTTTTATTTTTTAATTTATTTTTATGTGGTGCTGAGGATCGAACCCAGTGCCTTGCATGTGCTAAGCAAGTGCTCTACTGCTGAGTCACAACCCCAGCCCTGAAAGCTTATTCTTAAATTTCAAAATAGGTTTTTTTCAAGGAGCAGCCTTGATTTTCAAACATGAAAAAAAATTGCCATTTGTGAAAAATCATATAATAAGTAGTTACCTATATTTTGCTGTTAAGTCCACTATTTAACAGCAAAATATAGGTAACTACTTATTATAGTTATTTTTTATTTTTTTTTGGATACTGGGACTTGAACCCAGCAGCACTTCACCTCTGAGCTATATCCTCAGCCCTTTTGAGACAGGGTCTTGCTAAGTTGCCTAGGGCCTCGCTATGTTCTCAGGCTGGCCTCAAACTTTTGATCCTCCTGCCTCAGCCTCCATGGAGTTGCTGGAATTATAGACTCCACTACTTCTTGTTGGTAAAGGAAAAGTTCATATCTGTTTGTGTAAAACCCATGTTCTCGTTATTTCCATAGTTTTGAATCAGGAAATCGAGGCATTCAGCCTTTCTGAGGAGGGTTCATCTGGGCTCTCTGAGGCCCGGGTCGTCAGCGTGAGCTTCCGAGTGCTCCATCCAATTGTCATTACCAGCCTGGGAGTGTTCTATGAAGCCAGCGATGAGGGTTTCCAGAGAAATATCACCGTCAAGCTCTACCAGGCGGAACAGGAGGTACGCGCCTTGTTCAGAAGCCTAAGCTCTTGCTCTTGGCGAACAGCAGGTGGGAGGCCAAGCAGCTCTCTCATGTGGGAGGCTCTCTTTTCTTGCCTCTCAAATTGAATACATGGTACTGCAATACATTATAAATGCTGGTTTGAGGGCTGGGAATGTGGCTCAAGTGGTAGCACGCTCACCTAGCATGCATGAGGCACTGGGTTCGATTCTCAGTACCACATAAAAATAAAGATATTGTGTCCACCTAAAACTAAAAAAATATATATATAAAAAAATATATTTGGGAGAGATTACCTATGAATAAATGTGTTAGATCTAGAAAACATAAGTAACCAGATTAGATTAGAAGTTCCCATCTTAAACTCCCCTAAACCTCAAGGATTTCAAAATCTAGTCATGGAGGGGTCTGGGGAGATAGCTCAGTTGGTAGAGGGCTTGCCTTGTTTGCATAAGGCCCTGGGTTCAATCCCCTCCCCCTCCCCCCCCAAAAAATCTAGTCATTGATATATAAAGTTTGGGACTCTTAAGATACGTGAGTGTTACTATGTCTTCTAGCCCTTAAAATCTATAATACAAGGTTAATAGCTGCTTGAGATCTTTTTTTGTAATGAAGATGTGTGGGAAATGTGCGTTTACAAGAACTGAGGTCACTCTGTTCCTGAATTTGGGGAAATCTGATTTGAAGAAGCAGAGGATCTAAAAGGACCTGTTTCTGGGTCTTAAACGTACAGAAAACTACACAATTATGCAGTGAGCACTCACTCATAGCCACCAGTCATGGTCTGCAGTAATCCACATCTTGCTGTTTATCACCTATGTTCATCCATCTTTCGAAAATGTCTTTCAGAGTAGGTTTCAGGATGGGTGCCCTTTAACCCGAACGTTCAGCATGCTGCCATTCACCAGACTTAAGTTTTTAAAAATTTGCATAAAGTACAACTTGTAGATTTTTAAACTGCATAGACCTGCTTAACCCACACTCCTCTCAAAGTACGTGGGACACACATCCCCTAGAAATTTCCCTGCGTTCCCTCCGGGTCTATTCATCCCCCATCCTCCAGGGGCTGCTGCTGTTGGGAGTGTTTGCCATGCACYGGCCTTGCCTGTCCTGGGACTTGGGTGGAGTGGAACTGCGCTGCAGTGCTCTGTGGCCGTGTTCCTTTTGCTCGTTTTCCAACTCTCTGGTCCTGCTGTGTGACTGAGTTTTCCTTCAGTCTTTTGTTAGCGGGTTGTGCTTCAGCATGGTGCTTGCCTGTGTGTTCCTGCCGGTAGGCACCTGGGATGTGTCCAAGAGTTTTCTCCTTTACTCTGTGTGAAGAATCACAGTCACTGACTTAGTCTACTGCTCCTGGATAAGCTCCTCTTGGTCACAGTCTGCTGTGATTTTCATACAGTGCTAGAGGTTTTGTTTCTCAATGGGCAATGTAAAGTTTGGTCTTTTTTTTAATCCAGTCCTAGAATTTTTGTTTTGTTTGTTTTATAGAAAGTGTTTATTCCATTTACATTTAGCATAATTATCAAAGAGTTTTTTTTCATTTTGCTTTGTGTGTGTGTATGTTGGAGGGGGGGGGTGCTGGGGATTGAACCCAGGGCCTTGTGCCTGAAAGGCAAGGACTCCACCACCTAGGCCATATCCCCAGTCCCAACTGAGCTATATCTCCAGCCCTATTTTTTTTTTCTTAAGCTGTAGGTGGACATAATACCCTTATGTATTTTTATGTGGTGCTGAAAGTCGAACCCAGTGCCTCATGTGAGGGGCAAGCCCTCTCCACTGAGCCCCATCCCCAGCCCTGTTGTGTTTTGTTCTGTCTTCTCTGTTGTTCCCGTTTTTCCTTTTCTGCCTTCTGTGGGTTGACTGAATATTTTTTAGAATGCTGTTTTTAATTTCTGTTCTTTCTTTAGCTTCAGCTCTTTGTCCCATTGTCTTGTTCGAGGATAACAGTATGCATTCCAGTCTTCTGTTCCTGTCCTTCCCCTTCAGGTCCAAGGCAGAGCGTTTCCTATTGTTGCCTGTGGGTTTCCTGTATGTGCCCCCTCAGTCCCACAATACTTGTTACAGTTTAAACAGCTGAGTGCATGTTAAGGGAATATAGAGGAAAATACTCTTTGACACTTGCCCACATATTCACCATTTCTGATGCTCTGTATTCCTCCATGAATGTCCAGTTTCCATCTGATATCATGGTCTTCAACCCAAATAATAACCTTCAGTGTTTCTTACAATCAGGTTTACTAGTGATAAATTTACTTTTCATTTTTCTGAAAATATTCTTGTTATACTTTTATTCTTTTTTTCTGCTTTATTACTGTGGAATATTTTCTGGATCTGGAATTTTCCTTTTTTTTCCCTCTAGTATTTTAAAGATGCATCCCCGTGTTTTTGGTGACASTTGTGCTAGGGAGAACGCAGTCATCCTTCATATTGTTGTTTGCGTATGGATGTGTGCAGTGGTGTGTGCATTTGGGGCTGCCTTTAAGGTTCTTTGTATTTTGTTGTGAGCAATCTGGATGTATTGTGCCTTGGAGTGACTTTTCTCTTTGTTCCCTGAGTTGCTGAGGCTGGCCTCCCGAGTCACTGGGATTGCAGATGTGGCCCCTGCACCCGGCCCTATATGTGCATGACACTTATTTTGGTATCGTCCCCTTTGTGAACCACTGTTCATTTTTCCTGTTTTTCAGAGTTAGGTCATTTTTAAAGTTTTTTTTTTTTTAATATTTAAGTTTTAGTTGGACACATTATCTTTATTTCACTTATTTATTTTTATGTGTTGCTGAGGATTGAGCACTCTACCACTGAGCCACAATCCCAGCCCCAGAGTTAGGTAATTTTTGTTGATCTACATTCAAGTTCCCTTACTCTTTTATCATCTCAATTATGCAATTAAGCCTATCCAATAAATTTTTTATTTTAGATTTGTTTTAGATATACTTTTCTTCAATTTTCTTCTGAAAACTCTCTCTTGCAGTTTCTGTTTCTCTAAACTTCTTGTGTGCTCATTACTTTGAGCATGTTTCTTCCTGACAGACACTTGACTACAGTTATAAAGGCGTCATCCTTGACTGCTTGTCYGTGAATCGTCTTCTGTCTTGAGCGCAGTGACCTTTTCTGTTTGATCTTCTGTCCAGTAACTTCAGCTTGTGGCCCAGATGCTAGAGCGAGTCGCTGTGGGAACTTGGGTCCTGCTGTCTTCCTAGGAGAGCACTGGATTCCTGTTCTGTTTCAGCAGTTGCACTGGCCAGATTCAGGCTCTGAGTGGCTTCCCTTGCCAAGGACAGCAACTGAAATCTCTGTTCAGTTCTCTGGGCCTCAGGGGGGCTGCTTCAGTGCCCTCACACTGTGCTTCCTGAGCAGCCACAGGTTTGGGCAGAATCCACAGGAAGACCGTGGCTCTCCCTCTGTGGCCCCTTCCTTGCAGGGGTTTCCTCTTCACTGTTTAGCTGATGTGTCTGTGCCAACTCCACCCTCTTAATTCTTTAGCCAGAAAGACTGCAGGTCTGCATTCAGTCTCAGTCACCCTAGAGTGGTGCCTTCAGACAGAGATGGGATGAGCACCCAGGGTCCCTTCTGGTTTTGATTCTCCTCTATGTTAAGTGGAATTTAACTGCCTTCAGGTCACCTTTTTATGCTTTGTCCAGATTTCATGATTGTTACCTCTAGGAGAATTAGTCTGATGTTACTGGAAACAGAACTCTGTTTTCTCAAATATTTCTGTATTATTGTTATTGTTAATGCTGATTGTTACCAATGGATACTGTGTTGGAGTCACAGATAATGTATAAATCTATTTCAAGATTAAGAGCCTATAGTTAATGTGTTAATGGAAGAGGGAACAAGTGACTCCAGCCATTACGATTGTGGCATGAAGAGCTTTATCAGGTTACTCCACTTCGTAGTCTCTGTGTTCCTGTGGTTAAAGATTTCGTGGAAGGGCTGGGAGTGTACCTCAGTGGTACAATGGTTCAGGGCTTGCRTAGCAAGCCAGCGCTGCCAAAAAAAACCCCAAAACAAAGCAAAAAAAGCCAGGTGTGGTGGCACATGTCTGTAATCTCAGCTACTCCAGCTCATGAGGCAGGAGGATGCAAGTTCAAGGCCAGCTTGGGCCACTTAGCAAGACTCTGCCTCAAAAGGAAATTTACAAAGGGCTGGGGATGCAGCTCACTGGTAGAGCATCCCTGGGTTCAGTCCCCAGTACCGCCTGCCCCACAAAAGATTGAATTGATACTGAAGTTTAGATAGGTAACCGAAATAACAGTACTCTGAATTCTGCTGTTGTCCTGATTTAGAGATTCGAATTACTCTTGAATTTTTGATGTACTCAATTGTCTTAGTGCGTGTAGTCTTTTTATAAAAACTATTTGTAATGCTTGCATTATCAGTCAGGTAGTTCAGTTCAGACACATAATACTTTGATCATGTTGAATAATCTCTTGCTGTATTTTTAGCTAGAGAGAAGTCCATAGTTTCTGTCTTTGAGGATGCACTGGTCTAAGGTGGATACTAAAGGGTTCACCAGAAGTATCCTCACTTCATTTCTAGAACTGGTGTTCATGAAAGATGTCATCTTAATCCATTGACACACCTGTGGTTGTGACTTTCTGCATGGTCTTGATCCCTGTGGTGACTTGGTGTATAAAAATAGTCATGGAAGAAAGAAATGCTCCTGCCTCACAGTGACATCCTGAGAATTGTCTTTTTTGTAGTCCCTGTTTTGCTTAAGATCAAATTCCTTTTTTGTGGTTTCTCCTATTCTTACTTCCTTTAGAGAGTATGGAGGTTCATTTGAAGGCAGTTTCTGAGTGCCTTCTGTTCTCTGGAAGCTGTAGTCCTCAGTCTGTTCTGCACTCTCGGGAGCGCTGGGGTTTGCCACTGAATTGGCCTAACACCRTCTCCCTTCCTTGAATGCTTCTCATTTCAAATTTCCTTTTAAGGTCATGTGGGTTACATTAGTATGTGAGAACCTCGTGACAGTTTTGATTGTCTTCTGTTTATTTAATAAGCCAYGATGGTACTAGAAAACCCCAAAGTTGCTAAAACCTCCATGGCACGATATTGGTGACCATGGTTGGGGTGCCTGTGGATTTTACCTACCAAGGGGCAGCGTTTGTCTTTGTTTTCATGTCTCTTCTCCCCCATGTGCAGGAGGCCCTCTTCACTGCGCGCTTCAGTCCTCCGAGCTGTGGCGTGCAGGTGAACAAGCTGTGGTACAAGCCCGTGGAGCAGTTCATCTTACCCGAGGTAAAAGCACAGTGGAAGCCCCTGCCAGTGTGGTCCTTCACAGGACGGTTGTGTGTTGGTGGGCAACGCAGCTCTGCAGGACGGGAGGCAGTTGCTGGGCGAGGTGTACTGGAAGGTAGCCATCACTTCTAGACCCCGAGGATGCCGTGAGCCCTCAGGTTCAGAACACACTTGGAAAGAGTCTCACACCTGGCCGTGTTGGCTCGCTGCAGTAGACACCCCATGACTATTTTAGTGAAAGCCTAGTGGGGGTGCTGACGGACAGACAGACATTCTGGTAATTCAAACTGTCTGCTTATCTGAAGAAGGAAGGAGAGCCAGGTGTGGTGGCGCATGCCCTTAATCCTAGCGGCTCAGGAGGCCGAGGCAGGTGGATTGTGAGTTCAAAGCCAGCCTTAGCAACTTAGAGAGGCCCTAAGCAACTCAGCAAAACATTGTCTCTAAAAAAATACCAAAAAGGGTTGGGACTCAGTGTGTCCAGTCTTGAGTGTGCTGGAGACGCCTCATCTGCGGGGCCTCAGCAGTCCTGGAGTTGGCCACAGTGTGCCATAGGGTAGGTGGCTGCAGGCATGCACACAGCGCCACCCACCACCTCAGCCCACTGTGAAGTGCTTGGCAATTGAGCACAGTAGTTGAAACGGCCTGTGATGACTCTGTGATTGACAGGGATCTTTTTTTTTTTAATACCTTTATTTCATTTATGTATTTTTTATGTGGTGCTGAGGATCGAATCAGGGGTCACATGTGCTAGGCAAGTGCTCTATCGCTAAGCCACAACCCAGCCGGCCATGGGGTCTTTCACCTACATTTCAACTTCCACTTAACAAACCTCTCCAATAAAAGCAACACTAAAACATTGGGAAACAATAGAAAAATGCAGATAAACTAAAGAAAACCATTAAAACCACCAAAATCTCATAACCCAGGAATAATCACATTTTAAGATTTTGACTTCTGTGCATGTATAGATGTTAGGATTATACTTCCCCCCCCCCGTTTTATAGTTTAACACAGCATGGACATTTTTCATAGAAGTATAATTCACTATTTTAGTGCCTATGTAAAATTATGCTATATAAAAATATTGTCATTTTTTAACATTAGCTGCATTTTGATGTGTTGAAATTTTTCAGTGTTATGAAAAAAAATTATAGTGAACATCATTCCACTTCTGTGTGCATCACTGATTGGTTTCTTAGGATGAGTTATTAGACCGAAGGGCATATATGTTTTGAAGGCGTATGATTCTTTTTGGAAGGCATTTTAGCAATTGTATCAGTTTGAATAATCATTAGCATTATATAAGAGTGCCTATATCTTTTTGTTTCCTGTATCTTTTTTTCTTTCATTTATGAACTTGTTTCCTTTCTTTTTAAGGCATGAACAGCGTGCCTTTATTTTGCTTGTTTATTTTTATGTGGTGCTGAGGATTGAACCAGTGCCTCACACGTCCTAGGCGAGCGCTCAACACTGGGCCCCAATGCAGCCCTGAACTAACTTGCTTTAGAAGTGCAGCGTGTGCCATTAAATTATCCTTTATTTTGGATTAAGATTGTGGCTCAGCTAAGCAGTGCTGGCCAAGCATTGGATCTCAGTTTTTGAAGGAAACTATCTTTAGTTAGTTCCTATGTTTACCCAGAAGGTTTTTGCTGTGTGCCAAGGGTGGGCCTCATCAAGACTCAACCTGGGGTGCTGCTGCCTATTGGCTCACATGAGGTGGGTGCTGCTACCTGTGCCAGRACCCTGCTGAGAGTGTCGCCTGGTTACCTAGTTGGTTTGGCTCCTTTAGACTGAAGCAGGCCAGTAAGAGTCCCTCCTGTAGGCTTGTCCCAGTGTGGGCAGAATCTCCCGCAGACTGGTTCCCACGGGGAGGGTCACTTTATTCCCAAGGGACCAGGAGCACTGGCGTGGTGTTGGGTACTACCCAGAACCATCTGAAGCCTGCTGAAGGCCTGCTTTTCACAAAAGGTGCGAGAGGACTGGTCTGAGAAGATATGGGGATACACGTGACTGAGTCTGAGCCACTTCTCTGCCACTCTGGGGCTTGTGACCCTGCGAGGAGCCTGCCCTCACTGCCTGTTTCTTCTGGGCTGCGGAGCCTTGCCACCCAGGTCCGAGGCCATTCCAGGGACTTGGTAGTCCATGCCAGGAGGCTGCTGAGACACGGCAGGAGGTGTTTGCACGCTTCTTAGGCCGCTGCTCGCGCCCCCCCAGGCCACTGCTCGCACCCCCTGTCTGGACTTGGGTCTTGCTTCTTAAGAGCAGTGTTTCAGTCAGGGGCAGTGTGCCCTCGGAGGACATTTAGCAATGCTTGGGGACACTGCCCAAGCTGGTTTCTGGTGGCTGAGGATTAGGACGATGCCACACGTCCTTGTCACTGCATGTCCTTGTCGCACAGGAAAATGTGGCGCGGCCCAGTGTCAGTGATGCTGAAGTTAAGGGAGAGAAGGAAGAGCAACCCTGGTGCTCCAGCTGGTCACAGTTAGTCTGCTCCTCAGTTGTCCTGGCTACAGCTACACACTGTTCCTTTTCTCTGGATGCCCTTGTTCTTAGGAAGGCCACACTGAAATGCTTAAGGGTGTGCTGTTGTGATGTCCCTATTTTACTTTCAAGGAATGTGGCAACTGTCAGTGTGGGGAGGGGCCCAGTGTGGCCTCATGGGAACTGCTGGGGGTCTCTGAGATCAGATGGTAAGYCCAGGCTGACCACCTGCTGATGCTGGTGAAGGAGGAACTCGGCGGAGTAGTGAGTGCAAGGCAGTGTGCCTGTCATCCTGAGACCTCCGGGTTCCCATAGGCTTTTAGATGTGTTTGCTCCATCATGATGGTTGAATAACATTAACAAAAACTCAGTTATTTAACAGGGCTACATGGGAGATGAATGGTTTTCATTTTCTTTTTTTAAATTGGTTTCCTCAATGGTCTATAATACATATTAGCTTTATTGGGAAAAAAATAAAACCATGCTTGGTGCGGTGGCCAGTTGTAATCCCAGTTGCTTAGGAGGCTGAGGCAGGAGGATTGCCAGTTCAAGGCCAGCCTGGGCAACATAGCAAGACCCTGTCTCAAAATAGAACAAAGGGCTAGAGATGCAGCTCAGTGGTAGAGAACCCCTGGGTTCAATCCCCAGCACCACCAAAATAAACATACACACGCCTGTGCAGGAAGCACGAGGCCGGAGTGAACATGGGGAATGGGTTGCAGACAGCTTGCAATGTCACGGACAGCACGTTTCCAACCTCTTGTCAGGCTTTCTCCTTTTCTCTTGGTTTTATGTCTTGGCACAAGTTGCCATGAACATGTTGCTCCCCTCCTTTAGGTTCCTGGTGCTGTGACAGCTTACGTCAGAGGATGGACTGCAGGCCAGAGGATGGACTGCAGGCGTGTGAGGAAGAGGGGAGGGCGTGGCTCAGCCTGGGTTTGCAGGCAGGTAGATGCAGCTCCAGCGGGTTCAGTATAGAAAGATGGTTTTCTGAGCCAGGCCTGGGGATCATCTCCTTTGGGCCAGTGAACTCTGGTACTTACCTACCCAGAATGTCACAGACAGGCACAATGGAGTTGGGTGTACTGAAGGAGCACAGTGGGAGAGCGGATCAGACACCAAGCRTCAGCTAGTGGGTAGGGCGAGAGCAGTCTTCAAGACGGGGAGGGACTTTCCTTGACACGCTGGCTTTTCCTGAGGTGTGGGTCATTATTTCTCCTTTTGCTTTTTGATGCTCGCCTTCTGTTTGGCTTATTTTTCTCAGGCCATTTCATCTGTCACTGCCAGTGGGCTGGTGTCTTGTCACTGCAGCCCAGACTGCTTTCGACTGGCTGCTTGCTGAACTCTGCGTGCACGTCCCACAGGCATCCTACTGGGAACATCCCCTCTGTGCTACCCTTTCTTGTCTCCTGTGTCTTCAGCCTTAGGTCTGGTGTCTCCACCTGAACCAGCACCATGGGACACATTCTTGGCTCTCCAGTCCCCATACTGGCCAGCGGGCACTTTATTTTAAGGTCCTCCATGGTGTCCAGTGGGTACATTTTGAGGTCCTCCATGGTGTCCAGTGGGTACATTTTGAGGTCGTCCTCCATGGTGTCCAGTGGGTACATTTTGAGGTCCTCTGTAGTGACCAGCGGGCACATGGCTTTGAGGCATTGGTTTTGCTGCTGGAGCCCTGCTTCGCAGCTCTTCTGGTCTGGGGCACTGCCTCCTTCCTCTCAGGCGAGCTGATCCTGACCCAGCCTAGGCACTTCCTGCCCCTCCCTCTCCAGTCACCCTAGCAGGTGCTTGCTCTTCCCTGACCTTTGTGTGCGTGAGCCTCTCTCTCTCTCTGCCCCTCCTGAGGCCCTCTCCTGCTGCAGCCCTGTGTCTTCTGGCTTCCTGTCYCGGGGGTGGGTGGCTCCCACCCCCGCCTTGGCTGGTGCCAAGCTCTTCATGGTTTTCTGTGTGTGCCTGCGGTTACCTCCCACTTTCTGACCCAGAGCCCTTGGGGACAGTGCTGGTGGTACTGGGAGCCTGTCGAGCCCCGACCCCGCAGTGACTTCCTTCCCTTGTCATGGAACCTCATCTCGGTGTGTTTAGATAATTCCATATTAGGGTGATTTAAAGATATGGGCTCTTTCATTTTTGTTTCTGATCTTGAAACACACAGCCAGAGGCCTGGTAAATCATACATACTGAAACATTTAAGTAATGGCTTGTGGAGGAAGACTGACCTTAAATTTACTTGTTGGTCATATGTTCCAGGTTAACATTTTTTTTCATGATTATCAAAGTACAGAAATGTATGAAAGTGACATGTATTCATTGTTGGAAATTTGGCAAAATGCAGAAAGTTTTAAGGACGTGACTTCACCCATCTGTTGCTCAATATATTTGGTGTATTTCTTCCCTAATCTTTTTTCTTTATCTCCCTCCTGTATATGTGTCTGTCTATGGGAAGGTTTTGTTTTTTTAAAACTCAGATTTGAGCTAGAGGGTTAAGGACACCTAGGAAAAGTAGAGTCTTTGAAAAGGACAGTTTGCATCCTTCTGTGCTTCTGATAGTCAGAAGCCTATTTTCTGAGTAGAGAGTGCACTTCAGAGCAGCCCTTAGAGAAAGACGTGGCTCTCCGTGTTTTATTAAGAACTGAGAAGCAAGGACACAGGCTGCAGTGTGTCTCCAAGGAAGGGGGGTGGAGACAGTGCCTCAGGGGTTTGCAGATGAAGGTTAAGGGCACCTGAACAGCATAACCCAGGCTCTTGCAGTGTTTTTGTCTGCTTTGGTAGAGAAGAAAAGTTTTATTGCTTTAAAAAAAAAAAAAAAGTTTGTAAGCCACTGACCTAGTCATGAAACAGATTCACTCACTTTGCCTAGTTTTCTSAGCTGTTGACTGCTAGACGGTACTGTCAGTCCTCACCTTTTCATTTCATACATGAGACTGTTGATATGTTAGAGCTGGGTCTTCATGTGCCACATGGAGGTCATCTACTTGGCTTTAATTCCACAATAAAGCTTGTCAGAGTCCATAAGGAAGCATTTTATGGACGTTTGAATTTCAAAAACAAAAAGTGGCAAACAACTCTGAAAAAATACTTCTAGTGCACACAGCATACACAGGATCAAGATAAGTATTCTGCAGAATTGCACACAGATTAACAAAGAATAAAAAACTCAAAAACCAGGTGACGCAAAAGAGGACAGGCTGTCATCAGGAGAGAACAGCCCTGGGATCAGAAGTGTAGCTGAACCAGGGGTCATTCCCTGCACCCACATCAGGCATTCTCAAAACCCGCTCATAAGGTGATTGAAAAGAACTTTTGAAAAGCACCTTAGCGATGTGTCCCAACACACACAAACCTCAGCCTAAGAATTTCACCTCTGGAAATTTAGTTTTTAAAATACAACTTATTCGGGGAAAACAGACATTTAAGCCAAAACACTTCCGCATTGAGGTGGTAGCTGTTTGGCAGCCCCAAATGTCTGCCGCAGGGAGTGTTCCAGTAAACCCAGGTGCATCCACCCAGGGCGCACTGTGCCCACTGAAGGGAGCTGCTGGGCTGCACGGGGAGGCTTTGGGTCAGGGGAACCGAGACATCTGCCACCCAGCCTTATGCACTCTGGTTGATTTCTAGATGTGCATGGAAAAAGGTGTTAGAGTTGCAGCATAATAGCTTAACTGATGTGTTTTGGGGAAAGAATAAGCATTTCTCTCGGGTCTGAACCTAAATACTTAATCCAAATGACAACAGTAAAGAAATTGGCTTGCTCTTCATCTTTTCCCCAAAGAGCTTTGAAGGGACCGTGGTGTGGGAGAGTCAAGACCTCCACGGGCTCGTGTCGGGAAACCTGCACAGGGTGACCGTGCATGACGGTGGTGGAGTCCTCCGGATCATTACTGTAAGTCAGCCTTCTCTTGGGCTTTTCCTATATCTGAAAGTGTCTTAAAATTTATACCATTCCCAGGCAGTATTGAATAATGATTCTCATGTGCTTTTAAAACATATGTAGTAGTAAGTGTTRTTAAGTCGCCATGGTAAAGACAGACAGCTCAAGTGTTCAGTGTGATTCTGTAGTTCTAACACTGATGAATATGGAGTTAGCCTTAAGATTGGTGCATGTTTTGGGGGCTGGGGATGTATCTCAGTGGTAGACCACTTGCCTAACGTGCGCAAGACCCTGAGTTTGATCCCCATTGCTGCAAAAAAAGTGCATTGTTAAAGTACAATATTTTATTTCTCAAAAATTTTAAAATAGTTGAGAATGTTCACTAACTCACCTTAATAGTGAAATATCAGCTAAAATTCTATAGATACCTGCCACGTGCCTGTAATCTCAGCTACTTGGGAGGCTGAGGCAGGAGGATCACAATTTGGASCCAGCTTCAGCAACTTAGACTCTGTCTCAAAAACAAAAACAAAAAAGAATGGGGATGTAGCTTAGTGGTAAAGTACCCCTGGATTCGGTTCCTGGTGCCAAAAAAAATATATGTGTAAAATAAAGTACTAGAGATAAAGTGCCGAGTCAGATGCAGTGACATGCACCTGTGATTCCCACTACTCAGGAGGTTGAAGCAAGATCACTTGAGCCTGAGAGTCTGAGAGCAGCCTGGACAATACAGTGAGACCCTATCTTAAAGGGAGAAGTGGAAAATAAGTTGGATATTTGCTTTTATTTTTCTTGCTGAAGCAAATCTGATTTTCTGATTCTCCTGTTTCTCATTTTTTCAGACTTGCTTCAATTTTTTTTTAAATATTTTTAATTGTAGATGGACACAATACTTTCTGTTGTTTATTTGGTTTTACGTGGTGCTGGGGATTGAACCCAGAGCCTCACACACGCTAGGCAAGCACTCTACCACTGAGCTACAACCCCAGCCCCCACTTCAAATTTAAAATATACAAATTAGGCAGATTTCCGAAATGTGGAGTGATGAGGAAGGTGGGGCGGTGGGCCTGTGTGTGCTGTCAGGCCCTTCTCTCATTCTGTCTCTGGGCCAGCGGTTGAGGGTGGGCGGTTGAGGGTGGGCGTGGGGCCTTCAGCGAGTTCTCTGAGTACTCATCTGTTCACAGGGTTGGGTTCCCCAGATGGAGATGCAGAGGACGTCCCATGGCACAGTGGCACTCTGCTGCTCGTGCTGAGATGTTCACTGAACCTGCCCTGCCGCGGGCCTGTCATGGGAGCTCGGTGTCCGGGAGAGGAAGGACACCAAGCACACAGACTCAGATGCATGTCCGACGGCTCCCAGCCTTGGCCATTTGCATCCCGGGTTCAGGATTCCACCCTTTTTTGAAAAGTCCTTTGGGTAGAAAGTTCTATGGAGTTGATGGGTTTCTCTTAATTTCCATATTTTTTTAAGCCAAGTGCCTTTAATTCTTGCCTCCCTATAGTATTTGAGTTTATTAGAGTCAAGGAAATAAGTTCGGAGTTGAGAAGCGGGTTCGGACGGTGGCAGAGGGCAGAGGGTGAAAGGTCGAGGTTCAGGTGGGGGAAGAGGAAGCTCCACAGAGAGGTGCTTGGGCAGAGGAGGGTTTTCACCAGTTCTGCTCCCTGCCAAAGAATGTCCTCCAAACAGGCCAGCACAGCACAGTGGAAGCAATTCAAAGATGAAGAGTACATGACCTTTCACAGAACTGCAGGGTTGGGAGGGAGAGGAAGTGCTGGGGAGTGGTACTGGCCAAGTTGTGTTGTGTCATTGTGTAGTGTGTGCAAGTGTGAATGTGTAACAACAAAACCCACCAGTAAATACAGCTGTCACACACCAGCAAAAAAAAAAAATGGTGGGTAGAACTATGTGGCTGCATTCTGTAGCATTCCCCTGGACTAATTTCTTCAGCATTTGGCTACAAACCGTATTTTAAATTAAATGATGTGTTACCACAGTGCCTTCAGAATTCTCTCACTGCTGGCCCTCGAAATTGCTTTACACAGTAAAACTCTGCTGAACAGATTTGTTTGAAAAGCAAATAGCCCAGCAGTATCCCTTCTGCTGAGGTGAGTTCACAGAGGAAAGGCCGGGAACACTCCGACCAGTAGCAGCTGGAGTGCAGCTCTGATGGACGCTCGCTCTGAATTGGCGTGTGACAGTTTGAGTAGGGGTGTCGGCAGCTTTTGAGGTGACTCTAATAATAAAGGCACTCTAAGCCTAATAGGCAGAAAGGTCTGTTTCTGGCTCTCAGCAGAATTGGCTCTAGCCCTGAAATTCACCAGCCGTCCCTTGGGTTCCATCTGAACTGTTTGGGATTGAGTGCTGATCTTAGAGAAGCTTTTCTCTGAATGTTCACTGAAAGGTAAAACATGCCTATCTATTTGAACTTATAAGAATGATCAGTCTCCAAAAAGTCAAAATTTTCATTAATTTTTAAAGGGGTGGAGTTGGGATGTAAAATAAAGTGGTTTTGGTACCATTATGGTAGCAAATATAAGAACATATGATTCCACATTAAGTTGGAATTCCGAACACCTTTGAGCCACCAAGCATATATGATCTTAAGACTGCAGTTAAACCAGGCATGCTGGCGCCCACCTGTAATCCCAGAGACTCCAGTTTGAGGCCAGTGTGGGCACTTAGCAAGATTGTGTTTCAAAATAAATAAAATGGCTGTGGGTGTAGCTCAGTGGTAGAGCACCCAGGTTCAATCCCCAGTACCAGTACCAAAAAAGAGATTGTAATTAGATAACAAAAGTAGCAGCTCACTGTGTGCTGCAGTGGGATCCTGTCAGGACCGGTCAGGTGATGGTCCAGTGCAGTGCGTTCCCTTCTGCTGTGCAGCCCTAGACACTGCCATTCTCATTCATTCCAGGCTGGGGAGGGCGCACTGCCTCATGAATTCATGGAAGGTGTGGAAGGAGTTGCAGGTGGCTTCATTTACACCATTCAGGGTAAGTCAGCCTGTTGAGAAGAACACTGAACCTCCTTACACCTGATCTTTTTATTTATTWTTTTAATACTTGGACATAAAATGTGATCTTGTTAGTTGCTGAAAAAAATAGCTTTACTGAGGTAGCTTTACATACCATTCAGTTCACCCTTTTAAGGTGTTGATTCAATATTTTGGGAGTTCTGAGACCATCTACACTAATTCAAGAACATTTCCATCCTGCCAAAAAGAAAAGAAAAACCCTATACCCACTAGTCCCATTCTGTTCTCCCTACCTATTAAAACTACTAATTTACTTYTCTGTGGATTTGCCTATTTTGAACATTTCATGCAAATGGGATCATACAACATGTGGTACTTGCCTAGCTTCTTTTGCTTAGCATAATTTCTCAAGGTTCAGCCTTATTGGCCAATATACTTCATTCTATTTTTGTGACTATAATATTCCATTGGATATATAATGCCATAGTGCCATTTGTTAATTGATGCACAATTGGGTTGCTTCTACTTCTTGGCAGTTATGAATAACTACAGTGAACGCTAATGTATAAGCTTCTGTGATCATATATTTTCATTTTTTGTAGTTAAATATCTAGGAATGAAAATGCTAGGTCCATATGGTAATTCTGAGCAGCCATCTAAGGCCCTGCCAGACTGTTCCCAGCAGCGGCTGCCTGGTTCTGCGTATTYGTCACTCTGTGGGTTTCCGTTTCTCCACCTCCTTAGTGTTTACATTGTCTGTCTTTTTAATATTCCCCTCCTAGTGGGTGTGAAGTAGGATCTCATTGTGATGCTGAGTGGCATTTTCAAGATGACCAGTGATGATTATATATATATGGGGGGGGGATCTCCCCCAAAGTAACAACCCAGCTGAGCAAGGTGCAGTGGTACACGCCTATAATCTCAGCCACTCCAGAGCCTGAGGCAGAAGATTGTAAGTTTGAGGTCAATTTAGTGAGACCCTGTCTCAAAATTAAAAATTTAAAAAAGAGCTGGGGATGCAGCTCGGTAGAAGAGTGCCCCTGGGTTCAAATCCTAGTACTACAGAAGTACAGATTCCTGGGCCCCACCCCAGACCTACTAACTCTGCAGGCTTTGGGCCCAGGAGTCTGTATTTCAGGAAGCATTCCTCAGAACCACGGATTTAGTCTGCTCTGTTTTATTGCAAGAACACTGTGGCCCAAGGGTGTTCTGTGGTGCCACCTGTCTCACAGACAGTGGCAGGGGTGGGCCCCACCCACCCTTCCTCATGCAGCAGAGAATGCAGTGCTAGGCTGCTCTTGTTGATCCTCTCCTAACCCCTTGGCAGCTTACTCTTGTTTTTTCCAGAAATTTTCCTTGAGGTGTTTSAGAAAATCCTGACTTACTGTGTCCTAGTAAAAGAACTGCTGTCCTAAACCCATAGGATCTGGGGAGAGTCCCTGTACATACATGATCTGTGACTCACTGCCAGCTTGTGAGCTGGTAAATAAAATGTCTTTTAATGACATCAGTAATTATTTTTACTGTGGAATATCATAAATACACCAAAAATAAAGAATAAGAAATGGCTAGCTACACATTAAGAATTAGCAAATGCGTGCTTTTTGTTCTATTTGCTTCCCCTTGTTTATTGGAGGAGGTTTTTTTGTTTTTGTTTTTTTGGTGCTTGGGGACTGCCATTTATTAAAAAAAATTTTTTTACAGAGGCTAGGTTGTAGCTGGTAGTAGAGCACTTGCCCAGCATGGGCAAAGCCCCCAGCACCAGGGGAAAACCAGGTGCAGTTGAGACCTCCTCCCTGGTACTGCTCCTGGGCCCTGTTATTCTCTGCCCCTCCAAAGGCTGTGTCTGCTTCGGCAGCCGTGTGCCTGCCCCACTGTTTTTCTGCTTCCTACTATATGTTAACATACCTGTAAACAGCATAGTTGAGTATTTTTTAAAATTATTTTAAAGCAGCATAATGAGTAAATGACATCTGTGCTGTACATAYATCATTCAGTGGTTTTCATCAACATTACCTTTCAATGCCATTCCTTTTAACCTTCAAGGTCAGGTTGATTTTTATAACTGCTATATTATGTGAATATAGCACTGTTGGGCTGCTTTTGACTTAGGGGTCTGGTTCCCCCCACTGTTATAAACACAGCTGCAATGAATGTCCTTGCACCCAGCAAGTATGGTCTCCAGGGTTATGTCTTGAGGTGGGCTTAGCTGAGCCACGGGACTTGCATATCTTCAGCTTTGCTAGATACCACCACATAGCTCCCGCTAGCAGTGTGTGGACTAGAGCCCCATCTATCTACCTGAAGTTCCTAACTGTCCTGATGTTGCCTTGGCCCCGTGGTGCATCCTATAATCCTAGTTACATGAGAGGCTGAAGCAAGAGSATTCAAAGTTCAAAGGCCAGGTGTGGTAGTCCATGCCTATAATCCCAGCACCTTGGGAGACTGAGGGAGGAGGACATTCAAGGCAATACTCAGAAACTTAGCAAAGCTCTAAGCAACTGAGCTTAGCTGGGTTTAATCTCTAGTAACACCTCCYCTCCTTGGGAAAAAAAAGACTTTAGTAACTTATCATACAAGTTCTGGATCTTGGCTTGTTTCTCAACTGTCTTTTCAGAAGGTGACGCTCTCTTGCGTAGCCTTCACTCTCGGCCTCAGAGACTCGCTGATCACATGAGGAGCCTCCATGAGGAAGATGCCTTACTTTCAGAGGAGAGCAGTGTTCATGGTGACATTGTTTTTGTGGATGTTGTAGACACTTACCGAAATGTTCCTGCAAAATTATTGAACTTCTACAGATGGTAGGTTGGGTGGTTAGAACTTGTTTTATTGTTCTTTTGATGGAGGAAAAAAAAATGTATCGACATCAAACCACTGAGATTTTAAAAAATAGAAATTTAAGGTCACTGCACACCTGGGAGGTGGCCTGTTATGTCCCCGCTCCTTAGGAAGACATCTTCTAAGATGCTGCTGCTGCTGCTTATTTTGACAAGTGAATGTATTAACTGATCGAAAATAAGGCAGAAGCTAATCCATCTGGAGTCATTCCTCCTTGCCTTGGGAGTATCAGCTAGGAGTAGATAAAAATCAGTGAGTTTGGAAATGGTACCTTTCCAAAGGATCTACCCAGATCCTCAAACTAGAGTCACTCCCATCCAGGTCACTGAGTTCTGCTCAACTAAATATAAAAAGTAGCATAGAATGCATCTTGTACAGTAATGTCCCATTATGCTGGGCATTCGTTAAGAACACACTGGGCAAGGTTCAAAGTTTAATAGTTACGGCAGCCTGACATGAATGCCTAAGATATTTGTTTGAAAATATGTTCCTTCAGCTAGAGAGTTTTCATTGTACTTTTTCCTTTACTTAAATGAGCTTGATGTTTCTCTATCACTTAGTAAATATCAGTGAGGATTGTAATTGAGAGCAGTACCATTCTAAAGCCAGCGTTCTTGGTGGTACATGAGTGAGACACTGGGCATGGTCACACAGGCAGCTGTGAGAGGGTGCTGGTGATGGGTCTTCACTGGTGTCGCTGTGTTTCCTTGCACAGTTGCACCAATTCACACACCCTTTTCTGCCAACAGGACTGTGGAAACCACCAGCTTCAGTTTGTTGCTGAAGACAGATGATGACTGTTACATAGACTTAGAATCTGTGTTTAAAAGAATTTCCCAAAAGAGTCTGGATGGGCCTAATGTTTGGTGGGGAAAGTAAGTGAAACATGGTTTGTTTTGGCATTCGTGTACCTGAGCAAATGTGATTAGAGTGAAAATGTGCAAGCCATTTCCATAAGAAGAATGCGTCTGAGAAATGCATTTCCTACTAGATGCCTGGGTTACTGTAGTAGTACTCTGCAATTAGAGTAAAAAATATTTTGAGTGAAAAACCTCAGGCTGAGATAATGGTGGAGAGCAAAAGATGTGGTTTGTGTCTTTGTGCCCTAAAAATATGTTGTGCTCAGAAGCTTCTCTACCTTCTATGTTAGAATGAACACATGACACGTCTCTGCAGCTATTTTCTGCTGCTTCAGGAGCACTGTAAAAGGTTAATGATTTGGGGTTTTTGTTTTGAATATACACCAAATCATGATAGCTGGGCTCAATGTTATATGCCTGTAATCCCAGCAACTTGGGAGGCTGAACCAAGAGAATCACAAGTTCAAGGCCAGCCTCAGCAACTTAGTGAAACCCTGTCTCAGAATTAAAAGGACTTAGGGGCTGGGGATGTGGCTCAAGCCTGGCATGCGTGCGGCCCGGGTTCGATCCTCAGCACCACATACAAACAAAGATGTTGTGTCCGCCGAGAACTAAAAAATAAATANATTCAAAGTTCAAAGGCCAGGTGTGGTAGTCCATGCCTATAATCCCAGCACCTTGGGAGACTGAGGGAGGAGGACATTCAAGGCAATACTCAGAAACTTAGCAAAGCTCTAAGCAACTGAGCTTAGCTGGGTTTAATCTCTAGTAACACCTCCTCTCCTTGGGAAAAAAAAGACTTTAGTAACTTATCATACAAGTTCTGGATCTTGGCTTGTTTCTCAACTGTCTTTTCAGAAGGTGACGCTCTCTTGCGTAGCCTTCACTCTCGGCCTCAGAGACTCGCTGATCACATGAGGAGCCTCCATGAGGAAGATGCCTTACTTTCAGAGGAGAGCAGTGTTCATGGTGACATTGTTTTTGTGGATGTTGTAGACACTTACCGAAATGTTCCTGCAAAATTATTGAACTTCTACAGATGGTAGGTTGGGTGGTTAGAACTTGTTTTATTGTTCTTTTGATGGAGGAAAAAAAAATGTATCGACATCAAACCACTGAGATTTTAAAAAATAGAAATTTAAGGTCACTGCACACCTGGGAGGTGGCCTGTTATGTCCCCGCTCCTTAGGAAGACATCTTCTAAGATGCTGCTGCTGCTGCTTATTTTGACAAGTGAATGTATTAACTGATCGAAAATAAGGCAGAAGCTAATCCATCTGGAGTCATTCCTCCTTGCCTTGGGAGTATCAGCTAGGAGTAGATAAAAATCAGTGAGTTTGGAAATGGTACCTTTCCAAAGGATCTACCCAGATCCTCAAACTAGAGTCACTCCCATCCAGGTCACTGAGTTCTGCTCAACTAAATATAAAAAGTAGCATAGAATGCATCTTGTACAGTAATGTCCCATTATGCTGGGCATTCGTTAAGAACACACTGGGCAAGGTTCAAAGTTTAATAGTTACGGCAGCCTGACATGAATGCCTAAGATATTTGTTTGAAAATATGTTCCTTCAGCTAGAGAGTTTTCATTGTACTTTTTCCTTTACTTAAATGAGCTTGATGTTTCTCTATCACTTAGTAAATATCAGTGAGGATTGTAATTGAGAGCAGTACCATTCTAAAGCCAGCGTTCTTGGTGGTACATGAGTGAGACACTGGGCATGGTCACACAGGCAGCTGTGAGAGGGTGCTGGTGATGGGTCTTCACTGGTGTCGCTGTGTTTCCTTGCACAGTTGCACCAATTCACACACCCTTTTCTGCCAACAGGACTGTGGAAACCACCAGCTTCAGTTTGTTGCTGAAGACAGATGATGACTGTTACATAGACTTAGAATCTGTGTTTAAAAGAATTTCCCAAAAGAGTCTGGATGGGCCTAATGTTTGGTGGGGAAAGTAAGTGAAACATGGTTTGTTTTGGCATTCGTGTACCTGAGCAAATGTGATTAGAGTGAAAATGTGCAAGCCATTTCCATAAGAAGAATGCGTCTGAGAAATGCATTTCCTACTAGATGCCTGGGTTACTGTAGTAGTACTCTGCAATTAGAGTAAAAAATATTTTGARTGAAAAACCTCAGGCTGAGATAATGGTGGAGAGCAAAAGATGTGGTTTGTGTCTTTGTGCCCTAAAAATATGTTGTGCTCAGAAGCTTCTCTACCTTCTATGTTAGAATGAACACATGACACGTCTCTGCAGCTATTTTCTGCTGCTTCAGGAGCACTGTAAAAGGTTAATGATTTGGGGTTTTTGTTTTGAATATACACCAAATCATGATAGCTGGGCTCAATGTTATATGCCTGTAATCCCAGCAACTTGGGAGGCTGAACCAAGAGAATCACAAGTTCAAGGCCAGCCTCAGCAACTTAGTGAAACCCTGTCTCAGAATTAAAAGGACTTAGCTTAGTGAGCAAACGCCCCTGGGTTTAATCCCCAGTACCTAAATAAATAATAGTAGCACTGTTACCTTCCCATTCAGAAACTTAGAACTTAATRTACCCGTCTTCTATATAAAATACTCCTGGATAAAATAGTTCCTTTTCTTAAGTTTTTTCTTATTATTCTCTGCTTTTCAAGCTCTTTCCTTTGTAGTGACAACAAAGGAGTCCACAGTCTGATAGTGGCAGGATACATGTCATAACAATACAGAGAATCCACGTTTTTTAAAAATCTCAGTTTCAGATTGAATTGGGCAGTGGACAGAACTGGAAAGTGGCAAGAACTGGAGTACCCCAGCCCGGCTTACCCTGCATTCGCATGTGGGTCAGGATATGTGATCTCCAGGGACATTGTCAACTGGCTGGCAAGCAACTCGGGGAGATTAAAGACCTATCAGGTAATTACAGATTTCTAACCCAAGGCAACTCACAGTCCAAGTCTCAGYAGCGTAGGGTTGCATCCCTGCAGCAGCCAGCTTGCCGTGGGGGAGCATGCTGTTCTGTGGGAGTCACCCATCAAGGGTTATTGTTGCTCACATCTGGCTATCCAGTCTGCTCCTGAGTCGTTTGAGCCCACAAGTGTAATCGGTGTGAATATCAAGATTGCTGTTCATAGGAAGAAAGCTTGAAGAGCTTGCTCTCTGCTGAATATGGGTATAGTGTCAACGTGCAGTTTCTCCTGGTTACTAGAGCCACAATTTGCTGCTGTTAGCCCCAGGAGTCTAAGGTTCATGAGGAAGGGGCTGTCTGCTTGCTCTGTTACCATGCAGTGTGGTGCTTTCTGTCTGTGATCACTGCTTTTACATGTGAATCCATGTTTGGCCTTAACAGAATAATAGCAGAACAAAGAAGTGGAAAGACTGTTTATTTGGGAGTGGGTATGGCATTATTTTATAACATTTAAACTTTGGGACCTGTGTAGGGTGAAGATGTAAGCATGGGTATTTGGATGGCAGCCATAGGACCTAGAAGATACCAGGTAAGCAGGCCCAAGGGTGCTGGCCTTRTGGTCTTGGGAGTTGTGGCGTGAGGCCATATAGTGCACAGCTAGTCCTGGACCACAGCTGTACGCTGGATTTAATTCAGAACTATCCACCTCATTTCTCATTCAGTATTTTTCTGAGTATACTAAAAAGGAAATGCTATGAATGAAAGTTCCCTGACTCACAAAGAAGAATTAGGTTTTCATAGAGTTGATCAGAAATTCTTTGCAGTTTTGAAACTTAGAGTTTGCTGGCTTGTGTTCCTAGCAGTGTAAGGACCTCTGGACCCTCCTGATTGACGTCCATTTCTTCTGTTGTAACACAGTATTTTTAAAACAAACTGACTGCTGAGCCAGAAAAAATGAATCTGCAAAGACCAAATCACTAAGTAGGAGCCCTGGGAAGAAAGCAAGCTTTTGTCTCAGAGTATTGTTACATTCTGGATTCTTGCAACTTCCACTTTGGGCACAGAAGGTACCAAGAGATGAAGGCACACACAGTGCTCCAGAGGAGCTGCAGGGACTGTTGCGTCCCCCCCACCCCATTGCAGCGTGCCCTCTACTCAGTAAATGAGACCGTGAGCCCAAGTCAGCCTGGCAGCTTGGTGGACCTGTTCTTTTGTCCTGCTGTGTCCCATCTTTGATTCACTTTATGTTGAATATGATGTTTTACTTTCCATCTCTGAGCATCCTGAAATGTGCAAACCTGGCAGTTCTGATTTCCTGGTGTGCTGCTTCTGTAGGCTCCTTTGAGGCTCTTGTTCCTAATGTGTTGATTTTTTTGTGTGTAACCTCAAGTTTTTGGAACCCCAGCCTGTCTTAAAATTCAGCCCTACAGAAAGGGTGTCTACTGTCTTCTGCCTTGGGATTTTGTGGGCTGCACAAATTGGCCTATCAGCCCCAGGCACTCAGGAAGACCCCCCACTCCACTTGGCAAGACTGAGATGGAGCATTGACTTTGTTCTCATACATACCCTGGGAGGCTGTGGTCCTTCGGGGTGTTGGCTCTCTGGCCATTCTGATTGGTCTCTTGTCCCGTGCACATGGCCTTTATTTTAAAGCCCAAGTATCCAGGTACCTTTGAGTCACATACTGACTTCAGCTGTTTCTTCTTCATTAACGGAGTCCATCCAAACTTTAAAGAGTTTGTTTCTCATCTGTAAAAGGGAAATGATCCCTACCTAATTTTATTTTATTTTTTTCAATTTAATGGGGGGGGGGGGTTGAAACCAGGGATGCTGTACCACTGAGCTACACCTCCAGCCTTTTTTTTTTTTTTTTCAGACAGCTAAGGTGCTCAGGCTGGTCTTGAACTTGCAATACTCCTGCCTCAGTCTCCCTAATGCTTATAATCCCAAGTGTGTGCCAGGCACCTGGCCTCACAGGGTTCTTGAGAATTAAATGAGGTAATGTTTGTAAAGACTTGGCATAGTTCCCAGAATACTGCAAGCATTTCATCCAAATAGTAGCTGCTATGAATGCTGCTACACAACCAGTTTCTCAAAGCAGATATGAAACTCACCATTTGTAGTTCCCAAACTTTTCCTTCTTCCCCACTTGCTAACCCTTTTTTAACAAACTAACAACAWACTAATTGTGCGTGTATGGGGTCCAATGTGACATTCAAGACGTGTACATAGGGTGCCATTTGCCGACTGTTAATCCACACATAGCCGCACAACTGTGAGGCCTGATCTTTCCTGGAGACAGAAGATACCCCTCCTCAAACCTTGAGTTGGTTCATATGTGGAGTTATCCTTGAAATAATTTCAGCTTCGTTAGCATACATAAACACGCCCTGGTGCATGGTTGCACAGTTCACAGCTTGCTCTCCCCCTCTGCAGGACAGCCTGTGGCTGTGTGAGAAGACCTGTGAGACAGGAATGCTGTCTTCCCCTCAGTACTCCCCTCACGAGCTGACAGAGCTGTGGGAACTAAAGGGAGTGTGTGGTGACCCTTGTCAGTGTGCAACAAGGTGACAAGAGATTCATACGGGCTGCGTGAAGACCAGGGCAGGTGGATGATAATCTCCATGTAAGTCTGAGAAGAGCAGCCATGGTTGGCAGTAGAATAGATGGTCTTTCAGGAGAGCCCTCGGCTGGCACCTTCACCTGAACCAGTGTGGTACTAATTGTGCAGATTTCCTTCTTTAAAAAAAAAAATTCAACTAATAACTGTAGTTAAGTTTTTATTTATATATTGGAAAATGATTTAAAATTACCAAATTGTTTTATAAAAGGAAAAGTATTTCTAAATCATGATTAATAGTTCATCTGAGTTTGAATTTCTGCCTGGATTGCATAGGTCTGTATAGCTTGATTAGAGAACACATGCCAAAAACTCACAAATACTGTGTGCTTACTTACATGAGCAGTGATCACTTATACCAAAGTTTTGGGTTTCTGGAAATAATGTCAGATTTTGTGACTCTTGAATGAAATGAGCAGTTTGACCTTGGAAAGGAACTGATATAATTCTCAGTCATGAACCTGGCTTAAATATGTTCATTTASTTAGACTAATATCCATGGTTTTTTGTTAATGCTTTTTTTTTTCATTTAAGATAAATCCTGAAAATCAGTTTAGTACTCCTGTTAAAACACATTTTTATATCTCTTTGGGTTTTTGTGCCATAGGGAAGATTTTGCTTTTATCATTGCCCCCTGGGTAAGTCCGTCAGAGCTGGGAACACTATGCTCAGTTTAGGTATAACTATACAGAAAAGCCTGTGATTGCCTTGTTAAGGACTCTCAAGATAGTAWATCTGAGAAGAAAAACTCTAATACTCAAATTCTAATAAATATGTGCTCCCTGCTCAGAACTGGACCATGTCAGACAGTTTAAAGGATGTGCCTCCCTGAATTTAAGGGACACTTCCCCACGTGACCAAATCATTTCGGTAATCTTTTAAAATAGTATCAGTAGAGAATTTCATTAAAACTAGTCTGTGACAGACATTAGCTATATTCAGATGTTATTAGACTAGTTAGTTTCTATTTAATAATAGTGAGGAGCTATAAAAATACATATGAAGTAAGATCAGAAGATCATGAGTAGTCAAAGCCTTTATTACTGCTATTATATACAAGCCTACAAATGGTCTCTTCCTGGTGAAAAGTACATCCTCTGTTATACTTTCGGCAAGCTGTAAAACCTCATTTGACAGTAGAACTGTTCTAGCAAATCATTTCTTCCCAGCGAACCCCAGTCATGATGAACAGTCTAGTCACTAAATTTTTAAAGCTGGTTGTTACCATCTCACTAGTAGACAATCTCCATTTTCCACAGAATAAAACTGTAATGACTGAAGGTCATTTCCTAGTTCAATTTCTCTGCCCGGCATCTAAAATTAGAACAAAGGTAGGGGGTAAGATAGATCTGACAAAACATGACCTCCATGCCACAGGTTACTCAAAGTCTAATAAATATGTGCTCCCTGCTCAGAACTGGACCATGTCAGACAGTTTAATCATGTCTTACTGTGGAGAATTGAGCTTGACTGCCTCTTGGGGGTGGCTTACCTTGGGACTTTCATAGGACAGCAAAAGTTCTGACACAGGAACTTTGAGAAGACGTGACAGTAATGCCTTCACCTTTTGAATGGCCATGGAACCTAGCAAAGAAAAGGAAGATGTCTCAAAGGACAGCTACCTGTAAAACCAGGTCACATAATGAGACCAAGCTGCAATGATAGCTGTCCCTGTTGGTTATCAGTTCATCCAGGAAAATAAGTAGAGGCAGATTTGTGTCTTTCTACCACTTACTTGAGTTATTTAGGAAACTCATGGAAGTGAAGCCAGTGTATGACCCAGGTGCCCCTAACAGTTTTCGTGCCGTTTCAGTAGGTATTATTCCTTAATCTGATAATCTAATTTCTGGTTTCTCAGCTCAGAGGAAAGGAYAGGTGAAATAATGGTTTTCTTTGTAAATCTTTGTAATTAGTTCTTCTGAGTTACTTACTGAAAGAAGCTTGGAGTGGGCTCAGGTGCCCTGAGGAGGTGGCTCAGCCTCCTCTGGGAAGGGAGGGTATAGACTGAGATGGACAAGTTCCAGCATAGCTATCCTGTGAYTATCAAAAATGTGTCTCATGTTACACAAGCAACCACTAGGCCTGGAATGTAATTTAACTGAGCAAATGCTTTGGTGTGTTCAGAACATGGTATGAACTTCTTTCCAAAGATGGGTTGTGGTAAATAGTGGAGATTTAATTATGAAAATCAGTTTCTTTGAAGCTTTAGCTGGAGGTACAGCAATAGTGTGGTGTTCCCACAAATATCACGACATAGTCAAATGAGTATTTTTCTATCAATCATTTTTGTAAAAGCTGTGTTTTTATGCAACTTGTGATAATAAATGTGATCTTTATTTTACAATAAAAACTGGCCTTTTCTTATTTGTGTACTGAATACAGCTACTTGGTAGGTATTTAAAAACTTTATCATATTCACACCTAGGAGTAAATTGTAATTATAAATTGGACCTTTCAAAAGATTTGGGTGAATTGGCTTTCACTGTTGGAGGGTGGTGAGGAACTGATTCCTGCACACCAATGAGAAATAACACATTCCTAATCAATGCCAGAAACAAAGTTTCTAAGAGACTTGCCTACCTGTACTGTGTAGGAAAGTGGCAACCTGTATGTAAATAACTATCATTTCTAATGTGATTGTCTTGTTTAGAAAATATGAAGATAGTTACTTTCTCTCTGACCAAGCCTGTTAAAGGCTTCTTGTGTTCTYATGGGCGTGCCTGAGTTTTTGTATTTTTTTACTTGCCAATTCCTCTAGACCTTCATTACCCAATATAGCGAGCACATGACAGAAATTAGTGAATTTAAACTTGCTTAGCCACACGTAAATAGTGGCAGGCACGGCGAGCAGCACAGAGTTAGGCCTGGTTAGCTTTCTTTGACTTCACATGATAGTATGGGTTTTTGAGTTTATTCAACTACGCCCTGCCCCGCCTGCCCCTGCCATCAAACTTTACGTGTTTTTTATCTTTACCATTACAAGTGGTACAAAGTAGACCACTAGAAAGCCTGTACAGAGCATGTATGTATTTTCAGTTTTTATAGCAATTACCACATAACTTAATAAAAAGGGTATACGAATTTTTCATACCAGCCAATATTTGTTTTGTTAAATTCATGCTACTTTTTAAAGGGTATTTATCTACATTAGTCATTAGTTATAGCATGTGGCAAAAAAATTACAATTAAGAACCCTGTAATCTGGTTTACTGCTGAGTTTATAGGATACAGGGCTCAGATTCTGAAGTCTGAAGCAGTAATCATCACACATAATTTCTATGGTAATTCTAACCTCTGCTGGTTCATCCAARGATTAAAAGAAACAGTGCATGGACATGGCAGGTGTTTCCAGAACAGGTGTGCAGTGCAAAAGAACCATGTTAGCACACATTCCCAGACTGCAGCCTTTGACTGATGGCAGCATTCTTGAGCATCAGTATTCCTTAGTGATAACATTTCCATATTTGTGGGAAAGAAAAGGGAAAGACATCCAAAGCTAGTAACACTGACAGAGTTCTGGCTCTTTTGTTATTTTGTACCCATGTAGCATTTACGTTTGGAAACTGAATATGAAAGGGAATCACTACTAATTTTAATAGTAGCAAAATTATACACTCTAGGACTAGAAATTGAATTGCTAACAAATACTTAAAATGGAGAAACAGTGGTAGATTAACACTAAATGAATAGTTATCGATCATAAATATACTTCTTGAATACCACCCACGCGTACCATAAGCAATGCCATTGTAAGCTTGCTAATGTGCAGTTACTGCACTGGGGCAGACATGTGAATTTAGTTTACTGAAATCCTATAAACTGATCTGCATTTCATTCCTCCTTCAAGTTTTCACTGCTCTAGATTTGGTATTTTAACATTTAGCTCATGTTTAGCTATGAATCAATTATGGTATACTAAACAATTATTTGTCTTTTGAGTGAAAGTTTAATTTATTGATCTAATTTGTTGACATAAAAGTATTTTTCTAAAACTAATTCAGTTCTTGGGATTAAACCCAAGAATGCTATACTATACCTCTAGCCCATTTTTATTTTCTRTATGTGTTACTTACTGGGGACTAAACCTAGGGGGTGCTTCACCAAGGAACTACATCCCTGGTCCTTTATTTTGAGAACTGGTCTCAAAAATTGCTAAGGCTGGCCTTGAACTTGTGGTCCTCCATCTTCAGCCTTCCAAGTTACTGGAATTACAAGTGTGAACCACTGTGGCTGGTCATAATTTTTTTTATTAACATTTTTTAGTTGTAGTTTCACACAATACCTTTATTTTATTTTTTATGTGGTGCTGAGGATTGAACCCAGTGTCTTGCATGTGCTAGATGAGCGCTCTACCACTGAGCTACAACCCCAGCTCCTGGTCATATGTTTTTAAAAAGTTCCAAAGTCTTTTTTTTTTTTTCCCCCTAAAGGAAACCATTCCAGTGTGTCTGATGGGGGAAAAAAAAAAGCATCCGAGAATGTTTTCTGTGGGGTCCTGATCAGTGGGCAGAATGGGAGCAGAATAAAGTCAMAAATGTGCCAGTGCCTCACTAGGACATGTCTCCTTTTCTCTTTAGACAAGAGCCTCCAGAATGATGATCAGAACTAAGCTCAATGGGCCTGAGGAATTCCTAAGAGGCTAAGCCAGTCAACCCCTTAGTCCATAAATATCACAAGCAAAGGCTCCCAATTAAAAACAAAAGACTTTTCCAGATAAGCTGATAAAGTTATGGGAGTCAAAAGACATAATTTTTAAGTATACCATGGTAATGGTATACTAAATTCCCAAGATTCCCAAGTTAACTTGATTCATAGCTAAACATTAGCTAAATGTTAAAATACCAAATCCAGGGAGTTGGGAGGCTGAGGCAGGAAGATCCCAAGGTCCAGGGCAGCCTGTGCAACTTATACTCTATCTAAAAACGTAGTATGTATCCTTGGGTAGAATCCCCAGTACTGCCAAAAGGTATGGGAGACCTGAATTTTGGGGGGCTAGAGGAGTGACATTAGCACAGCTGATTATATTTTAGAATACAAAAGACTAATGAAAACCTTTAAATTCTGAGGTCCACACTTCTAGATATTAATTGAATTAAAGGTTTCAATCACTGGTCTATGTATAAGAGCCAACCCATCCCCACACCAGTGATTCACAAGTGCAAGGAAGGCAAAGATGGTTTCATTCATCTTACCTGGCAGTTGCTTCTCTAAGACCTTCTGTTCAAGTTGGTTTGGATATTTTATCTTCAGTGCTTTAAGGAAAGAAGGAAGGACTACATTGATGTCTACTACAGTACTGATTTAAAATTTACATGCAGGGTTGGTTTACATGCTCATTGGTAGAAGTGTGCTTAGAATGTACGAGGCTTTAACTTCAATCCCAGTAATAAAACCTACAAGTTAATATCACTGCCAAATAATAGAGCTGTTTAGTATAACTTGTGTCAGTCCTGATAAAGAAATCTATCTAAATGATGTTAAATTTTTTTCCTGTTAAACACTTCCATGAATTCCTGGTGACTACAAAACAGCTGGAGCACCGGCCTTCCAGTGCTTTGCTTTTCGCTTCAGCATTCCTTTCCTGACAAATGAGCTGGATTTTCAAATGTAAGAAAAGTCACTGGTTTCCAAATCACAATGTGGTTTACTACTCAAATCCCTCCCACCTTTATAACACTATTAATGAGTTTAAAGCCCAGGAACTGTAGAAACATTGAAGGTTAGAATGTAGGGGGCTGGGTGTAGCTCAGCAGTGGAGCCTTGCTGAGCATGTGCAAGGCCTTGGGTTCCATCCCAGCAGGACACCACACACCAAGGAATTTCGGTATAGAGAATTCCTTTAAAGCTCAAGGCATTTCACTCAGTTCTTCCTAAAAGAAATGCACATTCCTATCAGGCCTTTGCTATCCCTTCAGCCTAGAATATAAAGCTGTGTGTGAATTTGGGATTCTTACTCAGTAGTTGGTTTTTCAGCATAAATGGTTGTTGTACTTTGAGTTCTCCGTCCTCAGGTGCACCATATTCTGTTTTAGAAGAAATCAAGAGGGACAAATGATGAGAGGTGCATGTCAGTGCACCTCTTTTCCTTCCATGTCAGTGCACCACCTTTTCCTTCCCCAGGATAAGCCTAGCAACCACTGTGTGCTAACCTGAACAGTTTGCTTTTATTCAGCCGCTCTGATTTTTACGAGAGTGAATGCGCCCCTCCCAAGGCAGAAGCCTCCAGTGTGTATCACATCACTGTTCCTCAGGACCTACAGCGTCCTGGCTCCAACTGTGAGTTAACCTGCTTTCAAACACTTCAAGTGGACACACAGTTTCAACTTTGAAAAATGTTCCCTTTCTGTAAGGTCTGGGAAAAACCCAGTACTATTTGGGACACAAGTCACAGGACACCTTCAAGTGTTAACATGGTATAAGGACAGACTGGGACAGACTGGGTGCCCAGTGCCTGCACTGCAGACCAGCTCTTCTGCCTGAAAATGCAGTACAGCAGACCCCTAGTTTGTGGGGGACATTCCAGGACCTCAGTGAGTACCTGGCACTGCAAATAATGCCAARCCTTATATCTGGAATATACATATCTATGATAAAGTTAGGCACAGTAGATCAATATAGCTAGCAATTGAACAATAAACTAATAAAAGTTATGTAAATGTGCACTTTCTTTCAAAATATTTTACTTTTTCCTTTACACTTAAATGGAGCATTTTATAGCTTATCTGTGACTTATCCAAATTGTAAGCATCACTGCTTTTGTGCTTTGGGGGTCTTTTCAAGTGAAAAATAAGGATTACTTAAACACAAGCACTGTGACACTGCAACAAGTCTACAAGGACATAGATGAGCGACTTTAAGGTGGGCAGCATATACAGTGTGGATGCTCTGGTCAAACGTATTCCTGTCCTGGGGGGACAAGATAGGGTGTTCATCACGTTCCTCAGAATGGTATGCAATTCAGAACTGAGAATTTTTTGTTATTTTTTTTTTTTTCTAATGAAAGTTGCAACTGCAAGCTGGGAACAGTGGCACATGCCTGTAATATCAGTGACTCAGGAGGCTGAGCCAGGAGGATCAAGAGTTCAAAGCCAGCCTCAGTAACTTAGAAATGTCCTAAGCAACTTAGTGAGACCCCATCTCTAATAAAATATAAAGGGGCTAGGGATGAAGCTCAGTGGTTAAGTACCCTGGGTTTAATTCCTAGTACCCCCCCCMMAAAAAAAAATTGCAACTGCAGATAGGGGTAACTACTGTACTTCTCTCCTGCTCTGGGCCAACAGATGAGGGAATTCCTCTACACACCCCAGAGATCTGCTTTTCTCTCTTGGCATTCTGAGCAATGAAATAGTCAACATAGCTGCCATCTGCTTTAGAACCTTTCCCTCCTCACCCAAGTGATTGAGAGTGGCCAGGAAATTGGGCCAGCTAATGAAGTAATTTGAAAGCATTCCCCATAGGCAGGTTTTCTTCCTCTCAGATAAGGTTCCAGCCTGAAGCATTTATGCAGTGAGCTTCACCTTGAATTTGAAAATATATAAAAAGGAAATTCACATAAAAATGAAATGTGGAATAATAATGAAGTTTTAAAAAAATTAAAAGTACATCAGGGACAAAGACTCACAAATTCTTAAGCTTGAAAGCCTGAGAAGCCAGGCTRAAGAATTTAAGGGACTACCACATATATCAAATGCCAAACTCGGAACATGAGCAAGCCTGGGGACAGAAGAGCTAAGAAGAAACCAGGTGGTGTGAACTTCTGCATAAGTTAGAATTACCCCAGGATGTTAAAAAATACCAAGTCCTTGGGCTGGGGCTGTAGCTCAGTGGCATAGCACTCGCCTAGCATGTGTGAGGTTCAGGGTTCAATCCTTAGCACCACATAAAAATGAAACAAAATAAAGTCATGCTGTCCATCTACAACCACAAAAAAAAAAAAAAAAATTTTAATGGGGAAAAAAAAAAATAACCCAAATCCTGTGAGATGAACTGGAATGCTTCCCACCCCCGCCTGGAGTGGAGAGTGGTAACCCCTCATGAAACTGACCGTCTAGAGAGCACAGGCAAATATGAGAGGACTTACATTAAGGACTGCTTTCCCTTCCTCAAATGCAACTCTCCCCCTTCAGGAACCTCAGAGTCTCCCAGCTCCTTCTGCCAAGAGACACTGATTTATCTCTGTCTGCTCTCAACTTGCTGAAGTGGCCCCAAGAAAGTACCTATAGCTCCAAGAGAAGGAGAAAAACRAAAACACACTGAACTGCCTGTGCTGCCCCAGGAAAGACCAACAGGTCATGTGGACATACTGTGGCACAGGAGCTGGTATCTAGGATGGGCTGCAAGAAATTCTTCATTTGGTCTGTTTTTCTCTGGATCCTGATGTCCACCAGCCTTTTTCCACTCATTTCCAAAAGCTTTTCGGTAATCAAGCTCAGCTCCTCGCCGTTCCTCTGGAAGAATCTATGTTGAAGTGAAATATAAACAAGTCTATGAAAACACTCACTTGTGTTTTGTACCTTGCCCTTCTCCTCCACTGCCCAAGCACAGAATAATCAAATTTAGAGGGATGAGATAATTATATTTTTTACCTTTCTTTTTTGACATTGACTGAACTCAAGAGTTTGTTCAAAAAGATTTCCAGTTTTATCTTTTTCTTCATGAGAACATTGCCCACAGGCTGGCTGATACTGGGTGCCTGGGGTCCCCTCTCTGGGGAATGGCACAGTGTGGCCAGGCCTGGCCTTCCCACTTCTATGGGGAGAAGCAGCTGACAAGGAGTAGAGACATGTTCTGTACTTTTGTCTTTTTTCTACCTAACTCCTCCAAAGAAATCGGAGGAAGTGCCCTATWGTACTCTTTGGAGTGTGTTTCTTTGCGTCTGCTCAAATGAAAATAAATCAGCAAGGGCAGTAGAGCGACAGGCATTTCTGGCACTAAACTAAGTGTAATCCTCTCTCCTGAGGAGTCAGAAAAGAATCATTATTACTAAAATGGACAAAAACAACCTACCACCCTTTGAAGGAAAGTTACATTTCATATCCTTTTACAATATCCAAATATAATTTCTTTTTACAGTTTTTGGTAATTTACCTTCTAGTCTCAAAAATATCTAAAGCCAGGCTTGGCTGTGCATTATTGTCTCCACTGTTCAGGAGGCTGAGGCAGCAGCACCTGAGCCTAGGACTTTGAGGCCAGCCTGGGCAGCATAGCAAGACCCATCTCAAAAACAGAATCCTGTCAAGATACCACTGCTCACCTCACATTTGTTCAGGGTTTTTAGTTGACCAATTTTGGCAATAATGAGCTGTCGAGTGGTCTGTGCTTCCTTGCTTCCTTCAGTCAGGGGGTTCCTTAGACAGGACAGGGCACGCAAGCTCTGTAATTTGTTTAGCTCATTGATGAATGACCACTGAAACCCAACAAGAGGAAATAAAAGCAATGTTTCAGACTACTTTTTCAGATTTCGTGAACTAACAACAGAAAAGCAGAAGTCCCCGTTCTAACCTGAGGCAGGGAAGCTTCATGCACAGAACACCCCATTAGGAAGACCACACTTTTCCATGACTGTGCCACCTGAAACCCTGGCAGCCTGCCTGGACATGCTACACCAAGCTCACTCTGAATATTTTTTACTTTGCATGAGGAGTTTCACTCTGCGGAGTTATTTCTCTTTTGATTTAAAAGGTTTTTAATAGAAGAAGGAACCTAGGAACTCCACAAGAGTGGGAATAGGCAATAATGCGCTGGGCACACTGTGACGCAGCCCTTACTTGTGATATCCGATTGTCATTTACTACAAGGTACTGCAGGGACGGGAACATGGATGTTTTGCACCCTACAAAAAAGGAGAATTAAGTCACATGGTAGAAGTGAAAAGAAATGGCTAAAGAACAGGGGCAAGGAGGCCAGGTGCAGTGGACCATGCCTATAATCCCATCTTATCAAGAGGCTAAGGCAGGAGAATCGAAAGTTCAAGGCCAGCCTTGGTAGCTATATAGCAAGACCCTGTCTCAAATTATAATCTTAAAAAAGGACTGGGAGTGTAGCTCAGTAGTAGAGTGTCTTTGGGTTAAACCCCCATTAACATACAACAGATGGGGGAGTGGGAGGGTGGCTTTACTAATCTCATACCAATTCCAGCATCCGGAAAATGTATAGAAGAAATTCCAGTGTCAGAAAGGATTAGTTGTTCTAATCTGAAATTATAAATGTTAAAGTTGACTACACAGAACAATATAAATGCTATGGGTTATCAACCAGTCTAGGTTTATAAATTCTTTCCTCTATCCTGGGTTTTCATTCCATGTAAAATGAACAGAAATCARAGTCCAATTAAAGGCATGCAGAAGGATTAATGCTGTAGCCTAGTGATTCTACAGGCYTCTAGCATTCTGTGCCCCTACTGCTGTCTCTCTTGCTAAAAGGGTCTAAGAAATAGTCTCAATTCCCCAAGTTTAACAAAGTGCAGGCTCAGAATTATATCACCAAGGTCAAATTATCCATTCATCAAATTATCTAGTACATAGTCCACATTGTATGTGGTTCACAAGTAAATTCTCCAAATGAATTAAAACAAAAACTTCCTACAGGAAATTGCTCAATTTAAGAATCTTATCACTATCATATTTCTATTGAGAAAGGTAATAGCATATGAAAATTCATTCTGTAAAAATTTACTAGGCCTACTATAATAGCCATTTTAGGATCAAATTACCTGGGCAGATAGGCTATCAGGAACAGCTGATTTTCATCAATTAATGGGTTAGAGGAAAGGTCTAACAGCTTGAGCATCTGTAGAACATCACTGGGCCTGTATGGAAAACACCATCTTTTCAGCATGTGTTGCTGCCATGAGCATGTGGCCTTAGAATACCTGCATTTGTTATTAGGGACCGCTGGGGTGGAAACAAGTGGGTGTGACCATGGAAAGGGAACCTGGGAGACCCTCATGGTGTGATTCAAATAATCCTGGCCAAATCAGTATCAGCATCCTGCTTGTGACACTGTGCCACAGATCTGCAAGTTTTTATCAGAGAAGAAACTGGATCATGAGGACAGGTAAATTCTGTATATTATTTCTTATAAATGCAGAAAAACAGCTGCATTTGGCTGTATAATAAAACCATCTGTACAATAAAATCTTACTAATTTGAATCCAAATTTGTTGAAAAATTTCCCACATGTGTTTATTTCACATAATTTAATGATGTAATAATGAGTAATTTAACCCATTATATCTAAATATCTCTGGGCTGGAGATGTGGCTCAAGCGGTAGCGCGCTCGCCTGGCATRCGTGCGGCCCGGGTTCGATCCTCAGCACCACATACCAACAAAGATGTTGTGTCCGCCAAATGCTAAAAAATAAATATTAAAAAAAAAATTCTCTCTCTCTCCTCTCTCACTCTCTCTTTAAAAAAAAATAATAATTCCAATAGTTTTTAAAAACAAATAAATAAATAAATAAATAAATATCTCATTTATAAAACACCTAAAAAATAAATAACAAATTTGCCACTTACAGTAACTTTGAGATAAATATTTACATTTTTAGAATTGTACTCTTTTGAGGAAAATAATAGATGAATGATTAGTAAGAATATTTATTAAATTACTGACATAATTAAAATTATTAATAATAAGCTTTATATTATGATTTCCAACCTATTTTAATGTACCTGTGTCAATTTCATTGAAATAGACAAAAACTGATACCCTGAGTTCAATCCCTGGTACCAAAAAAAAAAGAAATAAAGAAATAGATATAACTGAAAACTCGAGACTGAGTGTGTTAATAAGGAGAGGCAACAATACATATTTATTTAAAAGAACACACTTTTGGGGGCTGGGAATGTAGTTCGGCGGTAGAGCACTTGCCTAACACATGTGTGGCACTGGGTTTGATCCTCAGCACCACATAAAAATAAATAAAGGCATATGTGGATCTACAACTAAAAAGAAATACATTAAAAATATATTAATAATATATATTTAAAATAAAAAAGTCAAGGCTGGGCATGGTAACCTGTAATCCCAGCTATTCAGGAGGATCATGAGTTCAAAGCCAGCCTCAGCAATTTATCCAGGTGCTAAGCAACTCAGTGAGACTCTGTCTCTAAATAAAATACAAAATTGGGCTGGGGCTATGGCTCAGTGATCAACTGCCCTTAAGTTCAATCCCTGGTACAAAAAAACAAAAAACAYTCACTATTCAGCAGAGAACAACATCACATGATTGTAATCTCAGCAACTCAGGAGGCTTAAGCAGGAGAATAGCAAGTTTAAGGCCAGCCTGCGAAATTTAGACACTGTCTCAAAATAAATAATAGGAAGATCTTGGGATGTAGCTCAGTGGTAGTTGCATTTGGCTGTCTCCAGTATCACCAACATAAATAAATAAATCTATTATTTAATCCTTAGCAAAGAAACAGGAGAAAGTGCCCAGCATATCCTACAGAACTGCTATTRAGAAACAGCAAGCTGAATATATTTATGCAAAAGTAGAAGTATTTAATTCAGGGTGTCAYCCTCATGAGTTTCCCTCAATTCAACTAACTTTCTAATTGGTGAAGGCAATAAGTAATCAGAATTTAAGAAAAAAAAATTTTTTTAAGGCAAAACAGATTTATTGAAGGTGAGGATAGGTACAGCAGAGTAGGCTGAGTCCCAGAGGCTCAAGGCCAGTTTGTTTCAAACTCTTATCCGTAAATCCTCCTACCAGTTAAAACTGGATCTAACCATCTTGCTCAGGGTGACTAAAGGGCGCAGGCTGAGATAGAGCCACCTATTACCTTTCGGAAATGAAGATGTTGTTGGAGTCCAGATACAGCTCCTCAAGGACTGGCCACCCCAGGGCACACTGCAGCACCTGGAAGGGAAAGCTGTTCAGGGCTAAGTGGCCTCTGCTGGTGCTACTTCCTGCAGGCTCACTGCCACAGTTCCACAGCAATTCCATGCAGTTGCTGTTTTAGAAACACTRCCTCAAACACTTCTCACCAGCAACGAAAATGTTGATGGGCTGCACTGTAACATGCTGGAGCATTTTGAACCCAGCTGGTGGGCATCAGTAGCTGGTTTAGGAAAGGTGCTCAGAAAGTGAAGCTGGAGATGGTGACCAAGCACCATCTACCAGAGTCTGATTAGCCTAAGGTGCACAGTGGTGCTGAGCACCCTTCTCAGTTCCAGATGTCAGTATGGTGTGTAAAGGATGCACCATTCAGACAATGTGTCTCAATATTTCTAAGCATCCTTCCTGTCCTGAGGCTACATCTATACCTGGTTGATATCTATCTTATCCCAAGAAGGAGTATGGGAGTGGAGTGCCAGAGGTTGGGGCCAGGTCAAGGGTGATGGGACCCCACTGAGCTACCTCTGTGGCACTCTGTAGACAAAGGACACAGCTGAGCATTTCTGTGCTTGCTTTATGGTGGAATATTTTGGGTGCGGAAGCAGAGAAACCATGACTGAAGATGGTACCAGATGCAAGTGCCAAATGCTGCTGTGCCGAGGACCCAGAGTCCACTTCTGACTCTGGCTGTCTATGAGGAGCAGTGGTGTGAGGAGCTGGACTTTCTACAAGGAAATCATGAGGTCTCTGCTCGTGAGACCTCTATCTCAAACCCCATATCAAAAAAGAAAAGAAAGAAAGCTCAGCACATATTTATTGCCTATCACTATGGAGTGCCAGTGTTTAACAGGCCACTAGAGCAAATCCAAATGGGCTGAGGGAGAAGGACCAAGGAAGAACATGGATTCCTAAATATAAAATTCTAATTTTCTAACTCCTGTTATGCAGTATAAAGAATCCCATTACTTGGATAATAGGATGATTTAAATGAAGCCACATTTGTGCTTTAATTCCCTATAAAGCAAACATTTCCAACTACTTATTACTATGTAATAAACCAAAGAAACATAATTACCTCAGCCCACGTAATTCCTGTTTGATTGAGAACTAATACCTTCAATGTAGAAAATGTTCCAGTTAGCACTGGTGAGCCAGAGGGAAACTGCAGCTTGTTTTCACTGTGTAGAAAGAGAAGATACAGTGTACTTTATTGCTTGTACAACTGAACCAATGAAGATAGCAATGATCTGGGAATTAACCTAAGGGGTTTGGTTTGTTTCAACCCTAAATTAAATGCTTATTAAAAACAGTGAGTGAGCCACCACAACTAATCTTAATATTTACAACATACAACCTTTTAGTACCTGATGTGCAAAAGTGTTTCCACAGGGTTAGGCACAGTGTGAGGCTGCAGATGCCTAGAAGCCTGAGGTGCAGGCATCTCTAAGGTGAGATTCCAGACTCAGGATGAGTCTCTGGATGTTGCAAAGGGCAATCCTGTTATCAAAAGTGTTACTGATCTCATGCTAGAACATGAACTAGAATTCTGCTTTTCTAAACATGGAGTCTGCCCCTGTGCTATTAGGATGGATAAAATAAACTGCTGTCCTTTCACATCTTTCTCTGAAGACAAAGTCTCATCTTGGAAAGTTGATAGTCACTTTCAGACCTTAGTCCAGCCAAGAGTGGTAATGCACACCTGTAATCCCAGTAAATTGGGAGGTTGAGGCAGGAGGATCACGAGTTCAAAGTCAGCCTCAGCAACTGAGCAAGGCCCTAAGCAACTCAGTGAGACCTTGAGCTGGGGCTTAGTGGTTAGTATCCCTGGGTTCAATCCCCAGCAGCTCCCCCTCCCCCAAAAAAGAATGAAAAGTGAAGAACAGGATATGATGTCACATACCCATAATCCCTGAGACTTGGGAAATTTGTAATCCTATGATTGCAAGTTTGAGGCCAGCCTTGAAACTTGAGGTGCAGGCAAGTTTCAAAACAAAAAGAGCTGAGAATGTAGCTCAGTGGTAGAGCATGTACCTATGATGTGCAAGGCCTTGGGTTTGACCCCTAGCACTGCAAAATCAAACAAACAAAAAGGAATGAAAGGGGAGGCCTGGCTGAATCCTTGGAAAGTTAGATTCTGAGATTAAAAATAATAAAATATTCAGAAAGGCCTACAAAATTGTGACATTAATAGAGTAGTAAAATAATGAAAACTTTTTAACAAAACTGAATTAAACAGTATCCCAATGAAATCACTATTCCTAATACACTAAAAACATCCATATGAAAAAGCACTTTTTTTTTTTTAAAGAGAGAGTGAGAGAGGAGAGAGAGAGAGAGAGAGAGAGAATTTTTTTTTTTAATATTTATTTTTTAGTTCTCGGCGGACACAACATCTTTGTTGGTATGTGGTGCTGAGGATCGAACCCGGGCCGCACGCATGCCAGGCGAGCGCACTACCGCTGAGCCACATCTCCAGCCCAAAAAGCACTTTTAATAATATCACCTATCTTCTCCTCCCCAGCTAAATATCACCTCCCTTAATGTTCCACATTTCATTGTCATATTTACAAGACATCTGAAAATTTTCCAATTTAATGTTAACCTATCTCATTCCCCCTCTCGATAAAGAGTCAAACACATTTCTTATTAATGATCATCTTATTGGACCCTCTAAAAGACTATAGTAACAATGTGCCCTTAAAGAATAATTTAATTTTAGGGAATTTAAATAAGCCCAAATTTGTCCAATAATATCTACTAGGTGGCAGCCTTACCATCTGATTCCCACAGAGATACTGGGAGGGCGAAGGACACAGGAGTTTTATGGTTCTCAACAATAAGGTAACCAGGAGTTCATACCTGAGATTAAGAACCACCAGGTTTTTGAGTTGATCAGCAATACGAATCACTTCATCCCATGATGACAACAGGTTTTTTGACACATCTACTCTTGTAATATCTAAAAGCACATGTTAAGAAACAATAGTTTCAAAGGACTCATGGAAGACATAAAAGTATTTACCTCTTTATTCTGGAGCACGGGCTCTTCAACTTTTCACCTTATACTCACTGTTTTATTTGAAATTGTTTTTGTGTGAACACAGCATAATGCTTTTCAACCTTTTAAATTATCCCCCAGTTGTCAATTCAAAACTAAAAAGCTCATTGTCATATACTTGAAATAAACATCTACAATCTTATGAATAAGAACCAGGTATCATAATTAAACTATTATCCAACAAAAAAGAGGGGGAAACGACAGAGATGGTAACTGATACATTAAGCACCAAGCTGAACCCCCAGGCCTGGCCCTCAGAACTGCATTGTGGCTGTAGGCTTCACCGTTCTCCTGCGTCCTCCTATATCTGTGTTACTGTGACCCACAGGAATCTTCAAACACATGGCATCATCTGGGGGCAGGGGTGGGGAGACAGGGGTTAGTTTGAACACAAGTTCAAAAGTGTCAAGAATGATTTGGGAATTCAGAGGGTCTCTAGTACCCTGGAAATAGTATGACACCCACTGTCACTGGTACAGGGATTCAGAGAAGAGTAAGCTAGCAGGACAAGTAGCTCTGAGCAAGCACCAGAGCTGACGGGCAAGCATGACTGCTAACCAGAGATAGTCATCATGCCCTAAGAGGGCCCTGGCTCCAAGAGTTCCAGTGAGGGAAAGGACTACCAGCTAAAAGAGCTGGACCTTACCCTAGATTCTGACATGGGTAACCATTACTCAGTTCGCACATCTACCYTACAAGTAATTACTGAGGGCCAGGAGGCCAGCAGTGGGCAAAGAAACGTCTGGGTGGGGGAGAGACAGGTGATAAGCATGTGTCTCCACGGTGTGTCCAAGATGAAACAGGGCACGTGGGAAGGCAAGGATGGTAGTTTGTACAGTGTGCAGGGAAGACCACCACCTCTTATAAGAGGGCATTTGAACAGAGACCTGGAGCAACCGGGGAAACGACACCTTGAAGAAGTACATCAAGAACAGAGGAATGACAAGAGCAAAGGTCTCTGGTTAGGATGGGTTCAGCCTATGACAGGGACAGCCAGTTTCAACATGCTAGGAGTAGAGAGGGCTGGGGTTCTGAAAAAGAGGTCTCAAAGGGGCTAAGGATGTGGCTCAGTGGCAAAATGCTTGCCTTACATGCATGAGGTCCTGGGTTCAATCCCCAGTGCCACAAAAAAGAGGTTGCAAAAGTCTCTAGGTGGCAGACCAGATCACAAAGGGCCCTCCCTAGGGACTATGTTAAAAACTCTTTGCCAGCCTCTGCCTAAAATGAGAATTGAGTTTGGAATAGTGTGATGGGATCTGACCTGGGTCTTTAAAAAGTCACTCCTGCACACACCTATAATTCCAGCAACATGGAGGCTGAGGCAGGAGGAGGACTGCAAGCTGGAGATCAGCCTGGCAACTTAGCAAGACCCTGTCTCAAAATAAGGATTGGAGATGTAGCTCAGTGGCAAAGTGCCCCTGGGTTCAATCCTAATGCTGCAAAAAAAGAGCTGAGAACACTAGGGGCAGGATGCTCCCTTCACAACTAGGCGCTGCTGAGTAGCACAGTGCTTTGGAGCACACAGGCCCAGGTCTCCCTGGTGTCAAACAGGGAAGGAGCAAGGAAAGGCCAGGCCTTTGGCTATGGGAGTTTCTGCCCCAAAGAAACAAGGACCACCCTGAGGTGAAAGCTTGCATGCACACTGCATGGAATGCCAGACCAGCAAACAAATCTAGTACCTGAGGGATCCCCCACCACCTGGCAACACAATGGCCCTCAGCTCCAACAGATGTGAGCTGTCCCTGCTGCTGTTCCAAAGGCTTCTCTCAGGCTGCCCCAAGGTACTGATAGCCACTGCATCCTGGAGGACAGTGGTATCCACCTAGGACCGATGTGCGGGGTGCTTTTCATTGCCTTGCAGTCTGAAACTTGGGCCATCCCCGCTAACCAGGGCAACAGGATGCGTAGAAAGAGATTAAGGCCATGGCTCCTGAAGTCCATCATGTAGGCTGGGGCTGTGCACATTTCTGCTGAGCAGTACACAGCACGTGGAATGGCTCTTCTCCAATCAAGGCTGAACACTGCAAAGGTACTTCCTGTAGTGTTCCTTTTCTCTCTCCCTCACCTCCTCTCTCTCTCTCTTTCCCTCCCTCTCTCCCTCTCCCTCCCCCCCCCTCTCTCTCTCTCACACTCACACACACACACACACACACACACACACACACACACACACACACACGGTGTTCAAGGATCTCTGTTACTAACAGTTCCTGCTCCTGCACAGATTCTCTTCCCCAAGTTCAGAGCCAGCTGGTGAGGCAGGAGGTGGCTGGTCTCTTCCCCTGGAGGAGCACTCGGAGTTGACATGCTCAGACCTATAGCCCTTCCACTGCCTATCCAGTGAACGACCTCAAAGACAGATCAACCCAGCCAGGCACAGTGGCACACGCCTATAATCCCAGCAGCTCGGAAGGCTGAGACAGGGGAATCCAGAGTTCAAAGCCAGCCTCAGCAAAAGCAAGGTGCTAAGCAATTCAATGAGACCCTCTCTCTAAATAAAACACAAAATAGGGCTGGGGATGTGGCTCAGTGGTCGAGGGCCTCTGAGTGCAGTCCTCAGTACCAGGAAAAAAAGAGGGATCAACCCAAAGGAGGATGGCTGCATTCCACACAACAGCAATACTTCAGTGTCATCAGGAGCTCAAGAACTAGACAGTRATCACTTCTACAAAGACCAATCACAGTGTGATTAACTCTTGGAACCTCTTTGAGTGTTGGGGGTCTCTTTCCCTGGGAAAGAGCAGTATAAAGAAGTAATATGTTGATTCTCCAGTATGCTGCTAACATCTCTCTTCAGCCAAACAGCCTACTGACCAGATGTTCTCTTACACTGAAAGAGCCTTGGACCGCCTGGTTCCTGATGTTCTGAAATCATTTAGGAGTGGGGCAGGCAGAAGCCAGATGCTATAGACATTCTGTGGTATTTTGCTCCTTATCAGTTRCTCCTCCATGTCCAACTTACACACAAAGTGACCATGTTTGTGCAGCACACTGGAATCAGAGAGGGCTACTCATGACAGCAATGACCAGCCTAGATGTTACAGCATCCCCAGGTCCCAAGAGACCACCAGGGGAGTGCTTAGGGGAGGAGTTCCGCTTAACTCCTTAAGTCACACCGTCAGGAGTCAGCTTGCTAAGGAGAGCTCCTTTATGTGCAATCTTTATCGCAAACCAAAGTAATTAATAATAAATTGCTACATTTTACATAAATTATTATGTAGCACTCAGGCCGATTTAGAGAACTAGGAGAAAACTTGAAGGTCTATTTGACTTGCCATTTGTCCTAGTTATGGGCATAAAAGCAATACATGGCAAAAACACAATGAGAGAAGGCAGAGAAGAGGTAACGACTAATTGAACTGCAGTCAGCTGCCTGAAAGCAGAACAGCACTTCTTTGTCTCATGAAAGGACATCACTACAGGGCAGTTAAGCTGGGGCACTGGCCTCGAAGCACCCTCAAAGCCACTGTTTCCCTTTCTATGTCACTGCTCTCCAGGCACTCCAGTCTTTCTCCACACTTGCAAGACAGGTGCCAAAGCCCTGAGCATACCACCTACACTCAGGTGTGAGGGAGGCACAGGCAATGAGTAAGTGTGTCCCCTTGCAAAGAGCCCCATCTAGAAACTTCCACCTTACATCTCACTGGCCAGAGTGAGTCACACTGCCACACCTGCAAGCAAGAGTTAGAGAAGCTAATTTATCTGGGTACCAACTGCCCCAAGAAAAACAGTTGCTGATAGGAAGAAAATTGGGAAGAATGGACATGGAGTATGCAACTAGCAATGTCTGGCACAATTATCAAATCCAAAGTCAGGTTCAGGAATAAGCAATCCATGAAAAGGATACTAGGACATGTTCTGGCAATTCCTCCTTTTTCACCAGCACAACTTACTGCACAGTTCCTTAGAGAAATCTCTTGCAAGTTGTTCAGATGACTGCATGAGAAACATAAGAGTTCATATGTACACACAAGCACATAGGCTATCTAATAGCCCTTTAGAAACACGCATTTCAGATAAGAAAGCACTACCAACACCACTCAGGCTCCCTGGCCCTGGTGTCCCTCTTCATACACCCCCATGCCTCCCCACCTCAGGAGAACCACACTCCACATCTGGAGGACAACTGATCCCAAGCAGACCATACTTCCACTACACACCCAAAACGAATTAAAGCATTTTTGCATATTATGAAACTTGATATGAATAACGTTCTCCTATATTAAAAGGTGCAATGAAGTAAACGCCAAAGCCATTTCTGATTACTACTGTCTTCTGACCATAACACTTACATATTTAAATTTCACTATAATTACATTACCCTAAAAAAGACTTTTGCTAGTTTTAAATACCTTTCAATTTTCATTAACATGTAAATAGATTTTATGACAATCAAGATATATAACTTCTTTATTAACATTTTTCTATAAATACTTTTGAACACTCCACAGAATCATCACATTAATCACTACAATGATTAAGTGTGAGCCAGGCATGGTGGAGCACACCTGTAATTCCAGTGACTCAGCAGGCTGAGGCGGGAGGATCTCAAGTTTAAGGCCAACCTCAGCAACTTAGCAAGACTGTCTCAAGCTAGGCACCGTAATTATAGCACCTTGGGAGGCTGAGGCAGGAGGATCACAAGTTCAAAGCCAGCCTCAGCAAAAAGCAACACACTAAGGAGACACCATCTCTAAATAAAATACAAAAAAGGGCTGGGTATGTGGTACCCCCGAGTTCAGTCCCAGTAGCCCCCTCTCCTGCCATCCCCCAAAAGACTCTGTCTCAAAATAAGAAAAAAGGGCCTGGGTGGCTAAGTGATAGAGCAACCCTGGGTTCTATCCCCAGTACTGCTAGAGATTTAAAAAAAAAAAAAAAAAATATATATATATATATATATATATATATATATATATATGTATATATGTATATGTGTGTGTATATACACACACACACACACACACACACCTACCAGGGTCACTGTGCTGATGCCTAGTTCAGTCAGTCACCAGGGCATTACTGTCCCTTCCCTGAGTAGCCTTCCAGGTTCTGGTGCAATGGTGCTGAGTCTGTGTAAACATCAGCTGCCACTCTCTAATTCTGAATCCATCACAACAAGTAGTACACCCCTCTGCACAGGGTTACCATGCACAGTTTCAGAGAAAAGAGAATGCACTGGCACAGCAGCTGTAAAAGACATTACTTAGTGCTCTCCCAGACTGAGGCACTTCTCAGGAGCAAATTCCTTAAAGTATACACCCCAAAATTCTTATTCAGCGGGTCAGGATGAGACCCAGGATTCTGCAGGTCCCAAAGCTCCTAAGATTAAAATGTGCAGAAGAGAAAACCAACCTTACAGGTGGTACCTGTTCTCTCTACCACACAGTGGCAAGTCGCTTTGTGTCCACACCTAACCTGTCATAAGCTGAACCATGAATTGGAAAAGCGCTGAAATATCAGCCTGTTATAGAGTAGTCCACAGTGATAATATGGTGAAAATATTAATAATGGACAAATTAGTGTTTTGATGCCAATCCAGAAAAAAAACAACCCTGCACTAAATAAGGATGTTAATTTCCGGGAACACTGAATCCTCAGATTGCTCAGATTTCAGTGTGCTGTTTCCGTAGAAAGGATAGTCCAGTTTGGAAGAGTCAGGAGTGTCCACAGGCAGTTGGGCAATTCTGACCCAGAAGCTGGAAAAAAATGCCAAACTTAGCTCCACCACTATCAGCTCCACTTACCAGCTCCACTTACCTCTGCTGTTTGATCACAGAGTCAAAACCAATGGTCTCCACAGGTTTCTTCCCAATTATAATTATTTGCTCTTCCCCATAGTCTTCTGGTCCATCTTCTAATGCATAGCGGTTCTTAACTGCAGTAAGAAAGTCCACTCCAAAATTTACCTTGTTTGGACGAATAAAAGATCCTCCCGTTGGGTGCCTGGAAAATGGAAGAAATGGAACATAAAAATTTCATCTCCCAATAAAGGCCATAAATGCAATGTTCTAAGGTTTTCAAAACTGCCTACATGCTGAAAAATCAAAACCAGCACACAATAAAAACAATAAGGAAAAATGTATAATCAGTATGACACAAAGGATACACAAGCATATAAAATCACTGTAGAAAAACCGACAAGAAAGATGGAACAGACAACTAACATGAGAGGGAACAAAATTAGACTCACAGGGCAAAGCTTGACTTTGCTAATGACAAGAAATACAAATTAAATGAAACTTTTCTGGCATAAAATGAAGAAAAATTATAAAACCWCAAAGACTTCAGGTTCGGTAGGTCTATAATCATATGCTTGCATTCCTCGGAATTTGTTAGCGAGCAATAATTTAGAAACATAACAAAATTGCATTTGCAAATATTTTGTATAATATTATTTATTTATAATTGAGGAATGCTGGAAGCCATAAAAATGACCAACTAGATAGTGACTATTAAGTAAACCAGAAAGATGCAGTTATTAAAAAGTGTAATACTTGAGGGTTGGGGCTGTGGCTCAGTGGCAGAGCACTTGCCTAGCATGTGAGAGGCCCTGGGTTCAATCCTCAGCACCACATATACATAAATAAAGGTACTGTGCTCATCTACAACTAAAAAATAAAAGTGTAGGGCTGGGGATGTGGCTCAAGCGGTAGCGCGCTCGCCTGGCATGCGTGCGGCCCGGGTTCGATCCTCAGCACCACATACCAACAAAGATGTTGTGTTTGAACTAAAAAATAAATATTAAAAAAAATTCTCTCTCTCTCTCTCTCTCTCTCTCTCCTCTCTCATTCTCTCTTTAAAAAAAAATAAAAGTGTAATACTTGAAAGTTGAGATTTTTAAAAAACTGAACAAATTGTACATGAAACAATGACAGGAATCACTTCTAAATACAAATAAAGAAGAGGAATTAAAATGTAGATGGTAGGATTATGTACAAAATCCTTTACATGACCACTTATATATTTTTAAAATGCAGATAAATGGGAAGAATTCTACAGAACTACAGATTACCATACTTTTTATTCAGGTTTCATAGCAATTTTTAATACTAATTCCTGGCAGAATTTCATCATCCCAGAACCAACACAACATCACTGCTACCATCCTAAAGCAAGCAGGCCAGCCCACATTCAAAGGGAGGGAGTGAGCTGCTGTGACCAGAAAATGAACTGTGGCAGAGCATCTCCTCAGCTGGCTCCCAGGCCATATGCCTTTGGCAATGGGATTCTGCCAACTGTTCCCAAGTGGAGCCTTTCTCTCTCCTCCTCTTCACTAGATTCAATCAGTAACTAACTTCTTAAGGGCTAAGCCTTAAGAAGGCTTGATGTTTCCTGCTTTGCCTTCCTGGAGGCAGACAGCACAGACAGTAAAGCTGCTCAGTCAATGAGGAAAGTTCATAGGGGAGAGAGACTGAGCCTATTCACAGGAGACCCAGAGCCCCTCAGTCAGCAACAATACTAGACCCCAGTCGTGACAGGCCACCCAAGGGACACGCTGCAGCCAACACAACTACAGCAAAGAAAAGTATCTCCTAAGTGCTCACGTCCAGCTCCCAGCACAGAACAGCAATCGTGAGCCACCAGAACAGTGGTGGGTCATAGCTAATTGAAACAAGCTTGGAAGAAGAGGAGAGGTGTATTTTCAATAATCTCTAATCAAAATTCAGTATTTCTGGGCTGGGGCTTTAGCTCAGTGGCAGAGCACTTGCCTCATATGAGTGAGGCACTGGGTTTGATCCTCAGCACCACCTAAAAAATAAATAAATAAAAGCATTGTATCCATCTACAATTTAAAAATATTTTTTAAAATTCARTATTTCCTTTTAATCATAAATCCCAGGCAACAAATCAAGTAGTGTCCACAACTTTATGGCATCAACAAACAGAAAGAGATATTTTCACATCATGTTATACTTCTTGAACATATATTTAAAAAAAAGCTTATTTCTATCACTATTTCAAAATTTAGTAGTTACTAGATATACTGGTAAATCTTATTACTTAATGTTATTGAATGAAGAAATATAGCTGGGTTCAGTAATGCACACCTATAATCCCAGTGATTTGGGAGGCTGAGGCAGGAGGAGCACAAGTTTGAGGCCATCCCCAGCAACTTAGCAAGACCCTGTTTAAATAAAAAGSAGTACAGCACTTACCTAGCATTTGTAAGGCACTGGGTTCAATCCTTAGCACCACATAAAAATAAGTAAATAAAATAAAAGTATTGTCTCCATCTACAACTAAAAATTAAAAAATAAAAAGTTCCAGGGGTGTGGCAATGGTTAAATGCCTCTGGGTTAAATCCCCAGTACGCTCCCCCACCCACAAAAAAAAAAAAAAAAAAAAAAAGAGGCAGGAGGAGGGAGAGAGAGAGAGAAATATACATTATTATACTCATTAAACATTGTTTTTTTCCCCTTGGCAGTACTGGGGATTGAACTCAAGGCTTAAACAGGTAAGCACTCTACATAGCTACATAGCTACATCCCTATCCTTTTTTATTTGGAACTAAATTCTAAGTTGCCCAGGCTGGCTTCCAGCTTGCAGTTCTCCTGCCTCAGCCTCCCAAGTAGCTGGATTCCAGGCACGCACCAACTTGTCTGGCTTTAAAACTACCTTGATCACTACATTTCAGTGTAACAAATTTTCTTTGTAATGCAATATATTTTTTCATGCTTTAAAAAATATTTTCTACTTGGTGCCAAAATCACTCATAGAACAACAACAACAACAATAAAAACCCTCTAGAGTATATTCCATAAAGAAGTAGAAGCTGAGCTTGGCCTTGAAGGATGAAAGATGAATAGGAGTTTGGCTTTTTTTTAGAAAAGCTTTCACACGACAGTGGCACAAATCTGTAATCCCTGAGGAGGTTGAGGCAGGAGGTTCATGAGTTTSTGGCCACTCTCAGCAACAGGGAGGCCCTGTCTCAAAATAAAAAATAAAAAGGGGGCTGGGGCTCAGTGGTAGAACACTTGCCTAACATGTGTGAGGCACTGGTTTGACTCTCAGCATCGCATATAAATAAATGAATAAAATAAAGRTCCATCAATAACTAAAAAACTTTTTTTAATTTAAAAAATAAAAAGGGCTAATGATGTAGGTCAGTGGCTAAGCAATCTGGGTTCATTGCCCAGTAGCACACATACACACACCAAAAGAGCACTAGTTTTTTTTTGTCCTAACATAGGCATCAGGCAGAATCTAACATGTAAAAACCTATAAAAATAAAGTACTGGTATCAGAAACAATAAAGGTTACTTTTCAAAGATGTGATTTAAATGAATTTAAATAAACTACAAGAACTCACAGTAAAAATACTAGTACATTTATCTGGGTRGGGTAGTGCATGTAATCCCACCAATTTGGGAGGCTGAGGCAGGAGGATCTGCAAGCTTGAGGCCAGCCCAGGCAATATGGTGTGACCCCATATCCAAAAAAAAAAAAAAAAAAAGGAACTGGAGATATAGCTCAGTGTATATTGGACTTGGATTCAATCCCAGGTACCAAAAAACAAAACAAAACAAAAAACACCCCAAAGCCCCACAAAGTACATCTATAAGAATACAAATTACAAATCCCTCAGTTTATGGAATTCCAGTGGCAGAGTTAGAGCGTGGTTCTTATACAGATGGCAGTTTATATTTTTGTCCTACATTTACACTTCTTAAAACAGTGGCTATGAAGAGTCAAAAAAAAAAAAAAAAGATCTTCAGGGCTGGGGCTGTAGCTCAGTGGCAGAGTGCTTGCCTAGTATGCCTGAGGCACTGGGTTTGATCCTTAGCACCACATAAAAATTAACAAAATAAAGGCATTTTGTTCACCTACAAGAAGGAGAAGGAGAAAGAGAGCTCTTTATTATTGTTAAGTCTGTGGGCGGGCAGATGAAAGAGTTAGGAACAGTGTTAGGAGGCTACAAAGCAGATGCTAGGCCCTTTACAGATTAAAGGCCAATACTGAAGATTAATCTTTGATTTTTTTTTCCCCCAGCATTGGGGGATGAACCCAGAGACACTCTACTATGGAGCTATATCCCCCGACCTTTTTATTTTGTATTTTCAGACAGGGTCTCTCTGAGTTGCCCAGGCTGGCCCTGAACTTGTGATCCTCTTGCCTCTCAGCTTCCATAGCAGCTGGATTACTACTTGTTTACACCACTTTACCTGACAAATAACAATCTTTTATGGAACATACCCAGCAGGTTTCTTAAAAAACAAAACAGCTCAGTAAACAATGAAAAATGCAAGCTGTGCATGAATCCATCAACAAAAACAAATCTCCCAAAAAACAAACAAAAAAACTGTAATGATTTATACAGTCTCTACTGAAATTCTAGATGGACATTTAGATGCTCACTGGAACACTGAAATTCTGAACTCTTGTCTAAAAAGAAAAGTCCTGGTAGAGTCCTGTTTATCTTGTAAGCACTTGACTTGTTCAAGTTTCTTCCTCTTTCTACAACAACAGCTCCTGACTGTGGCCTTCATGGAAATGGCAGCTGCTCAAGAAATTCGAAGAGTCTCAATCTGCCTTATTTCTCCAGTAGGGCTCTCATATCAAATTCAGGAGGTCCAGTTAAATTTGAATTTCAGTCAGACAGCAAATCATTTTAGTATACATCTGAAATCCAAGTTTCACTGTGCATCTGGAAGTTTCATTTGCTGAATCTGACAGCAACTCAAAGGTGAAAGTCCCCAACAGATTTCTAAACTCCCAGAATAAGTTCGTTCTTGTTGGGCTTTGGGTGCAGGATGCTGGAAAAGACTGGATCTCTGGTGAGTGTCTAAACAGTACTGTTGGTCTTTCTCAAAATGTCATTTGTCCCAGGCATGTTCAGCCTTTCTAGCAAATGTGTGTTAACTGACATCCATGGGGAAAGAACTCTTGGCTCTCCTGCACTCCCCGCGCTGCACTATGTACTCCCCTTAGTACTACATCCCAAGGAGCTGACCTGGTGATACTGTCTCTCTCCTAAGGGAAGCAGCATGGCCGACAAGCATCTGATTGTAGGCTGCTTTGAATAACAATCATGACTCTGTCCATACTAGAGAGAAGCTTTCAAAAACAAAGCAGATCTACTTTTGCCTTTTGGTCAGGTGTACCCTGCCTGCAAACTACTGCCACTGTTAATGGCTCTTAACACTCTTCTAACATCATACCAGAATACTTCATGCTGGTCCATTAGCGCTCATCCAAGAGCCTCAAAACACTTCACTACAACCTGTGACTCATATAAGATGAAGAAATCAAGGGCTTTGCCTCCTGAGGTGCCCAATACGTGGACATGGTCTGAAACAGTATGTTCTCTCTGATGCTAGGGACTAAAGGTAGATTCTCCTTTTGACTGCTCAGAAATCACATTTTAGAATTTAATTCTCRCCAGAAAAGAGAAATCACACCACTGCTTGGAAACAGAACCTTTGAAGTAAAAGCTGAGTGGGTGAAATAGTGACCCACACAGTTCTGCTTAGAGCAGACTGCAGCTTAGATTGAAAGGAGAAAATTGGAAACATTCTGCCATCTAGCAACAAGGCCAAYTAACAGGTGCGAACCTCTCAGGTCCCCAAAAGATAGAGGTGGAGAGCAGGAGCACCTGGGAGATGTTGATACTGGTTCATAGCCATGAATTTTGGGTAAACCTGTAATTGACTATTAATTGATAATGTGGCAAATATTCACTGGGTAATTACAGCTTAGATGATTGCCATTATGTACTGTAAGTTACACAAGAGAAAAGAAAGATTGGAGAGAAACTGACATGGAACCATCAGAACTCAAGTTCAAGGGGGACTTTATGAGGTGATCCGGTCCATTCCCGACTTACCAACTGCTCCATGAAATCCTACTATTTTTAGAGACCCACGATGCAGAGCAGTCCACAACCTGGATTTTAGCCCTACTCCAGTTTTTTATGTTGCACTCAACTTTTACTTCAACTGGTCCTCAGTGAAAGGTACTACTAACAATGATGTCAGAGAGTTCGAGTATGGGACATGTAGTGAATACAGAAACCCTGTAAACAAACTGCAAACAGCTCAGCCCAGGTTAAGCTCTGGTATGTTTTACTGAAGATCTCTGTGGAAGCAACTGACACTACCTTGCAGTGGAGTGCATGAGATGAAAGTGAGCTGAACTAACTGGCTGATGGGAAAAACACTGGCCAGGCCTTGAAAACCGCATAGTCTGTCCCCAGATTACGTCAGAGAGCAGAACTCAAGCCTGAACAGTGGCACACCACCTCTCAAAGGTGCGCTCACCAAACATCCCGCTCAATGCTTAAGAAGCAGAGGATGCAAACTAACTTCCGTAAAATCCATTAGGCCCATGGCTGCACTGCTACATGCCATCAGTCACTTGATATTCAGACACAACTCTGAAGAGATGAGACCTTAGCTATGACCACTCTCACTTACCTTTTGCTCATTTAAAACAGTGACACCACAATTTTGCCACCTGAACTGGCTAAAATAGCAACTAAACATTAAAAATGAAGTTTACAGTAGCAAAACACTTTTTAATACTCATTGTTATTATGACAGATCAAGTAAAATTTGAAATATAAAAGACTCCAAAGAAATTTTTTCATTTTTTGGAATTATAGATTGAACCAAGGGGCACTTTACTACCAAGCTCCATCTGCAATCTTCTTTATGTATTTTGAGACAGAGCCTTGCTAAATTGCTGAGGTTGGTCTCAAACTTGTGGATCCTCCAGCAAAGTATAGGACATATTAAGACATCTGCACTAGCTTAATGACAACTATGAGGGGTGCACTCTGTTTTGCCGATTGGAAGATTCCAAGATCCTGACAAAGTTTTCACTAGTTGAAGTCAGGTTATAATTAAAAGTAACATTAAGCAGAAGGATGAACAACTGTAAGGACAAGTTATATTCTTGTACTCTAGACCAGTGGTTTTACACATTTACCCTTATGGTCCCTTTTGTACTGCCTCAAATCTTTTTTTTTTTTTTTTAATATTTTTTAGTTGCCAATGGACCTTTTTATTTTATTTGTTTTTATGCGGTGCTGAGAATTGAACCCAGTGCCTCTCATATGTTAGACAAGCACTCTACCACTGAACCACAACCCCAGCCTTGTACTGCCTCAAATCTTGACATGAAATTCATAGATAACTTTACATATATAGGACATTTTTCAGCCAATAAAATGCCCATTTCAATGAAATGAAAGAAAAATAGCTAGAGTAAGGTAAAATGTATATCAATATGAGAAGGTGAGCAGAAATGGGTGAGGTAAGAACATGGCTGTGGCAGGGGTAAGTGCTAATACTGAGTCCAGACCCCTGTCTCAAGGCTCCCTCAGTGCTTCAGCATCAATCCTACATGTGCCAGGGCCTCAAACAACTCTGGATTTTTCTGCTCAGTGACCAAGACTTTGACCCTATGGCTGTATCCAGAGACTACCAGGGACCRTGTAGCCAACGATCATTTGGACAAGCTTTTAGAAAAGGGAACTGGGCTGGGGCAGACTCAAAATGCACAGTCCCTCACTGCAGGGACTGGGGGGCCTTGGTCCTGGCTGAGATATCTCTATTTCCACACCTGGCTAAACACACACACACTGTTATCTTAAGCCTCTGCTGACTGTAGCCTTGGGAAAACAGCTGGCTTGTCGAACCTGACTTTCTAAGTTAGGAAATGGTGAACCAGAAAGTATTTGCTATCTGATTCTGGTCTTCATCTCAGATGAAGTCTGGTCTCCCTCAGGGTCAGGAAGATGAAAAAGCAGTCAAGAGGCTTCCAATTCCTAGGCCAGCATTTTGCTCACTGCACATGCTTCAGGAAAATGGGTTGATAGTAAGAGATCCTTGTGGGACACTGAGAGTCAGGAAAACAAATGACAGAAGCGTAGAAGATGGCTCTGTCTGAAAGCTACCATGCTCAGAGCTTCAAGCAATTTCTCCAACATCAGGCAGTTAAGTATGTTAGTAGACACATGAAATCATATGTGACTCTCTTTAGATAGAAACTTTAAATGCTGGCTCATCATTCCACTACAGAATGGATATTCTGGATTTTATAAAATCAATTTCTTCTTACTAAATATTAGGCTAATTCTCACCTCCATTATTCACTTAATGAGTGTAAATTACTGCATCATTGAGATTTATAGTAACCCAATTAAAAAGAAACAGTCAAAAWAGCACAAAAGGCTGAGTATGGTGGCACACGCCTATAACCCCAGTGACTTGAGAGGCTGGGGCACGAGGATACAAGTTTGAGGCCAGCCTCAGCAACTTAGCAAAGCCTAAGCAACTTAGCAAGACCCTATCTCAAAATAAAAACTAAAAAGGGCCGGGACATGGCTCAGTGGTTAAGTGCCCCTGGGTTCAATCCCTAGTTACCCGCAGCCACCCCAAAAAAGAAAGGAAAAAAAGGCTACGGATCTGATTCTGGGTATATAGCTCAGTGGTAGACTAGTTGCCTAACGTGTGAGGCCCCTGAGTTCAATCCCATTATCACACACATAAAAACACATATAGGCAAAAAAAAAAAAAAAAGTCTGGGTATGGTAGTACACACCTAAAATCCCAGTTACCCAGGAAGCTGAGGTAGGAGGATGGCAAGTTTGAGGCCAGGCTGCACAACTTACCAAGACCCTTTCTTGAAAAAATAAAAAGGATTGGAGATGTAGCTCAGTGGCAGAGCACCCCTGAGTTTAATTCCCAGTACCACAAAACAGAGAGAAAAAAAAAAGGAAAGGAAAAAGACAAAGCAATCCCACAGGGAAAGTTAAGAGTCAGAATTTAAGCTGGGTACAGTGGCACACACCTGTAATTCCAGTGATTCAGGAGGCTGAGGGAGGAGGATCACAAGTTTGAGGCCAACCAGCCTCAGCAATTTAGAGAGACTCTGTCTCAAAATAAATTCATACATAAATAAAAAGGGCTGAGAATGTAGCTCATGGATAGGGTACCCTAGGAGGTTTAATGCCCAGTACAAAAATAAAGTGTTGATTTAAAAGAGGGAAAAACTCTACAAACAGCATGATTAAGTCACAAATCAAAGAGGTGTCTTTTCAGAATATTTCCCAAATTGTACCTATAACCACCCTATGAACCAAACAATGCTGTTGCTTCTCCATCCTTCCCATTCAATGCTTCAACAGGATCCTGACCAAATGACCAAGCCAAGTGAGAAGGAAAGTTACCTGCATTTAAAGTACACAATCCCTTCACGGCTCCCATCATGCTTTCCTCTCTCTGGATTGTCCCATTCCACTCCTAACCAGAGTCCTAGCAGAACAAGAAAAAACAAATGAGTAACAAAGGATGACAGAGGGATGCTCCACTTTCCTGCAAGTAAATACAATTTGTAATGGAAACCACATCCCGCAGACAACACTGAGGGAGGAAGAATGTCTTGGGAATAGACAACTTAACCTTACGCTCAGAACTTCAATCAGAACAGCTAAGTGCATTGGCACATGCCTGTAATCCCAGCAGCCTGGGAGGCTGAGGTAGGAGATCACAAGTTCAAAGCCAGCTTCAGCAATTTAGCAAGACTGTCTCAAAATAAAAAATAAAAGGGACTGGGGATGTGGCTCAGTGGTTAAGCGCCCCTGGATTCAATTCCAAGTACCAAAAAGGAAAATCCTCATGTTTAGAAATTAAGCAATATTCTTCTAAATCATTTTGTGTCCAAAAAAAAAAAAAATCACAACATAAACTAGAAACTATTTTGAACAGAATGACATAAGACTACATGTGAAAATTTGTGGAATGCAGCCTAAAGTCGTGTTTAGATTCATAAGTTGGATGACAACTGAAAATAAATCATCTGTCTCAAAATGTTCAGGGCTAGAAGGTAAAACTAGAAAATCAAACTTACAGCAAGCAGGAGGAGACAGACGACAATGGAGAGAAATCAAGACAGAAAACAAACAAGATGGTCTCTTCCCTACAGCACCTCAGTCATCTTGCAGGACAGACTTGTAGACCAGCGGCTAGCATAAAGGAAAGTACGGGTGCTATGGGAGCACAGATAAGGGTGCTTATTGGTACTGCTGTGGGGGGAAATGGAGGCCAAGGCAGGGAGATCCCAGGACCTGTTGTGGGAACCAGAAATCATCCAGCACAGCTGGGGGCAGTGTTGCCCAGAGTCTGGGGCAGGAGCATGGTCAGGAAAACTAGATTAAAGATGAGGAAAGCGGCTGAACAACTGGCTGGGGCCTGACTAAAACTCTGGTAAAGCACYCCAAAGAACTTGTGCCTCATCTCTCTTCTCCCAAGAACCATGTTAATAAGCAAGGCAGAAATGATCTGTTTTATTTATTTATTTTTTAAAATGCATTATTTATTATTCAGTTATTTAAAGACAGACTCTTTTTTTTTTTTTAAAGAGAGAGTGAGAGAAGAGAGAATTTTTAATATTTATTTTCTAGTTCTCGGCGGACATAACATCTTTGTTGGTATGTGGTGCTGAGGATCGAACCCGGGCCGCATGCATGCCAGGCAAGCGTGCTACCGCTTGAGCCACATCCCCAGCCCATAAATGATCTGTTTTAAAGAATAAAAGCTCAGAGAAAACATCTAACTTGCTGAATAACACTACAAATAAAGACCAGATCATGGCCTAGCATGCTCAAAATACACAAATCTTTTGCTTTTTTTTTTTAAAGAGAGAGAGAGAGAATGAATTTTTTTTCAATGTATATTTTTTTAGTTTTTGGTGAGCATAACATCTTTATTTTATTTTTATGTGGTACTGAGGATCGAGCCCAGAGACCTGCGCATGCCAGGCAAGCGTGCTACCGCTTGAGCCACATCTCCAGCCTCAAATCTTTTGCTTTTTAAACCCCCCTTTTTTTTTTTTGTACCAGGGATTGAACTCAGGTGCGCTTAACCACTGAGACATATCCCCAGCCCTTTTTATTTATTTATTTTTAAATTCTGAGACAGTTTCACTGAGTTGCTTAGGGCCTTGCTAAATTGCTGAGCTGGCTTTGAACTTGGGATCCTCTTGTCTCAGCCTCCCAAGCCACTGGGATTACAGGTGTGCACCACCATGCCTGGCTCTAATCCATTTTTTGTCAAATAATAAGCTGTTATGTGAGAAGTAATTATAACTATGTTCTTCAAGAAAATTCTCAGAATAGGTTGAGTTGATGGTTGTTAACAAGAAAGCAATTCACAAGGCCATTCTTTCACCTGATGAAGAATAAGTCACTTTTCAGCTGAAGCAGGTAGAAGGGGCAAGACCAGCCTTYACTGTGATTTCCTTAACTATCTGTTATGGTTTAGATATGAGGTATCCCCAAAAGCTCAAGTGTGAGACCATGCAAGAAACTTTAGAGGCAAATGACTGTCATGAGAACCTTAACCTAATCAGTGCATTAGCTTACTGACAGGGTTAACTGGGTGGTGATAATTGGGCAGGTGTGGCTGGAGGAGGCAGGTCACTGGGAGTACACTTTGTTATACATTTTGTATAACATATACATTTTGGGTATACATTTTGTCCCTGGTGAGAGAGAAGCTTTTTCTCGTTCTGTTTTCTGATTGTCAATGTCCTGAGCTGCCTTCCTCTTCCACCACGATGTTCTGCCTCACCTTGGTTCCAGAGCAATGCAGCCAGCCGGTATGGACTGAGACCTCTGAAAAAGATGAGGATGGGCAGTGCCAACCTTAGCCTTGTTGTTTCTCTGCTCCTTGGCTTCCTGGACTGACCAACTCCTGAGACAACTAACATTTGTTTTTTAAAAAAACATGTAACTACATTTAAGTGATGTAAATCTGAGCAATTCAGACTAAACACCCCCATTAAGCAGCATTGCTTATCTGATTCTCTTTTTTTAAATTTTTAGATGGACATACCTTTATTTTATTTATTAATGTGATGCTGAGGATTGAACCCAGTATGCCACGTGTGGAAGGCAAGTGTTTTACCAACTCCAGACCCAGATATATTCTCTTTTAATTTCTACATTACACTCAAAAAGGCACTCCCCTAAGGGCTTTGGAGTATGGATAACAGCTCATCACCAAAATAAATTTTCTATACTCCAATATCTGGAATTATGTTATTTCAATGTTAGTGTAAAACAATCTCAGGCTCTTGGAAATTACAAAGCAGTTTGGTTTCAACATCACCCTACACAGTCTCGAGTTCCTATCTTCCAATGCCTCTGAAGATAGCCTTTTGTTTTTATAACCTATAACTTGAGGATGTTTTCAAAGGAGCTGCAAAAACACAATAAAAAAAAAACACAAACACTTCAAGGAGAAAGAAAAACATAATACTGAAAGATCAAAAATCATCAACAAAAAAGGGGGGGGGTGGAAAAATCATTAGAATAGAATAACTGAGAAAGAGTAATGAAGATGTGGCTCTGAGCTTCCTTACAGCAAGATACAATTCTCTTGACCACTGTTAGAATCCTTTCAGTTCATTAGAAAAGATGTCCTTCCTTTTCCTGAGCCAACAGCTCAGCTCCTGTCACAGGAGTCCCTTTGTAAGGAGCAAGCTACTTTCAGAAACAGCAACATCATCGGTTCACAGATGTTTCACAGAAGCTGTGTCTCACATAGGCCTCAACAGGGCTTAGTGTAAAAAGCTCAGTTCTGCAAAGGCAGCTAGAGAGAGGGCCCAGAGGTTCTATGTGGCTTTCTAGTGATTTCACTTTTTACCAGAATATTAGCACTTCCTAAAGAATAAAAACAACCCCTCTCAAAGCATGGGCACTAGAATCAAATAGGGAGCATGTTAAAAATGAGGAGTCCTAAAAAAAAAAAAAAAAAAAAAAAGAGGAGTCCTAGGGCTGGGGTTGTGGCTCAGTAGTAGAGTGTTTGCCTAGCATGTGTGAGGCACTGGGCTCCATTCTCAGCACTGCATGCATAAATGAATGAATGAATGAATGAATAAAAGTACTGTGTCCATCTACAACTAAAAATATATATTTTTTAATAGTGCAAAGCTATTTTAATAACCTAAACTGAATGATTCAAAAAAATTTAAGTATAAAATGTACATATTATTTTGTAAGAAGATATACTTATTTGTAAGAAAATGTACAGTGAGAATTTAGGGATAAAAATTCTACAATGCATRTAATTTAAAATGTTAAGCAATGCAGGGTGTGGTGGTACATGCCTATAATCCCAGTGACTAGGAAGGCTGAGGCAGGAGGATTGCAACTTCAAAGCCAGACTCAGCTACTTAGCAAGGCTCTAAGCAACTCAGTGAGACTGTCTCTAAAGAAAACATTAAAAAAAGGGCTAGGCTGGCTGGGGATATAGCTCAGTTGGTAGCGTGCTTGCCTAGCAAGCATAATGCTCTGGGGGTTCAATCACCAGCACCAGCACCACCAAAAAAACCCCAAAAAACAAAAAACAACAGGAGTGCAGGGTTAGGGGTTAGGGATGTGGCTCAGTGGTTAAGCACCCCTGGGTTCAATCCCTAATGCCAAAAAAAAAAAAAAAAAAGAAAAAGAAAAAGAAAAAAGAAAAACCACATTAAGCAAAAATAGCGATAAAACAAATATGGCAAAATGCTGACGATTGTTAAACAGACATGACAAGTAAACACAGGTGTTCATTACACTATTCTCCTTTTCTCTCATTTGAAAACTTATAATAAATACATATAAACCCTCCTTAAATCTATTCTATTTCTAAGAAGAATCCTCCAGATATATCTCTATTCACTAAAAATGCCTGGAAACAATATCATCCTGGTAGAAGTGAGTACCTCTGGACCTCAGACTATGGCCTCTACATGCTATTTGCCATTTAAAAAAACAGACCAGAAGAATGAACCTTACACTCTTGACAGCTTCCTTATCATACCAGGGCAGCTCTCAAAGCTGTAGAGGGTGCACACATCCCTGGCTTGTGACCTTCTTCCACATTCAAGGTGAGATGTGGCTAGTGAATCATCCCACATCACTTCACTGACAATGCTAATGCCTCTTCTACCTTCTCTTCAGCTTCTAATGCTTCCTATGATTACACTAGGCCCACCTGGATGAACCAGTATAATTTTCCAATCTTAAAATCAGCCAATTAGCAAACTTAATTCCACCTGCAGCCCTAACCCTCTTTGACATGTAACTTAGCATAACCACAGGTTTTGGGGACATCTTTGGAGTACTATTATCTGCCTCCCACAGGAGCCCATCTTTACCTCCATCTTAACAGTTTTCATGCCTAACACTCTGTAATCTACAGTAATGCTTACCACAGGAAATTATATCCAGTCATAAGAATCCATTTGTAAAACATTAGAATTTGTTCCTAAGTAATTTTTTTAAATGTTTACTTATAACAATGGCTAACAATATGATCAATGACTGGTCTAATGACTGGCTTTAAACACATCAATGCATTTAGCTGCCATGATGGCCTTACAACCACATCTGGTGAAATACCCCTGAGAGTAATGACTAAATGTGTTTTCACTCTGTCTACATCTTTGTACAATTCCACCAGATGACCTCTAACATCAGAGCTCTCAAAGGGGAATGCCGAGCCCTTTGTTAAGACCAGTGACTAGGAAGGCTCAGGCAGGAGGATTGCAACAGCCCACCTAATCCTTTTGCCCAATCCTTCCATAAGTATTGCTTCCTAATGAGCTTTCTGAACATTGAGCTTTCTGGATGCAAATCTCTACCCCATTCTGCTTTCCAAAGAACTTGGGTATTAAAAATTTCCAAGTACTGCACATTGATTCAACCTGCAGATGGCAATCTGCCTATATARTATGTACCTAGAGAATATGTATGTTCTTGGAAAACAACAGAGTAGAAATGGCATGGGCTCTGAAGCAGACTCATATTTGAGTTCTGCTATATGGAAGTTTTGAGATCTGAGACTTGGTAGAGACCAAATCTCTCTATATATCCATATATATATATATATATATCCATATCTTAAGGCTGTTAATATTCAAAATAGAGGGCATACATGACAGAACCTGGCACACAGTCATTATTATTTAAATGTTACTTTCTCTTCCCATTTATCAATCATTCCAGTCAAATGGAGGCAGAAGGAGGACCCCTTCCCCTTCTCCATCTTACATGCTTGTTTAAAGCCTTCCATGGCAATTTCCATGAAGGCAGAGTCACAGTGATCTACGCAGGGGTTCAAACTAAAACTTAATGCACAGCCAGTATGGTAGTGCATGCCTGTAATCCCAGCAGCTCCAGAGGCTGAGGCAGGAGAATTATGAGTTCAGAGCTAGCCTCAGCAAAAAGCGAGGCACTAAGCAACTTAGTGAGACCCTGTCTCTAAGTAAAACATAAAAGAGGGCTGGGGATGTGGCTCAGTCGTTGAGGGCCCCTGAGTTTAATCTCTAGTATCCCCACATCCCCCACCCCCCACCAAAAAAAAGAAAAAAAAAACAATGCACATAAAAATCTTCTGGAAGGCTGTACTTTTATTTTTTTGTGATGCTGAGGGTAAAATAATCCAGGGCCTATGCATACTAGGCAAGCACTCTACCTCTAAGCTATAATCCTCTTAGAGAATTAGAGAACTACTTTTTTTTTTTTTCATAATATTTTATTTTATGTGGTGCTAAGGATCAAACTCAGCGCCTTGAATGTACCAGGCACTCTACCGCTGAGCCACAGCCCCACCCCGAGAACTCCTTTTTTTTTTTTTTTTTAGCAGTACTAGGAATAAAACCCCAAGGGCACTCTACCATTGAGCTACATCCCCAGTCCTTTTTAAGACAGGGTCTCGCTAAGTTGCTGAGACTGACCTTAAACTTACAATCCTCCTGCCTCAATCTCCTGAATTATAGGCATGTATTACCATGCCTGGCCCTGGACAACTTTTTGAAACACAAAATTGCTGGGCTCTGCTCCCAGAGTATTTGTAGATATAAGGTGAAGCTCAAGAATCTACATTTCTAAGGAGTAATCAGATGAAGCTGATTCTAGTTAGGGGCCACACACTGAGAACTTCTGGTTTAAATTTCTCACTGAGTCTTCCTGTACCCACTCAGGCCAGTTCAGAACATACAGAAAATACTCAAATATTTAGGGCAGGAATTGTGTCTACCTACAACTTAAATAAATAAATTAAAAACCCCATCTAAAATGCTTTTTATAGAAACATGTAATTATACATCAAATAAATGAAAATAGGTGACAAAAATTGCATGTATATTGGTTTACAATAAATACATTTACATATAGATTAATGGCAAAGGACTTTGTAGAAAAATTATTTTTTGAGTAGCAAATTATAAGAGTTCAAGACTTTTGATTGCTTATAATTTCCTCAGATAACATTTTATGGTTGATTTAATATAAAACAGAAGTACTAAATAATTAAATAGCATATAATTAAACAAAACTATGTGTACCACATGATATCGTCAACCAAATAAAACTACTATGGGTAAGTATCTATAATTGGTGGTTAATTTCCCAAAAATTGATATTAAAAAGTGCTACTGAACTAGGTGCATTGGTGCACACCTATAATCCCAGCATCTACAATCTACAGCGTCTTCAGGAGGCTGAAGCAGTAGGACCTCGAGTTCAAAGCCAGTCTCAGCAACTCAGTGAGATGCTGTTGCCAAATAAAATACAACAAAGGGCTGGGGATGTGTCTCAGTGGTTAAGTGTCCCTGAGTTCAATCCCTAGTACCAAAAAAAAAAGTGCTACTGAGAATCCTACACAGAAAAAACTGACACACACACACACCCCACTTACCTGCCACAGGAGGAACAACGCCAGAAAAACGCACTGTTGCATATTCTCCATTTACTTCAACTCTTTGACCAATGACATCTAATGTCAAAGTGTCACTCATGTTAAGACAGCCAGAATCCAAAATGTGAGATCTRGGGGGGAAAAAATCATAGCATTGAGAAGAATTTAATAAAATTTATTTAAGAAAGCTAGAAGCAGTAGKTGGGGCACACCCATAATCACAGAGATTTGGGAGGCTGAAACAGAAGGATCAAAGTTTGAAGCCAGCCTCTGCAACTCAGCCAGGACAAAGCAATGTACCAAGACCCTGTCTCAAAATAAAAAAATCCAAAAGGGCTGGGAATGTAGCTCAGAGGTAAAGTGCCCTTGGGCTCGATCCCCAGTACCAAACAAAAACCAATTAAATTTAAAATACACACACACAGAATTCTAAAAATAAAGACAAGGTCTTAAAAGGTGCCTGGGTATCTTAAGTGTCAGGATGGATGAGGGTCTGCAGCTCAAGATATGTTGGCATCAGAAATGGGTATCTGGCCAGCACAGTGGCTCATACCCATAATTCCAGCAACATGGGAGGCTATGGCAGGCAGGACTGCAAGTTTGAGGCCAGTCTCAGCAACCTAACGCTATCTAAAAGGACTCGRGATGTAGCTCAGGGTAAAGTGTGCCTGAGTTCAATCTCCAGTACCAAAAAAAGAAAAAAAGAAATGGGTAACCTAGAAGTCATCAGAAACTAATACAGTAAGGGTGGATGAGACCGAAGGTGCATTGGAGGAAAGAAAAGAGGAACCATGGCAGAAACCCAATGAAAGGGAGAGGGAAGAAAACCCTAAGGAGTGAGATGAAGAAGAGCCAGAAAGGAAAATAGAAAGCCAGACTCTGGGGTCTTGGAACTCAGGAGGCAAAGCTTACAGAAGGGGCAGAAGAGCAACAGTGCCGGATGCTGCGGAGAGCTTGCAAGATCAGAGCTCAACTTGGCTTCCTCTTGCTGGACAGATATGGTTCACAAACACAGTCTCAGAATAAAACCTGATTTTTCTTATAAAAGGTTAGCAATGTGGCAGTGCAAGAATTTCCTTTTCCCAGGGCCTCATGCATGCCAGTGCAAGGATTTTTAGATGCATGCTACAGGTCTAYTAAACAAAAAAGTTCTATATTCATGAAATACATGAAGGTAATAAAAGCTTAGATTGTGAATCACAGCTTCTTGGGTCATAATCATAGTTTGCTTGTATGTGGGCTACTGGAGGCTCTGGCACAACACCTGTCCACCTCTCCCACCACACAGAATGGGAGACATTTCTTCCGCTCCTGGAATTGTCTGTCACRTATGCCCATATTCTAGAACAGTGTGAGCATTATTATCTCAGACTGCAGAACGTAAATTTATCAAATTTCAGTGTTAGTTCCTGTTAATCAAGTCCTCTGGCTTTCATAAAATATATTTTCCCAATTCTTGTGAGAAAAATCCTATTTCAAATGGAGCTGAATTTGTTGAAAAATGGGAGAAAAGGTATACATTTATGAATATGCCAAAATGAACCCCACTGCTACATAAAGCTATAATGTGCTAACAGAAACACTAAAAAAAAGGGGAGGGGGACAAGGTTGGGATTGTAGCTCAGAACCTCACGCAGAGGTTCTGGGTGGAGTGTCTGCCTAGTCTGCGTGAGGTTCTGAGTTCAATCTCTAGCACCAAAAAAAGAAAAAAGGAAGACAGTCAGCAAGGAGCCGGAATCTCTAGATCTAGATCCAAACCTGCCCAATAGTACTGAAAAGCAAAAGAATCATTCCAGAGCCTAAACGTGGTAGGAAAAGTTTAGACGATTTTGAGGTAAGATCCATGCGCTGGTAGGAACTGGTGGCGGAAYCTTGAGTTTTAGGAAGTACAGAGACAGAGCTGCTAAGAGGTCTGGCCAAGGCTATGTTCAGAAGCTGAGTTCTAGTCCCTGAGGAGAGAGAATTAATAAATGGTTGTAGAACTCCATTCCTACAAGGAATTTCCATTAACTAGAGTGCATGGAGTTATCTAACCAGAAACTCTTAAGGCCCTACCATCAGTCTGGAGCTCTGGATGGGGCTCAGCCCTAACTTCCCACCTTGAAAACTGGGCTACCAGTGAAAAAGAACAGAGTGATGATCAATGGGTGAGTAAAACCAAGTGAGCAATTACAAGAGGAGGAAGACACTAGGAAACCATTCCACTGACACTCTTAACACGTACACATAATTCACGAATTATGAAGTTCCATGTGCTAGATCCTCTCTGATCTCCAGTAGCATTTTTTTCATTCCCACAAGCATGCTACAGCCACAGGACCAATTATATCAGCAGCTATAAAATATCTACACTTGCCAGGCGCAGTGGCGCATGCCTATAATCCCAGCAGATGGGGAGGTGGAGGCAGGAGGATTGATCGCGAATACAAAGCCAGCCTCAGCAAAAGCAAAGCACTAAGCAACTCAGTAAGACCCTGTCTCTAAATAAAATACAAAATAGGGCTGAGGATGTGGCTGTGCTCAAGTGCTCCTGAGTTCAATCTCTGGTATGCTCCCACCAAAAAAGCAAAAAAGACACCTATGGTCAATCATCAAGTGGCTCTGCATTAAGTCAGTATTTTGATGATCCTGCCCAAGCTCTTGACTCTTCAAATAATGTTTCTTGATGCTGTGATTTTTCTTCAGTGATGACTTGAAAACTGGATCCATGTCTCAAGAACTATGCCTCAGCTCCAAGGCCTTTACCCTGTTTCTCTGACCAGTAAATGAGTCCCTGCTTCCTGTTGTTGAACCTACTTGATGCCATTACTGGCCCCACTGCACCTCTACGGCCCACTGCTGACACCACCACTTACATCCTCCCTACTCCTACCTCCACTTTAGTGTTCAAACTGTCCTGAAGTTAGCAGCCCACCTAGATTTTCGGTAATTGCCTGCACTGGGGATCTGAGAGGGATCTTTTCTGTGGTGGCAATCTGGATGCCTTGAAACCTTCATTAAACTGGGATACCTTTTTTAAACACACGTGTTTGCTAATGAATGAAGGTAGACCATTTAGTTTTGGAGTAACTCTCCTTGTTAGATTATTCTTGTCTTAAAAGAAACAGATGGGGGTGGGGGTGGGGGTGGGGGGTGGGGGGGTTGTGGCTCAATTGTAGAGCACTTGCCTAGCATATGCGAAGGACTGGGTTCGATTCTCAGCACCACATATAAATAAATGAATACAATAAAGATCCATCAGCTTCTTTAAAAATTTAAAAAAAAATAATAAGAAGAAAGAAATAGGCAGGATTCATAGCTTTATGCCTATAATCCCAGGAGACTTGAGAAAGRAGGATCTCAAGTTTGAGGTCAGCCTTGGCAAGTTAGTGAGAGCCTGTCTTAAAATAAAAACCTAGAGGGGCTAGAGCTGTGGCTCAGTGGTAGAGTGCTTACCTCACACATATGGGGCACTGGGTTCGATCCTCCGCACCATGTAAAAAATAAATGAATAAATAAAGGTATTTAAAAATAAATAAATAAATAATAACAAGAAAAGGGTTGGGGAGGCTGGAGTTGTGGCTCAGCGGTAGAGCGCTCGCCTCGCATGTGTGAGACCTTAGGTTCCATCCTCCTACATAAAAATAAATAAGTGAAATAAAGGTATTGTGTCCAACTACAACTAAAAAGTAAATATTTTTTTTTTTTTAAAAAGGGCTGGGGATGTTTGTCAGTAATAGAGGACCCTTGAGTTCAATTTCAATCCCTAAACACAGCACACACACACACACACACACAAGCATGTGCGTGCACATGTGCACCATGAAATCTACCCATCATCTTTTAGTATTGCCCTCTCCAACTGTGACCCACCAATGCACTCCCTTTCCAGTGGACACTGGAATATTTGAAGGACATCCTTATGTTATCATTTCTGCTTTCCCTCTACCTGTCTTATGTCTCAAAACTTTGTACCAGGTAAACATTCACAGGCCTTTAAACCATCCTCATAAGAATTGCAAGTTTTCAGGCTAGGATTATAGCTCAGTGGTTGAGTGCTTGAGTGTGAGGCACTGGATTCAGCACCACATAAAAAAAATTATAAATAAAGAGATTGTGCCCATCTACAACTAAAATTAAAAAAAAATTCCAAGTTCTCAGGTACAGTGGTGCACACTTGTAATCCCAGAAGTTTGGGAGGTTGAGGCAGGAGGATCGGGAGTTCAAAGCCAGCTTCAGACTTAGCAAGGCACTAAGCAACTTAACAAGATTCTGTCTCTACATATATTTAAAGTCTATAAAAGGGCTGGGAAGGTTGTTTCAGTGTTTAAGCACGTGGTATCAAAAAAAAAAATTCCACATTTTCCCTATAATTCATTTACAAATTCCACTGATAAATTTTAACACCCAGAAATGAAAATCATGTTACAAATGTGACATGTGACCTGTCTGGGTATTCAATGGTCAGGATACCACTCACCCACCAGCATAGACTTAATAACACATTCGCCTTTCTCCCTTTTCATGGGAAAGACAGTTGTAGGAGATTAAGGTTGCAAGTAAATAAACACCAAAGCCATTTCTGATACCACCATCTTCTGTCCATAACACTTAAATAAATATTTAAATTTCACTATAATTACATTACCCTAAGAATGGTTTTTACTAGTTTTAAGTACCCTTTTAATTTTCATTAACATGTAAACAGATTTTATTACAATTGAGATACATGCTTCCTTTATTAAACATTTTTTTTCTTTTCTTTTTGGTACTAGAGATTGAACTCAGGGGCACCTGACTGCTGAGCCACATCCCCAGCCCTATTTTGTATTTTATTTAGATACAGAGTCTCACTGAGTTGCTTAGCACCTTGCTTTATGCTGAGGCTGGGTTTGAACTTGAAATCCTGTCTCAGCCTCCCGTGGCTGGGATTACAGGCATGTGCCATCACACCTGGCTATTCTATAAACACTTTTGAACAGGGCCACAGAATCATCATATTAATGGATACAATGTTCAAGTGTGAGCCAGGCATTGTGGTATACATCTGTAATCTCGATGACTTTGGAGGATGAGGAGGAAGGATCTCAAATTTGAGACAAACCTCAGCAACTTAGTGAGACTCTGTCTCAAAATAAGATAAAAAGGGTTGGGGATGTGGCTCAGTGATAGAACACCCCTGGGTTTAATCACCWTTACCCAAAACCAGCCAAAACTCTGGGAATGCTGAGTCAAAGGTCATATGTATTTTACATTTGAGTAGCTAATACCAAATGTCCCTTTATAATTGCAGTTCCAATTTACAATCCCATCAGGAGTATTATGAGGGAAGCTGAGTATCTCTCCTTTTATGTGAACTACCCATTCATGTACTTTGCACATATCCTACTAGTTTATTTATTTATTTTTTTCTCATCAGTCTGAGGTTTTTTTCATTGTTGTTGTTTCTTTTGTTCTGAGATGGGGTCTCACTAAATTGCCAAGGTTGGCCTTGAACTTGCCATCCTCCTGCCTCAGCCTCCAGAGTAGCAGGAGTCACCACAGCTGGCTCCCTCATGATCTTAATAATAACTACATGATTCCTCAAATTAATTTTAAAAGACTAGAAAAGCATACGCTAAAGCAGCTATTTGCACTTACATGTTTATAGCAGCATTGTTCACAAAGGGCCAAAAGATGAAAGCAACCGTAGTGTCCTTCAATAAATGAATATGGTGTGCATGTGCGCACAAAGGAATATTATTCAGCCTTAAAAAGAAATCCTGACACCTGCTACAACATGGATGAATCTTGAGGACATTATGCTAAGTAATGCCTAGCATGTGTGAGGCACTGGATTTGGTCCTCAGCACCACATAAAAAAATAAACAAATAAAATAAAGGTACGCATGCCTGTAACCCCAGCAGCTGAGGAGGCTGAGGCAGGAGGATCTAAAATCCAAAGCCAGTCTCAGCAACAGCAAGGTACTAAGCAACTCAGTGAGACCTTGTCTTAAATAAAAAAAAGGGTTGTGGATATAGTTCTGTGATAGGGCAATTGACCAGAATGTGTAAACACACATGCACCAAAAAAGAAGAAAAAAAGCTATAGTGAAGATAAATCTTGCCTCAAACTGTTTTTTTTTTTTTTTTTTTTTTTTGTACCTGGAATTTAACTCAGGGTCACTCAACCACTGAGCCATATCCCAGCCCTATTTTGTATTTTGTTTAGAGACAGGGTCTCATTGAGTTGCTTTGCACCTCCCCACTGCTGATACTTTGAACTTGGGATCCTCCAGTCTCAGCCTCCTGAGCCCCTGTGATTACAAGGATCTGCCACTGTGTCTGGCTCTTGCCTCAATCTTTAGAGGAAATCGAGTGACCCTGATCAAGTGTGATGAAGTAAATCACCAACATGTGAACACTGTAATCCCAGTTGCTGAGGAGGCTAAAGCAGGAGGATTCCAAGTTGTAAACCAGTCTGCACAACTCAGCAAAACCCTGCCTCAAAAATTTAAAAGATTAAAAAAATAAAAAAGAGCTAGGGTTGTAGCTCAGTGGTATAGCACTTGCCTGCCATGCAATGGCCCTATCCCCAATATGGAGAGAAAAAAAAAAAAAAGGAAAAAAAAACAAACATTATTGACTATTTTTTTGGTACCAGGGATTGAACCTAGGGGAACTTACCACTGAGCCACATACCCAGCCTTTTTAATTTTTTTACTTTGAGACAGGGCTTTGCTAAATTGCTGAGGCTAGCTTTGACCTTGCAAACCTCCTGCCTCAGTCTCTTGAGCTGCTAGGATTACAGGCTTGCACCACAGTACCTGGCACATTATTGACTTAAAAACAAACAAACAAACAAAAAACTTTCTAACTGAAAATTTTTACTAACTTTTAACTGAAAGTTAGAACTTTYCTTAATTATGTACATAGACATAAAATATCACAAGTTGGATTAGCAGCATCTGAGATTCTCATCTTTAGAAATCATAAATATTTTTATATCATATTACAGCTGTTACAGATTTCTCAAAGTATAGTTTATATCCATCACTATTTCAAAACTAAAATATTTCTTAGACCTACTAGGCCTGAGGCAATAGCTCAGTGATAGAGCGTGCCTACCATGCACAGGCCATGGGATCCATCTCCAGTACCTTAAAACAAACATAAAAGACCTGACACCTAGATCTTGTTGCTTAATATGTTAATAAAGAAACACATTATATTACTGTTTCAAAATATTTTGACAACTATTTCATGAGAGTAGTTACCTTTGAAATCTTATGTATTTATTTTCTGTAATTAAACAGTCTATGAAGGAGTCTACAGGCTTTTCAGACTAARAACTGAGAAAACTGGAGAACATGAAAGGAATTCAGGGGTTGAATATCATCAACAAAGCAAAAATTTAAAACTAAATTATGCACTTTGCAAAGACGCTTTCATTTTATCTGAATTATGCAATATTAGTTGAAATTTTTATTATTTTTGTGATTTTTATTTTGAGATAGGGTCTTTCTGCAGAATGACCTTGAATTTGCAATCCTCCTGCCTCAGTTTACAACTGGCTGGGATWATGTGAATGGGTCACTGTGACCAGACCATAACTGTTACTTACTTATTTATTTTTTTGAGGTGCTGGGGACTGAACCCAGGGCCTTGTGCATGCAAGGCAAGCACTCTACCAACTGAGCTGTATCCCCAGCCATAATTGTTATTCTTTAAAAGTAGAAGACCTGTTGGGTATCCCCAGCCATAACTGTTATTCTTTAAAAGTAGAAGATCTGTTGGGTGTGGACTATAATCTCAGGGCCTCAGAAGGTTGAGGCAGAATTGAAAGACTGAGGCCAGCCCCAGCAATTTAGCAAGATCTTGTCTCAAAATAACAAACACAAAGGGCTGGGGATGTAAAGAGCCCCTCTGTTTTCAATTCCAGTATCCAAAAAAGAAAGAAAACAAAATCCCTGTCCCCATGAAGCTACTGGGGAGAAACGTGATAAAGAATAATGATAAGCAAAATGGATCTGTTAAAGAGGAAGGCCTCCCTGAGAAGGTAATATTCCAAAACCTGGAAGAGAGAGAGAAGGGATTGAATCATTGAGACCATTCCAGGCAGAGAAAAAAGTGTAGATAGCCTGGGGGAGTGCTTGGGGAGGCAGGCCATACAGCAGTCAACAGATTAGTAGAGAGGACATCCAGGTCTCCAAACAGTTGGCTTTACTGAGTGAAATGGCAGATCATCTGATTTATTTTTTCAGAAGGATCCCTCTAGGGATGCTAACAGACCAAAAAAAAAAAAAAAAAAAAAAAAGCAGAGTCTAGTTGGGTGTCCTTAGGCCAGGTGAGAGGTAACCGCAACCTGAACCACACGCAAAGGTGGTTCAGAGTGGACGGATCCTGCTGACAGCAGCTGCTGAAGCTCAGGGGAGAAAGCTGAGTCAAGAGGACTCCCAAGCGAGTTCTCAGTAGCGACAATTAAGTTCAACACAATAAACCTGCAATTCAAAAGGCAGACCATCACCTTGGATGGGGAGACCCCAGCGGCATATTGTTTATAACAGCACATCTCATATAAAACAAAAACACCAGGAAAAGCCACGAAGCAAACAGCAAAGGCGGCGGCAGGGCCTGCGCACCCGGCGAGGCGAGCGGCCGCACCACCAGCCGCTTCCGCGGGCGGCGATGCCACACCGTGTTCCTCCCCGGCTGGCGCCGAGCGCCGTGCGCGGGGCGRGCGCCGACACGGGATCCAGCGGCCAGCTCTCCTCGCCGGACGCTCTCAGAGCCCGGGCTGCCGCCCGGGTAAGTCCAAGAAGGGAAAGGACACAGTGCGGCCAGACGAGCCCCCAGTCCGACCTCCGCGGCCCAACTCTCAAGGCTCACCTGCCAGCAGCAGCTGGTGGTCTCGGCGGCTGCCCCTTGACAGCGGAGGGCAGCAGAGCTTCCAGCATCGAGCGGAAGTGCCATGGGGAGACCGGAAGTCCCGCCCCGCTGAGCSAGCGGCGGCCGCGAGAGCTGGCTGAGAACGTACAAGTGTGCCCTAGGCCAGCCCAGCCCCGGCGCCGGAGCCCGCCGGACAGCGCGTCCCAGTGACCGCGCATCCTCCGGCCCAAGGGCCCTCGCCACGCGGGTTGCCAGCCCTGGAGAGTCAGGCTTGACGTAGACAGGTGTGTACTACAGGGGCAGTGCGCAGTCGCGCGTGCCGGCCTCCCCAGCGGAAAAGGAAGGCGGGCTAGGACTGCAGGCGTGTGGAAGGCAGTATGAGTACCGGAGACAGAACGGGGAAAGCCGCCCCTGCGCACGACAATCTCCACCATCGCCGTTCTCGGCGGTTAAAAATCTAGAGATTGGGCTGGGGACGTGGCTCGGATAGAGCTTTTGCCTGGTGTGCCGGGATTCCCTGCGTTGCCGGGGTGACGCAGCGCATCGTGGTGAGGACCGGCAGTGACACTAGGAACGTCTTGCGCGGGGTCTGGCACGTGATTACAGCACGCGACGCCGGGTTAAGCGTGAGCGGTGTTGGAGAGCTTGCCTGTCAGGCGCCGGGTCGTGGGTCGTCTCCGCCGCAAAAGCAAGGGGTAAATTATCGAGGGCGTCACTAATCCAACCAAAGGCTGCTGCAACACGCATGCTGAACGTCAAGGCTGAGCAGAATTTCAACTGGCAAAGGAGAGAGAGACTCCGCTTGTGAACCTGCTTTTGTTGGTTAACGAAAGGACATACACAGTGAATCTTGGGTCCTAAAAATAAACTTTCAGAAACTGCTGTTTGGAATCCTATAAGAATATACCATCCCACTCTTGCTTGGAGAATCCTCTGAGCCAATCCTCATTGTCGCACTGTTCCAATACAGATATAAAACTTCAAATAAGGATTTCAGATAACATTCCACATTTATTTTATATCTTTAGAGCTCTATCTGTGGATATGTATGTTTTGAGACCGGGCTCGAGATTGGAGGCTGGCCTCAGACTTATAATCTTCCTCCSAAGTATCTGAGATTACAGCCCTGAAAAAATTAATCTCATCCACTAAATTCAGATGATCCAAAAATATAAAACATGAATTTTTCTTTATAAAATAATTTAATTTGTTAATTGTGATAATATTTACCCAGTTTTTCTTAGAATGAAAAGATGACACCTCTTTACTGTCAGTCTTCTCTCTTCATGTTGATCAGCACACTCTTACCTCAACTATGTTATCTTCTTCAAAGTAGTTGTCCTCTAAATTCTTCTCCCAAAGAGGCTGGTTTTAGGTCAGTGGTAGAGAGATTGCCTGGTGTGCTCAAGGCTCTGGGTTACAATCCCAGCAATACAAAATAAATACGCTCCCCTGAAATAAAGTCTTCCCAAATAGAAATCTATATGCTTGTCTCTTTTTCCTCATCCCTCTCTCTTTAATCCTTTCCAGCCTGACACTTTGTCTATTCTTCCTCCAGTTCTTCCAAAATCACCTACTCAAATGTTATTAGTAACTTCATATCACCAAGGTGCTTTCTCAGTCCCCACATCCTTTGATTTTTGTACAGCATAGTTTCATAGGGTTAATTATCCCAATAGCTGTAAAAATCATACTTCAAACATTGTAGGAAAAAAGCTCTAACTCAAAATGTTTGCACTGCAATCCATTCTGAGTCCCATCATTCATGAAATAAGTAAATATTTAGTGAGTACTAGCTTTGCACTGAAGATCTAGCTATGAAAGGAGAAATGCAATATTCCAGTCCTGGAGAGATGTATGCTTGATGGTGTGAGTTAGACAATATGTGCGGGGTACAGTGATGCATGACTTACTATACCATTGACTTGGGAGGCCGAGGCAGGAGGATCACCAAGTTCAAGGACAGTCTGGGCAATTTAGTAAAAGTAAAATATAAAAAGAGCCAAGGATATAATTTAGTGGTAGATCACCCTTGAGTTCAATCCCCATTTATGAAGAGGAAAATAAAAAGTGGCTTAAACCAGAGAGGTAGGGCCAAAACTGAAAGAGGGGGTTGCAGCTACTCTGAGAGAGGGTTCGATTCTCAGCACCACATACCAACAAAGATGTTGTGTCCGCCGAGAACTAAAAAATAGATATTAAAAATTTAAAAAAAAAAAAAGACATTGGAAGCCAGTGACTGTTTTTCCTATCATGGGAAAGAGTTTGTCCTTTAGCATCAAAGAATGAGGCCAACATTTTTTAAAAAAATGTAGAACTAAGAGGAAAAATGAGGAGAGAATAAGTGATTTAACCCCCAGGACTTAACAATAACTAAAGTAAAAAAAAAAACCCTGGATTTTCCAATTATAAGCTCCAGCTAATTCCTTTTATGATTAAATTGGTTTGACTTTAATTTCAGTTGCTTAGAATGGAAAGAGCCCTAACTACTACAGAGTTCAATACTCACAACCTATGTATTAATTAGGCTGGGGGAAAAATAAAGATTAAATGTTTTAGATAAAAGAAATTTAGAATTAGGAATGCAGTACAGTGGCAAGAGTATTATTATGTGCAAGCCCTGGACAACAAAAAAATTGAAAAATATGGGAGCAAAGATAGATTATGAAAGCACATGCCAGCAACTCAGGAGGCTGAGGATTACAAATTCAAGGCCAGTCTCCACAATTTAGTGAGGGCCTAAGCAACTTAATGAGACCTTATCTCAAAATAAAAAAAAATAAAAAAAAGAAGGGCTAGGGATATAGCTTAGTGGTAAAGTGCCCCTAAATTAACTCTCCAGTACAAAAAAAAAAAAAAAAAAAGAATTGGGTGGGAGAATATAGCCAATAAACAACAAAGGGTGTTTGTTATAAAGCTCAAGCCTCATTTATTTTACATATATTCATTAATCAAATAAAAGTGACTCAGGTCAGCAGTAGACATTTGTAACTTGTGTTTTTCTTTTAAAAGTGGTGTAGAGCCAGGTGCAGTGGCACATGCCTGTAATCACAGCASTTTGGGAAGCTGAAGCCGGAAGACTGCAAGTTCAAGGCCAACCTCAGCCATTTACCAAAACCCTCAGCAATTTAGTGAGACCTTGTTTCAAATTAAAAAATAAAAAGGGTTGGGGATATGACTGATTGGTTAAGCACCCTGTTTAGACTCCATTACCAGTAAATAAATAATCCCATATTGAATAAATGTTCTCTAGCTGCCTTACAGTGAAGTCAGTAGCTTATTCAGGACTTCTTGTATGTTGGGAATAACAAAAAAGACTGCAGTTGAGCCAGTCTTATGTATTTGAAAATCCATTACCTTAACTGAAGGCCATATTTAAGTTTCACTTTGAAAGGTACCTATTAAATACTTAGCTAAAAGCCACTTTCACTGATTTCCTATTGGATGGAAGGGAGTAGTTTGTTTAGTTACATCCTTACTATTATTTGTTATAAAGACATCTTAATTGTTCAATTCTCTAAGGTTAATTGACTTAGTATCTGTGGCACACATCTGTAATTCCAGTGCAGTGTGTTTGCAAGTTTGAGCCCAAGGCTTGGCAACTTAGTAAGAGTCTGTCTCAAAGTAAAAAAAAAAAAAAAAAAAAAAAATTAAAAGTCTGGGGATGTAGCTCTGGTACAGCACCACTTGGGTCAATCTTTCGTACTGCAAATAAATACATTAAACAAATAAAACCATTTGTTTCTTATAAAGAATCGACATCTGCTGGATTTAGTTGCATATACCTATAATTCCAACAATTTGAGAAGTTGAGGCAGGAGGATCATGAGTTCAAAGCCAGTCTCAGCAACTTGGCGAAGCCCTAAGTGACTCAGCAAGACCTTGTCTCAAAAAATAAAAAAGGGGGGCTGAAGCTGTGGCTCAGCAGTAGAGAGCTCGCCTAGCACATACAAGGAGCTGGGTTCTATCCTCAGCACAACATTAAATAAATAAATAAAATCAAGGTATTGTGTCCATCTACAACTAAAAAAATACCTAAAAGTAAATAAATAAAATAAAAAAGGGCTGGGGTGTGGCTCAGTGGTTATGTACCCTTGGGCTCAGCATCTGGTATCAGAAATAAAATGAGATATTGACATCTATATGTTAAGAGTATTTATTAGGCTAAATCTCTTGAAAACTTGTTAACTCTTTTTTTTTATTTTTTATTTTTTTAAAGAGAGAGTGAGAGAGAGAGAGAATTTTTAATATTTATTTTTTAGTTCTCGGCAGACACAACATCTTTGTTGGTATGCGGTGCTGAGGATTGAACCCGGGCCGCACGCATGCCAGGCGAGCGCGCTACCGCTGAGCCACATCTCCAGCCCTTGCTAACTCTTTTAAATGTTCAACTATTCCCATTTTACAATTTCTTTTAAGCAACTCATCAAGTTTTGGTTAAGATTTACAAACCACTTTTACCAGTTTACCATTACTACTACTTCACCATTGAAGTCCAAGTATCTTCTATTACTCATCATAGTAATTCTAATATCTTTGCATATATTTTTCTTTGTGTATACTGATATAATATGTAATTCAAAGATATTAAATTGGTAATTCTCCAAAGCAGAGTACTTTTTAAAAGAATGTGCCAGCTGCTGGCTCAGTGACATGAACCTATAATCCCAGCACTCAAGAACTGAGGTGGGAAGATCCCTGAGTCTAGGGAAGCAAGGGCAGCCTGAGCAACACAGCAAGACCCCATCTCAAAATTAAAAAAAAGAAAAGAGGAGCTGGGGATGTGGCTCGCCTGGCATGTGTGCAGCCCGGGTTCCATCCTCAGTACCACATACAAAGATGTTGTGTCCGCCGAAAACTAAAAAATAAATATTAAAACAAACAAACCAAAAAAAAAAAAAAAAAAAAAGAAAGAAATGTGCATGGTTGGTAAGACAAATGTTTCCAAGCTATCTCAGTGACAGAATGCCCATTAATCAGTGGTATGAAACACTGTACATAATTCACTTGAACTAAATGGTTAATTCTGAAATTTATTAGATTATTGCTTATTGCACTCTTTGTGGGAGGAGGGTACTACGGATTAAACCCAGGGGCACTTAACCGCTGGGTCACATCCCCAGCCCTTTTTTTGTGTTTTATTTAGAGACAGCGTCTCCCTGAGTTGCTAAGTGTCTCACTAAATTGCTGAGGCTTGCTTTGAACTTGAGATTCTCCTGCCTCAGCCTCTCAAGTCTCTGGGATTATGGGCATGTGCCACCATGCCTGGCTTATTGCATTATTTTTTTTAACCAACCCATGTATAGTAAAACTATGCCATAACATTGTAGGTTATGTCCAATATATTCAATTACAGATTACTAAAAGTACCAGAGTGAGTCTAAAGTTAGCTAAGTGGGGGTGTAGGGGTTGAGGAAGCCAAGTGCCAACTGCATTATATCTGAATTCACATTATTGTAGGGCCTCTTAGTGTCTTTTTTTGTAAACACTGAATATCAGCTATTGTGGCATACTTGGGAGAAGGATGGACTGAAATGGGGAGACATTACAGGAAGAAAACTTTCTGTTATTTTAATAACCAAGTGCTTTCCAAACTTTTAACAGCATGTAAGAGTGCATGAAGCATTAGAGACAGTGTATACAAAAGAGCCCACTGCTTTGGCTTATTCAAGGTCCTGGTGCTACTTTGCAAATACTTGAAGAAAACATAAATATCTCATGCTTGAAAGACACTTCATGAATATTTCCCCCCTTTCCTCCTCTTTATACATTGATGAAAAGAGCCAATGGATAAATCTTGAGTATATAAGATGGAATGGAACAAGGCTTTCAAAATATAGAGTGAATCCAGGCATGGTGGCTCAGGACTATAATCCCAGTGGCTCAAGAGGCTGAGACAGGAAAATCACGAGTTCAAAGCCAGCCTCAGCAATGGTGAGATGCTAAGTAGTGGGACCCTATCTCTAATAAAATACAAATAGGGTTGGGGATGTGGTTTAGTGGTTGAGTACCCCTGAGTTCAATGCCCAGTACCCCCCCCCAAAAAAACCAAATAGATATAGAAAGTGAAGGAATCAGGAGTTCCTTTGGCTTAGGGCAAGTCAAACTTTTGGGGGGACTAAAGGCAGACTATTTGAAGACAGACTTGAAATAGAAGGGAGGAAAATTAAGAGAGTTTACATTTCACAAAAGAGTGGGAATCAGGGGACATTAAATTGATAGTTGAAATCTTCTCTGGGAAAGATTAGATGAAAAATAAAGGGTTATTGGACTTCAATATAGTAAGTTATAATGGCCACAACAGCAATTCTGAAAACATTCCCTAGAAGCACTCAGCAACAGAGCAAGAACGAAGTAGATGGTTACTTAGGCCAAGGAAAGGAAGCAATGATCTAAAAGTCTTCCTTAAGTGAATGATAATAGGGTGTAGGTTAGGGACAGAAGGAGGTAAGGTAGGAAGAGGTCCATAGAGCAGAACAGAGAAGAGCAGCTGAATTTCAGGTCCTGCTGAAGCTGAACATGTCTAATTCCAGCTACTCCACAGAGGTTGAGGCAGAATGCAGAGTTGGAGCCTGGCCTTGGCCATTTAGTTTGACCTCATCTCAACAAAAATAAATCTTGCTCAGGTAATTGACCTTTATATTCTTTTGAATTTGGGAAATAAATGAAATAAATTTGTCTTTTGGAGCTGTATTGACTAGGAAAATTATGTTTTATCTTTACTTTTTTTTTGGTATTGGGGATTGAAGCCAGCCGTGCTTAACTATTAAGTCATATCCCCTACCCTTTTTTAATTTACTTAGATACCAGAAATTTAACCCATGGACACTTTACCGCTGAGCTATATCCCCAGTGCTGTTTATTTTTTGAGACAGGGTCTCAGTAAGTTGCTTAGAGATTTCTAAGTTGCTAAGGCTTGTCTTGAATTTGTGATCTTCTTGCCTCAGCCTCTAGATAGTCTCTGGGATTACAGATATGTGCCATCATGCCCAGTCCTTTTTATTTATTTTGAGACAGGTCTTGCTAAGTTGCTCATGCTGGCTTCAAGTATGAATCTGGGATTACAGGTGTGCACCACCACACCTGGCAAATACTCTTACTAAATGGTAAAACCCAATTCTTATTTGATCATGACAAGATTTTCCCTTATTCAGGAAAAAAAAATTGCTGTATCATAAACATAAGCAGATGAATTAATTCATTTTGATTTAAACTACTTACTTATTATCTCTTTCTATATTAATAGCTCTGACTACAGTTCAAGTGAAAAAGAATGGAGTTTTATTTAATAAAATGAATTTTTGTCAAAACGTTCTCAATTCAACGCCAAGCATTTCTGTCAATGGCAAAAGCAAGATAAAAATGGCAAAAGAACCATAAAATTAGCACCAGGTCAAAACTATTTTGATTAGACAAGGACAAAAAATTTATGTAAACATTCTTTCTACTTAAATTCTTTTTTTKGGGGGGGGCAATATTGTGGATTGAAACCAGGGTCTTTTTGTTTTCTAGACAGGATCTCACTGAAGGGCCCAAGCTAGCCTCAACTTGCAATCTTTCTGCCTTGTCCCCACTTTTATGTCACAGACAGTTTAGTACCATTATGGAATTAGACATGTTCAGCTTCAGCAGGACCTTAAATTACTGAATTTGTGATCTTCTTGCCTCAGCCTCCAGAGTCTCTGGGAGTACAGATAGGTGTCATCATGCCCAGTCCTTTTTATTTAGTAATCCCAGAGGATTACTGGTATTCACCAGGCTGTCTGGCTTTATCATTTTTTTGTGGTGCTAGGCAAGTGCTCTACAACTGAGCTACACCTCTAGTCTTCAAAGGTTAATACTTTAATTTCTTACTATAGTCAGCATATTTTTAAAAATAATCATGTTTTTCTTGAACTTGTGATCCTCCTGCCTCAGTCTCCCAAGCCATTGGGATTACAGGGGCATGCCACTGCACCCAGCTTGGAAAACATTAACTTTCAATTTTGGGATATCAACCCTTATGTTTTTTGGTGTTGCTAAGGATGGAATCCAGGAACTCATGCATGCTAGGCAAGCACTCTACCCCTGAGCCATATCCTCAGCCCCAGGATGTCAAAACTTCTAATAGAGCAATCAAGGTATTTTACCCCATACCTCGTGGGCCACATCATGTGCCAGTGGCATGGGTCTGGAAATTATACTGCAGGAACAGCTGGGTCAGGGTTAGTGATCTCAAAAAGCTGATCAGTGTGGTGAAGCGTTTATTGCTCCTTCAGCCTCACTCTGAAGGCAACACTTGTTGCCTTCATCAGAGATTAAAGATGTCTCTTCTCTTTCCATTCAAGCACCTACTGCCTTTTCAAGGGTGGTGGTGATGTGGTTGGGAAAGAAAAGGGCATTTCCCAGTTTTTGTACTGAAGGTACTCAAACAGCTCTTTAAATATCTCTACCACCAATGACCATGAAGTATGACAGGTTAAGAAGCCCCCTCCTAAAACTTATTCTTTATATATTTGTTTCTTTCCCAACCGGACAGATGGAGACTGGGGTTATAACTCAGCACTACTACTCAGAGCTTGTTTAGCAATGCATGATGCCCTGAGGTTGATCACTAGCACTGCAAATAAATGAACAAAGCCAGAAATTCAAATGGAAAGACAATTCTGTACCTTGATACTAAACAGTCTGTGACATAAAAATGTTACAAAGAAAAAGAGAATTCAGATTAGCATGTGAATTTCATTAAATGGGACTCTGGTTAAAAATCAGAACTTACAGGGGTAGGAATATAGCTCAGTGGTGAGCACTTGCCTAGCATGTTTGAGGCCCTGGGTTTGAACCAACCAACAAAAAAGGTTGCAGGGTGAAGGTGGAGGAAAAAAAGAAGAGGGTAGGAGAGAGAACACGGTATTTCCTGTTTTTCACCTGCTCAGTCTTTTCATAGAATACTTTAGCAATATACTTAGTAGCAGCATTTTGGCAAAAAAGAGGAGTTTGTGATCTTTGGGTCAGCAAGCTAAAGAAATCAGTCTCAAGTAGTCATCGGTTTGGAAGTGGGATAGATGAACTGGGAACTGCCAATGTAGCATGAGTAGGAAGTACCTAGATAAAAACTTCTGGAAGCTAGTCCTTTTTATTGACAGAATCAATAGAACATTTATGGTACCATGGCAGACTGGTCACAATGTCCTGCCACCACAACTTCTGACATTCAAATTAGATCTATATAAATGTGAATCCTTTTTATTCTTTCAACTCTGTATTACATATATGGAGGGGTTTCTACATTGGAACAGTTTCACTCACACCGTCCCTATTTACTCAGTTTTTGAAGACTAAAGCTTGGTCCAAATTTGTGAAAAGGTGACAGGCTAAAAGAAAAATAAACTTAAAGAAGCTATCTGGCCCAATCAAGAATGGCTTAATATTATTCATTTTCTTCTTTGAACATCTTACTTAAGTGCTTTATTAGAGCCACTAGCGCAGGGTTCCCACCACATGCCTCAATTTGTTTATAGGCTTTAGATTCAAGCTCTTTAAGAGTATTCCGAGTGTATTCAAAAGAACCTACATCCTCCAGATAATGTACACAATATTTTTTAATATCTATGTTTTCTGTTCTTTGGCGCAAGATGTTCTGCACCTGGGTGCTTTCAGGCCTTGACCAAATAGCATGAATAGTAGGGAATGAGAATTTTCCCTCTGTTAGATCTTCACAAAAACTTTTGTTTTCACTATATTCTTTGGAGTGCAGATTAGCATAATCATCTCTAATTTGAAAAAAGAGGCCAAGTGTATTAAGTAATGGCTTTAAATCTTCTTTGTAGTCAGAGAATAGCTGCATGAGACCTACTGCTAATCCAAACAGTCCACCAGTCTTTTGCAGCACCATGGCTTTATATTCTTCTTCAGTGGGACAAGTGTAATTATCCCTCCAGTAAATGTCCAGGCCTTGTCCCTGATGGAGTTCTAAGAGCTGACGGGTAAAAAGTTTCACTGCATCTGGATGATCCAGAGTTAGGACTTTTTCTAAGCCAAGGAAATATACATAATTGGCTGAATTGATGACAGATGGAATTCCATAGATGCTATGTGCTACTGGAAAGCCACGTCGGAGTTTTGAATTGTCTTCAATATCATCAATGAGTAAACTGGCATTGTGTAACATTTCTGTCACTTCAATGATAATCTGAGAAAAAAGAAAAGAAAAAAATTACTTCACATTATTTGAAATATTCAAATAGTTTATATTTAGTGGTAGTAATAGATTAAGGAAGTCTCAGGTGTCTTAAATTTCATAATGAAAAATTATTTAGTAACCTGAACATAAGACAATAGTGTATGAACGTAAAACTAAGTCAAGAAAAGTAATTTCATGAGAAATCTATTAATTTGGGGAGACCGAGAATGAGATCAGAATTGCCTAAATACCTGTAATTTGTCTTCTGGAACTTTTAGCCAATGATTAAATGCCTGTGAAAGTTTGGTTCTCACTTGTTTACCTGCAATTAAAAAATAAAATATGACAATAAAACAATTATTTATTACTTACACAAAACAGGAACTTCCTTCAAAACACATCAGATTTGGCAAATGCACCCCCATCAACCCATTACCTACTGCAGAGATTATATTTCACTGCTAAATACCCAACCCTATCCCTCTGAAATCAACAGGCTAAAGTGCATAATCTTTCAGAATTAGAGCAGATAAGATAGATTCTAGATAAATTCTATGGCACTTCAGGTGGCTTTAATTTTTTTTTTTTTTTGGTACCTGAGACTGAACTCAGGGGCACTCAACCACTGAGCCATATCCCCACACCTATTTTGTATTTTATTTAGAGATAGGGTCTCATTAAATTGTTTAGCATCTGGCTTTTGCTGAGGCTGGCTTTAAACTCATGATCCTTTGGCCTCCTGAGCCTGGGATTACAGGCATGTGTAATCCGTGCTACGGCGCCTGGCAGTATGCTTTAATTTTTTTTAAAATATTTTTTTAGTTGTCAATGGACTTTATTTACTTATATGCGGTATTAAGTGCCTCACATATGCTAGGCAAGAGCTCTACCACCTAGCCACAACTCCAGCCCAGTAGGCTTTAATTTTTAACTTGCCATCAACAACTTTTGAATGAAACGGGCATTTTTAGGAAATCCTCCTGCCTCAGCCTCCCAAGGTGCTGGAACTACAGGTGTGTGCCACTGAACCCAGCACAGAAAATCTTTTGAGATTATGTTATTTTACATCAAGAACATATTTGTCCAAGGCATGGTTCTTTTTTTTTGTTTTGTGCTGGGAATTGAACCCAGAGGTGAGCTTAACTACTGAGCAACATCTTAAATAAGTGAGTTAACACTCAAAAGCAGTATCCTGGATTTTTCTTTTGGGTACTAGGGATTGAATGTAGGGATATTCAACCACTGAGCTATATTCCCAGACCTTTTTCTTTTTAAAAAATATATTTTATTTAGAGACAGGGTATCACAGAGTTGCTTAGGGCTTTGCTAAATTGCTAAGGCTGGCTTTGAACTCATGATTCTTCTGCCTCAGACTCCTGAGCCAAGGGCACCACCGTGCTCAGTTTCCTGGCTTTTTCTTTCTCTTCTTTGGCACTGGCCTCAAATTTGCAAAACTCTGCCTCAGCCTCCTAAGTCACTGGATTACAGATATGTACCCTTACACCGGGCTTAAGTTTTCTTAAACATTTCTGACTTCACTCCATTTTCTTTTTTTTTCTTTTTAAGAATTAACATTAGCAGTTTTTTTTTAAAAATATTTATTATTTAGTAATCGGCGGGTACAGCATCTTTGTTTGTACGTGGTGCTGAGGATCGAACCCGGGCCGCACGCATGCCAGGCGAGCGCGCCACCGCTTGAGCCACATCCCCGGCCCCAAGGTTAGTTTCTATTAGGGTGTGCCAGAACGGAAATACTACTAATCATGATAGTTTCCTAAGTGTACCTAAGGAGTTAGCATTCTTTTGGCTTTTTTTTTTTTGATAAAGATTCTCATTAAGTTGCCTAGGGTGGCTTAAACTCTCAGCCTCACGCTATCCTCTTGCCTCAGACTCCTTAGTACTCAGGACTATAGGCATGAGCCACTGTGCCTGACTCTTTTTTTTCTCTCTTCTTCCTTATTTCTTTTGTGGTGAGGGGATTGAAGCCAGGGCCTTGTGCATGTGAGGCAAGCACTTTACTCACTGAGCTATATCCACAGCCCTTTGTTTCACTGAGTTGCATCACCAGCCTTTATTATTTTGAGATAGAGTCTAAGTTGTCTAGGCTGGCTTTGAAAAATGGCAAGTGATTCTTCTGCCACAGCCTCCTGAGTTGTTGGTATTTCAAGTGTGCATCAACATTCTGGGCTCTCTTTTGGCTTTTGATAACCATATTTATCCTACCCAGATTCAGGAAGAACAGAAAAGCATATTACCATTGTGGTGTGGTCATAAAGATAGATATGTACTTTAGGAAGAGAAAAAAAAAATCTCTACTGTGATTGAAAGCATCATTATAGTTTAGCTACACTATGAACTAAATAGACTATTAAGGTTTCAAATTGCCTTTCATGTTATTATTTGTGGTACAAGAGATTGAACTGAAAGGTGATCTACCACTGAGGTACACTCTTAGACCTTTTTCAATTTAAGATAAGGTCTTGCTATGTTGCTGAAATTGGCTTTTTTTTTTTTTTAATATTTATTTTTTAGTTCTCGGCGGACACAACATCTTTGTTGGTATGTGGTGCTGAGGATCGAACCCGGGCCGCACGCATGCCAGGCGAGCGCGCTACCGCTTGAGCCACATCCCCAGCCCCTGAAATTGGCCTTAACTTCAGGTGTGTGCCACTGTGCCCGTCACTTCTTACATTATTTTTATGAGAAAGAGCATGCCAACTTCCAAGTAACTCATTTATTTATAAGTAAATAAAAAGTTTTTAAAATTTTTTTATTTTATTTTTTTTATTTTTAAAGAGACAGGGTCTCACTGTATTGCCTAGGCTGGCACCAAACTCCTCTGAGCTTTAGCAATTCTCCTGTCATGGCCTCTCAAGTAGCTGGAACTACAGGTATATGTCATTGTGCCTTTCTGTAAATGAAACAAACAAAAAACAAATTTTTTTATAGTGTTGAATCTAGAGCCTTATGCATCCTAGGCAAGTATTTTACCACTGAGTTACACCCTTTAGCTCCTCCAAATACTTTTTAAAATTTTTATTTATTCATTACTGGAAATTGTATGTAGAGAGGCTTTACCAATGAGCTACACCCCCAGCCCTTTTATTTTAAAACAGTCTTGCAAAGTTGCTTAGAGTGACCTCAAATTTGTGAACCTTCTGCTTCAGCTTCTGAAGTTAATGATTACAGTTGAGTGCCAACAGGCCGGCTCTATTTTATTAATTTTTTTTTTTTTGTACTGGGGTTTAAACCCAGGGACACCTAACCACAGGGCCACATACCCAGCCCTTTTTCCTTTTTGAGACAAAGTCTTATCAAGGATCTCTTCGCTAAGAGAGAAGATAAATAAAAATAAAAAATAAAAGGGCTGGGGATGGGCTGCAGTTGTAGTTCAGTGGTAGAGCACTTGCCTAATGTGAGAGGCATTGGGTTTGATCCTCAGTACCATATTAAAAAAAAGTCGGGGTGGGGCTGGGGATGTGGCTCAAGCGGTAGCGTGCTCGCCTGGCATGCGTGTGGCCCGGGTTCGATCCTCAGCACCACATACMAACAAAGATGTTGTATCCGCCGAGAACTAAAAAATAAATATTAAAAATTCTCTCTCTCCCCCTCTCTCACTCTCTCTTTAAAAAAAAAAAAAAAAAAAAAGTCGGGGGAGGGGGTGGTGGCTGGGGCTGTGGCTTGGTAGTTAAGTGTCCTTGAGTTCAATCCTTGGTACCAACCAACAAACAAAACAACCTCATATATAAACACAATAAGGCAGCCATTAAGTCAGAAAGCTGTGTTCAGGTGATACTCCCTTATATAAAATAATATGGTTAGGTTTCCAGATAAAGTGACTTAATTGTATTAGTTCTCAAAGGAACTAATAGCRTAAGAAATGCCGGTAGTTGTATAGTGGGAGACATGAACATGGAAGGTGACACTTTAACATGGAGTATAAATCAAACTTTCTGTTGTTATACAAATCAGAGATAACTTCCCCTAATATCTAAATAGTGAAAAAAACAGGTTTGGAGGTGCAGTCCTGTTATCTCAGCTGGAAAGGTAAGGTAGATGGATCTCAAGTCCTAGGCCAAGGCCAGCCTTGCCAACTTAGCAAAACCCTGTCCCAAAATGAAAAATAAAAAGGACCGGGGATATAACTCTGGGGTAGAGTGCCCCTGAGTTCAGTCCCCAGTATTGCAAAAAAATAAAGGGGAGGGCAGTAGGGGCGGAATTTGAATTTGCGGTCATCTGTAAAGAATAAACATCCAAAGAGGCCTCAAAATGTTTATTTTTTAAATTTTATTTATTTAATATATCTTTTAGTTGGACATAATACCTTTATTAATTTTTCTGTGGTGTTGAGGATTGAACTCAAGTATCTCACACATGTGAGATAAGCACTCTACCACTGAGCCACAACCCAAGACCCAGTACATTTATTTTTTGAAGTATATCATTGTATTTTTTAAAAAAATGTTTTTTAGTTGCAGATGGACATAAAACTCTTATTTTTTATTTTTATGTGGTTCTGGGGATCAAATCCAATGCCTCACACATGCTAGGCAAGCGCCGTACCACTGAGCCACAACTCCAGCCCATCATTGGATATTTTTAAAATTACTTTTTAGGAGTGAATAATTATAAAGTTTATTTGTAAACTTTCTCTAATATATCTCTCTTTCTTTTTTTGCAGTACTGGGGACTGAACCCAGGGGTGCTTTACCAGTGAGCTATGCCCTGGGACATCTTTAATTTAGTAGGGTTTTCTTTAAGTTGTCCAGCCTGGCCTTGTAGTTGTGATCCTCCTGTCTCAGCCTCCTGAGCTGCTGGGATTATAGTTAATGTATCACTTTCAGCAGGAAATCTCAAAGGCTGATAAAGCTAACCTTTTCTGTTTGCTAACATTTGAATGATCACTAGTGTCTGATAACTATTCTATACAGACTGTAACTGAACTGTTACCCGGTAACTGAAGTAAGTACTTGTAGGGTTCTAGAAGAATTCTTTGGACAGTTTCTTGAGTCTTCTCCATTGTTTTTAAATTTCAAAGCTGATCTGTAGAAAAGAAGAAACAGAACCGTGATCTTATGAACCAAATTATCAAGCATTAAACTGCCAAGAAATTTGTATCTCAAGGTGTTTTGGGAAAAGCATACCTTTAGTTTGGTTTAACCCAATTTTTTTCAGTTGTTGATGATGGACCTTTATTTATATGTGGTGCTAAAAATGAAACTCAGTGCCCCACACATGCTAGGCAAGCACCCCACCACTGAACCACAACCGCAGCCCCTGGTTTAAAATTTTTTAAATGTATAAAATATTGAAAACATTAAACTAGGAGTGGTGGCACATGACTGTAATCCCAGCAGCTTGGGAGGCTGAGGCAGGAGGATTGTGAGTTCAAAGCCAGCTTTAGCAAAAGTGAGGCACTAAGCAGCTCAGTGAGACCCTGTCTCTAAATAAAACACAAGATAGGGCTGGGGATGTGGTTTAGTGGTCAAGCGCTTCCGAGTTCAATCCATAGTAACCCCCCCACACCAAAAAAATTGAAAACATTATATTACATTAAAGAAGCCAGTCCCCAAAGAYCACTTATCACATAATTCCACTTACATGAATGTTCTGAATATGCCTATATAGATGGAAAGTATATTAGTGGTTGCTGGCACAGGAAGAACAAGGAACAAGAACTAACTGCTAGTGAGTAATGGTTTGTTTTTTGTTTTTTTGGGGGAAGCATCAAACCATAAAATTAGATTGTGGGGATGGGCATGGTGGTGCACACCTGTAATCCTAGTGGCTTGGGAGGCTGAGGCAGGAGTATTCCAAGTTCAAACCCAGCCTCAGCAACTTGGTGAGGCTCTAAGCAATCTGGCAAAACCCTGTCTCTGAATAAAAAGTAAAAAGGGCTGGGACATGCTCAGTGGTTAAGTGCTCCTGGTTTCAATCCCTGGTACAAAAATAAAATAAGATAAAAATTAAGATTGTGGAAACACTGGGGTTATAGCTCAGTCGTAGAGTGCTTGCCTAGCATATGTGAGGTTCAATCCCAGCATCACATAAAACTAAATAAACAAAATTAAAAAATATTGTGTACATCTACAACTTAAAAAAAAGAGCGTGGGATGGTTGCACATTGTGAATATACTAACAATATGGAACTGTCCACTCTTCTTGATAGTGTGTGATGGCATCCCACTTTGCCGCCCAGGCTGTTCCTAAAACCGTGGGCTCAAGCAATCCTTACACATTAGTTTCCCATGTAGGTGGGACTACAGGTAGTTACTACCACATCCTGCTTAAAGTGTACACTTTAAATGGTTGGTATATGGTATATAGATCACATCTCATGTTCTTTTAAAAATACAATTCTTCATTGAAATGATGACATTGGTCAAAGTGTTCAGCTGATTTAAGTGGTTTTCTTAGATACATAATGTATTATTATGCCTTGCCTGTTTTCATCAACCATAAAAGACTTAAATGATTGAAATCAAACAAATGTCAAAACAAATCACAGAATTAGATATTTTCGTTATTAATTGATTATATAAATTAGTAAGCAAGTTCCTTCTATGAACATTAAGATAGCTTTTTAAAAATTTTATTACTGGGGATTAAACACAGGGGCACCCTACTACCAAGCTACATTCACAGCCTTTTCTTTTGGGGGGGGGTGTACTAGAGATTCCCCAGTCCTATTTTGTATTTATTTAGAGACAGGGTCTCACTGAGTTGTTTAGCACCTCACTTTTTTTTTTTTAAATATTTATTTATTAGTTATTGGCGTACACAACATCTTTGTTTGTATGTGGTGCTGAGGATCGAACCTGGGCAGCACGCATGCCAGGCGAGCGCGCTACCGCTTGAGCCATATCCCCAGCCCCCCTTTTTTTTTTTTTTTTTTAAAAGAGAGAGTGAGAGAGGAGAGAGAGAGAGAGAAAGAATTTTTAATATTTATTTTTTAGTTCTCGGCGGACACAACATCTTTGTTGGTATGTGGTGCTGAGGATCGAACCCGGATCGCACGCATACCAGGCGAGCGCGCTACCGCTTGAGCCACATCCCCAGCCCTAGCACCTCACTTTTGCTGAGGCTGGCTTTGAACTCGTGATCCTCCTCAGCCTCCTGAGATTACAGGCCTATGCCACCACACCCACCCCTTTTTGAGATAGGGTCTCAACAAATTGCTGGGGCTGGTCCTCCTGCCTCACCCTCCTGAGTAGCTGGGATCACAGCCATGCTCCACTGTGCTTGGCTGCCTGGGTTTTGTACCTCCAGTCCCAAGATGGTTGTTTTATATATTTATAATTTAAAGGGAAGTACTCATATTTGCTCTAAAATATGAGACTCTGTTTTAAAATATGCATTAACTTGAATGTAATCTTATGTATTAAAAACATTCCCCTGTAATGTTTTATTATTTGGAATTTTGTATGTACTTTAAACATTTTTGTTGCTGGGGATTGAAACCAGGGGTGCTTAATTACTGAGTACATTCCCAGCCCTTTTAGTTTTTTGTTTTGAGACAGGGTCTCAATAAGTTGCTGAGGCTGGTTTTAAACTTGTAGTCCCCCTTCCTCAGCCTCCCAAGTCATTGGAATTATATGTATGTGCTACCGCACCTGGCTTATTTCAATATTTCTTAAGAGTATCATGGTCTTTATAGGGTCCTCCTTTACTGCTGAATCTCTCTCTCTCTCTGGCAATCTATTTCTATTTTTACCTGTCACATTTTAGGAGTTTATCATTTTTGTCCTCTTTCTTTTGCCTTTTGGGACTATGATTTGGTCTCCAGGATCACAAGACATCTTCTAATCAATATTTTTGGCTTAATTGACAATATACAAACATAAAAATAAACCTAATATGATATGGCAGTTCAAGATTAGTGCAGCTGAAAGCATTACACATCATAGAATTTTGGAACTGGAAGGCATCTTAGAGTTCTCTTGTATGCTTGAATAAAGCTCAAGAATATATTCACTTGGGTGAGTGTCACTTTTTTTTGGTGCTGAGGATTGAACCAGGGCCTTGTGCAGGGTAGGCATGCAAAAACTCTACCAACTGAGCTATGTTCCCAGCCCCCAAGTGTCACATTTATGAAATCAGGTATACTTTGTGTTATTTTGCCTAGTCAAAGGTCTTTTTCGGATTCACTAAGTCTGGGAAGAGGACTAGGAATCTCCATTTTTAATATGCATCATATACAATTCTTAAGGAGCTGCTTGAGAAAATGGTACAGGATCTGAAGATAGATAGCTTCATCATACTGCATGACAACAAACCAAGGGGGATGGGCTCATATTTTTATTTACTATAATGCTGAGGGTGCATTTCTTGATTTCTAAACCTGCTCTAGGAACTTCATAAAATTAAATATGAAGCCCATTCTTCTGTAGCCCAGTCATCTGAGACTATGATCTCATCATCTACCACCTCWTGGATAAGGCAATTCTAGTATCTATTACTGCTTACAAGTATCAATTAAAAAAAAATGAGATGGACATGATACCTTTATTTATTTATTTTTATGTGGTGCTGAGGATTGAATGCAGGGCCTCACACATGTGAGGTGAGCACTCCACCACTGAGCCACAACCCCAGCCCCAACAGGTATTAAATTTAAAAATGTAAAATAACTTTAGAAGAGTCTCATGTTTAACTCATAAAATACAAAACTCTTTGTACATATTTTCAGTAGATGAACACACTGATACCTTGATCCATACTTCTAAGCAGAGCTGAAGCTCCTGAATAAATACTGACAAAGTGCCACAAAAGTAAATGATTTCTAAAAGCTATTAAGAACATAGAAAAGCTGCAACTGATCAACCTGTAAGAACCAGCTAATGTTCCTGCCTTAGCAGGCACCTAACATGAAGGTAAAGTGTGAACCCTATCGTGCCTATTTTTCCACTATGGAATGAGATGCCAACAGGAGGGAAGAATAAAACCTCTACATTATCTAGTCATTGTGAGGCAGACAGAAGGCCTGTGAGAAAGGAGAGCTAAAATGAAAATACACAGATTACCATCAACTCTATAAGTATTTGGATGCTTCCACTAAGTATAAACCACTTCAAGGGTAGGAGAAACCTTTTGATATAATAAAAGCTATGGATCTTCTTAAAAAAAAAAAAAAAGCCAGTGTGTAAATCACTAAGCTCCCTCCCACATACATATGCACAGCAACAAAAATAAAATCTGTACCCAACTTTTAAGGAATCACATAGTCCCTGAATGCTTTACCTGCACCTCAGATTAAAATCCTCAAAGAATATTTTCATACTTTTAATATCAAGCAAATCTGGTGTTTGCATAATAGGCCAAGACGTAAAACCCATTACCTTAACTATTTCTCTGGTAGGGGAAGGGGAGGATATAGGGGATTAAACCAGGATGTTCTCCCATTAACTTATGCCCTCAGCTCTTATACACACTGGCTAAGTTGCCCAGGCTGTCCTGGAAATTGTGATCCTCCTGTCTAAGCCCCCAGATTTGGGATTACAGGTGTGCATCGCTGCATCTGGCTCCATCTTAATTTTTTATTGAAGGCAGATTACAAATGGAAATCCAATCTCAATTCATGTGGGTATCAAAAAATCAGTTTGTCTTGTCTTTTTTTAAAATTTTTTTTTAGTTGTAGGTAGACATGATATCTTTATTTTTATGTAGTAGTGCTGCTGATCGAACCCAGTGCCTCACAGGTGACAGGCAAGTTCTCTACCACTGAGCCACAACTGCAGCTGTCTTGTCATGAGTCCAAGGGGACCAGTAAAAGGGCAATATTAGGAAATGTTATTGGGTGCATGTATGAACAGGTGACAACCGCACCACTATGTACAATTATAATGCACCAGTACAAATACGGGGGGGGGGGAGTCTAAGGACTTATTTGCCCCGCCCACCTTTTTTACTCAGCAGTCTCAGTTTATCAGAGCCGCAACTCCGGCTTTCAAGTCTAAATACGGAAGAAGACAGTAGTGTACATTTACGAATCCTCCTAATTCATTTTTACGGTGAAAAATACAGAAAGCTCCAGCCAGAGTCTCAA